GCCAGCCAAGCTAGCTACAGAAACGATACCCATAAAATACATTTGCTGGAAATAAACACTTTTCCTAATATCATAACTTATAACATCCTTAGCTTGCCCATTCACTAAATATACTGTTAAATAACTCTGACAGACACCCAATAGCTTAAGGATGCTGAGTGCTAACGCTAGTTTATTAGCATTAGTCAACTCTTATGCTGAGGGATAATAGCCAGTTAGCTACCACCAACCCTGCACAAACCTGTTGCTAACTCAACTGCTGCATTTAGACTTTCTGGCTGTTCTGCTCTCTCCACCTCATTCACTGCAGCCTCAATCTGCTCCCTTTGTTTAGCCTCTTTCGGAAGATGTTTTGAATATCCATATTTTCTCTGTTCTATACTGCAGACTGACCGAGTGACAGGCGTTTTCTGAATGATGACATTGACATTTAACAGGTTCTGTAGGGGTTGGGGGGAGTGGTCAAGGGACGAGCGGTCCACTGCATTGTGAAATCTCAACCAATCACAACAGGCACCACATCACTCCAGGGGCTTCTTGAAGTGCCTGCTACTGCATAGCGCAGTATATTGTATTGTTTATTCTTGTCATTAAAATGTGTCAGTAAAACATATATATTTTTATACTGCATAGTGCAAGTGATGTGTGGTTTGGAAACATATCAGACTGACCATCAAAAGGTTTGGGGCTGGGCCAAAAACATCCGGGGCTGAAGCCCCAGAAGCCCAGGCCTAATGACGCCACTGGTTTTACACTTAATAACCATGTTTCCATCCACAGTTTTTATGGGAGTAAAGCCATACCATATAAAATAAAAAATCATGACAGCTGTGATGAAACAGGAAGTTTCGGTACAATTGTATTAATGCCGACCGATAATTTGTTTGTTCGACATGGTGGGATCTTTTTGTGTCAGTAAAATAAATTATGTGGGAAAAGGCGATGGAAACTACTTTATGTGCAAATATTGTTATAATAACCATCATATCTAAGTAAATTGGAGTAATGCTTTGATATGGTGTGTGGTCCTCCCACTACGACTACCTGCACTGTATCTGCCAGCTGTTGGCTAGAGCACAGGTGCCAAGCACAGAGTAGGCACATTTGCTATTTTACGCAACCGTTTTTGTGACAAAACTATCCGTAGAATTGAAAATGAGATGGAAACACATTGAACTCTAGATTTTTTTTCGGTACATAACAACTTGAGCGAAAAACTACATTTTGTGTGCACTACGTCATCACATACTGATTTTTATCAGAAACAAGTCCGTTTGCTGGAAACATACCACTGGTGGAAATTTTGCAGATTTTTGAATATTCGCATGAAAATCTGTTGCAAATTGGATGGAAACCTAGCTAATGGTAGCAAGGCTTTAGTGAGGACAGCACAAGTGGGTATGTTCCATGTTTAATTTCCAAATAACTGATGGCAGAAATAATAAACATATTTACATACATATCACATAAACACTCATGGTCTATGTACAAAGAAATATACATGCAAAAGTTTAAAAAATAAAAAATAATGTGACATAAAACCCTTTAAAAATCATAATACATATGTATGTATAAAATAGGATGAGATTGGGACAAAAAAAAAGACAACAGAAAAGAACATCCAGTCCACATTCCCATGTTTCAACATCCTTTATACAACTTTACAAAAAATGGATGAACAAATAAATTAAAGGACATGGTATGGTATGGGAATGTACAGGTGACCCAACAATGGGCCACTTCTCTCTCTTTCCCTCCATCTCTCCCTGTCCCTCCCTCATCTTCACCAGAAGGAAATATTCCAGTTTTGCATGTTCCCATCAGATAAATCAATATACTTCCCTAACAGCACAGACTGGTCAATGGGCCTTGTCTCTCCCCCTGTCCTTCTCTCTCTCGCTCTCTCTCTCTGCCAGAAGGAAATTATCCAGTTTAGCATGTTCCTATCAGGTGACTCACTATACCAGTGGATCTCAACTAGTTTTGCCTCGGGACCCAAATTGAACAAGGTTGTCTCAGTCGCAACCCAATATTCGCATCGCAATTTTTTTTGTTTGTTGCCAAAATAGAACCTGGAAAACTATTTTTAATGCTATGTTGATAGTAGATGTAGCAATTATATCACAAGGGAACAACATTCCCACCTCTTTCATTGTCAAAAAAATTCAACCCAAAGGAACAATGTCTGTAGACATCTACCATATACACCAGAATCACTCATCAGTGTTGTGTTGTGTTTGTAATTATGTTGTAGAGCAGGGCTCTCCAACCATGTTCCCAGAGAGCTACCGTCCTGTAGGTTTTCGCACCAACACTAATCTAGCGCACTGGATTCTAATAATTAGCTGGTTATTAAACTGGATCAGGTTAGTTGCAACTGGGGTTGGAGCGAAAACCTACAGGACGATAGCTCTCAAAGAAAGGTTAATAAGAGGTTAGACAGCAAGCTATAGGCACCTATAGGTCAAATCTCAAATCACACCAAGTTCCAACATAGGGCCCTGGTCTAAAGTGGTGCACTGGATGGGGAATAGGGTGCTATTTGAGGCCCAGGTGTTTGACACAGCACACTTAATCTTCACAATCATGAGAAACAGTTGTAATAGGATATCTTTTTACATAAATAACTTAATATAAAAGGGTTTTGAAATGTAGCTCATTAACACTATGGATGAGTCCCAAATTGCACCCTATTCCCTTTGTAATGCACAACCTTTGACCTGGGCCCTGTAGGGGCTCTATAAAGGGAATGGGCTGCCATTTGGGATGCACACTAAACTCCCAATAAGACTAGCCCTCAGGAAGACAGTGCCAGCTGAATGACAGAAGTCTAGTTTTAAGAAGAGCGTTTTAACACTTGACATTGGTCACTTGTAGAAGCAGTAATCAGTGAGTGGACATTACCTTTTTTTCAACAGAAGTCTACAATGGTCTAGACTGAAACAGGTAGGAGAAGTTCAGAAACCCCCTGCATTTCCAGAGATCCAAGCCGAAAGTGGAGCGCGTAATAGCCTTGTAGACTGGCTAAAGTTATCGTAACACCAGAATCAAACCAGACCATAACAAAGTGTAAACAACCCCTTTTTAGGGTTCCACAGCGTAACACTTTAGAAATAAAGTGAAATGTCATTAATTAATAAAATATAATTAAAACAATAGCGTAGGACAGGGAAGGTAATGCTGGGACAACTTTGGTATATCAGTAAACTACTAAAGAAAAAGAACGAAAGAGAGGAAGAAAAGTGACAAATCAAAAATCTAATTAATTGATCTAGCCATAAGTGCCATGTAGAGGGCTACCCCCAGAAGGTTAGGTTACCTAGGAATTGATAACCTTAGAATTAGAATGTCCTATGGGGACACTCAAAATGGCCACCAGCAACCATTATGGCATCATTGACCTGAATGGGGATACCCATTCTACTCATTCTAATTCTATGGTGATAAGTTAACACCCCAACAGGGTCATAGGTCAAATAAAGAGGACTACTACCAGCGGAGCTTGCAGTACCAAGTACATGCTTTTATCTCTATTTATTACATGTACAACAGATGTCTTCATAAATAGTTGCATAAAATGTTAAAGCTGCAACATTGCACATGATAAGAATGGGGGAAACATAACATACAGTGGAGTGCATTTACAGTATTCTGTCTTCCTGCTCCTTTTCCTCATTCACTCTCCATCTGATTAACCATCTCTGCTGCCACTCAGCTTCAGTCGACCAATTGGCGATCTACTACATTTCATTCGCAGGATTCTTTAGTTCCACCTTCAAGAACGTCCTCAAAAGCAGGTGGATATTTTGAAACGGGAGGGACAGAAGGCAGTTAATAGTCTATATACAAAGTAAGGCTTAATCATCTTAAATCTGTGCAACACCATTTTTGTTCTAGTAAAAGCAAAAACAAAACGAATCATTCTTTTCTGTTGTTGAGACTTTGCAGCAGTCAGCAGAATCTCTATCTTTACTTAGATTAAGGTTTCTTAGATTAAGTACATAAGCGCAGCAATCGGAAAACTCTGATTAGACATAAAACTATCTCAACAAAGTGGAGGAGCTCAGTCATTGGATGAGTCCACTCCGGGCTGTAAAGTAGCGTAGCGACTTTCTACTGCTGATCTTTTTTCTTCAATCTTCTTTTGAAAAGTTCATTAGAGTTATTTTTTTATTTTTTGAAAACTTTTTTGAAAAGTTGAGGACATTGTTCTCTCTCTTTATATGTTGGTTCTTAAAGAAAGGGCGCGTCTCAAAATAATTTGAGTCACTTATTGTAAAAGCACAAAAACAAAACAGCTCTCTCTTTCTCTGGCAACAACAGGGAAGGGATGGTTGCTATGTGTGCTAACACTAGCTTCCTTGGCAACACTCTCCTCTGAAAGCTCTGTTTGTTTGACTCTCAGTAAGATAGAGGAAAAATATGTTACTCCATCAATTTATCAGTATTTTTCTTGTTTTAGATTTTTTCTTCTTTCGAAAATCAGTTTGAGTGTAAACAAGCAAGCAGCAGTAGACTGGTGAGGACATTGTCATCCTTGTTTTGTTGGCTGAGAACTCAGTGTGTGTTCTCTCAGGGAAAACTCTGATTGGCTAAGGACCTCTAGGCCTACAGGCCTCATGTTTTGATTGGTTGAAGGCCCACAGGACTCTTTAAAACCACAACATATCTGAAAGAGGATGAGATCAGTGAATTTCATTTTCTTTCTCTGAGATGCCCAGTCCCAAATCAACCCCTAATCACTACCCCCTAGTCACCTCATATAGATCTGAAAGGATTGGATAGGTCTAAGCAATATGGTTCTATCAATACCGTCTCCACCTTGTCCTCTGATAGGTTAGGTAGAAATAACATTGCTCGCACCTATAAAATCTTCTTAGATCTACACAAGCACCTAGTGAGAATATAGTGAGGAATCCGTTTAGGACAGGATGTCCTGTTCTCTCCTTCCTGTTAGGGTGGTGGGAGGGGGCATCTTTCTCCCTCGCTCCAGCCCTCGCTCAGGCCCGTGGCTGTAGCCGGCTATGTAGTAAGCTCTGTACCCCTCCGATGGGCTTGGCGTCTGTCTGGTGCTTCCTCCTGTCTATGAACAGCACCAGGCGAGACGTGTCCAGACACCCCCCCTCCACCCTACCCTGTCCCTGGATGTCTGCTAACCTGGCCTGGCCCTGGACCCAGGGCTCCTGCAGACATAGCCCAGCCGGAGGCCTCCTGGCCGGGTCGGCCCTCAGCAGCAGGCAGACAAACTCCCTGGCCCCCTGGGTCACGCCCTGGAAGTAGTGGTGGGGGAAGCTGAAGTCTAGCTGGCAGATGTTCAGACACGTCTCCTCCACGCTCTCATCCAGAAAAGGAGAGGCCCCGCTCAGGAGGACGTAGGTCACAACCCCCAGGCTCCAGAGGTCAGAGGTCAGGGCGGCCGGCTCCCCCAGGACCAGCTCGGGGGAGGCAAACTCAGGGCTTCCCAGGAGAGGGTGGATGTAGTGGGCACTGTTGAGCTGGACGGCATCCCCGAAGTCAGTCAGTTTGACCACGGGCTGGCCGGACGAGGTGTGGGACACCAACAGGTTCTCAGGCTGGGGGAGAGGAGAGAAAGAGGGAGGAGAAGGAGGGAGGGGGGAGAGCGATATGGGGGAGAGAGATAGAGTATAAATAGGAGATAGAAAAGAGAGAGGTGGACAGAAATTGAGAGAAAACAGGGAAGATACGGGATAGTATAAATGGAAGCTATAGAAGTGAGAATGGAGAAATAAAAAGGAGAGAGAGAAAAAGAATGGAGAGATATAAAGGAGAGAAATTGAGAAATGGAAAGGAGAGACAGAATTGAGAGAAAAACAGCAGCAGTACAGTACCTTTAAGTCCAGATGGGCTATCCTACAGTTGTGTAGGTAATGTAAAGCTTCTAGGATGTTCCGTAGGTAGCTGGCCACTTTCTCCTCAGTTAGATTCCCCCAGCTCACTATGTAGTCCAGGAGACGACCCTGATCAACCCTGTAGTGAGAAACACACACACGGGTCAAGGTTAGATGGCAGCAGATCTGTGAGAATGTTGAATGCTACTGTGTGTGTGTGTGTGTATACACATCTCCAGGACCAATCTGTAGCTGAAGGCGTCTAGGAGTGCTACCAGGTGTAAGCGTGTGTGTGTGTTCATGTTGAGCGATTAACCAAAATGGAAAGAGAGAAGAGACAGAAAAATGCACGATTGAGAGAGATAGAGAGCCGTTGCTTCGCAAGAAAATAGATAATCTAAGTGATTGATAGTTGGTATTCAGCAGTCATAAAGGTATGCCTAATTTACTTTAAAGAACTACAAAAATAGTGATTTTATCAGAGAGCAGCTCTATAGAAATGAGATGATGACACTGAGTGTACAAAACTTTAAGAACTACTGCTATTTCCATGGAATAGACTGACCAGGTGAATGATATGATTCCTTATTGATGTCACCTGTTAAATCCACTTCAATCAGTGTAGATGAAGGGGAGGAGACAGGTTAAATAAGTATTTTTAAGCCTTGAGACAACTGAGACTTGGATTGTGTATGTGTGCCATTCAGAGAGTAAATGGGCAAGACAAAATATTTAAGTGCCTTTGAATGGGATATGGTAGTAGGTGCCAGGCGCACTGGTTAAAGTGTTTCAAGAACTGCAACGCTGCTGGATTTTTCACGCTCAACAGTTTCCCGTGTGTATCAAGAATTGTCCACCACCCAAAGGACATCCAGCCAACTTGACACAACTGTGGGAAGCATTGGAGTCAACATGCGCCAGCATCCCTGTGGAATGCTTTCGACACCTTGTAGAGTCCATGCCCGACGATTTGACGCTGTTCTGAGGGCAAAAGGTGGTGCAACTCAATATTAGGAAGGTGTTCCTAATGTGTTGTACACAAATGAAATATTTTATTAAAGTACAGTAATGTGAATAAATGATAGTTAATAAGTGATAAGCAGTAATGGGCAGTCACTACCATCATGGGACTTTTATTAGGCCTAATTGTTTATTCTGTGTTGTTACAGCATTCAGCCGACACAATGCATAGTGCATTTAATGTAAAAATAAATATTGAAATCGAAAACCGTGATAATTTTTTTAATAATCGAACAGACTTCAAAAAGCACTAATCGCTCAGCACTAGTGTGTGTGTGTGCGTGTGTGTGTGTGTGTGTGTGTGCGTGCGAGCGCCAGGTGGTGTGTCTGTAACTCACATCTCCAGGACCAGTGCGTAGCTGCTGGGGGTCTCATACGTGTCCAGCAGTGTGACCAGGTGTGTGTGTTGTAGTCTCTGTAGCAGGCTGAGCTCCTGGGTCACCTGGTCTCTCTTCATCAGCTTCTTATTGACCAGCTTGACTGCCACTGTGCGTTTGGTCGACTTGTGGTCGCAACGCTTGACTACAGAGAACCGGCCCCTGGGGCGAGGAGGAGAGATTACAGTCATCTTCAGAGGCTGACTCTACATCATTATCATTGGAATCGTCATTAACCCCCTAAGGTCGATGTCTGTGAAATCAAATTAGCATAATATAAAGTTCCCTGTAAAATTGTGTCAGTTTAAGCTATAGAAATCCGTTTGTTTTTTTTGCATTGGATGTGTCTCAATTCACCACATCCACCTATGTAACACTTACGCATTTGCGATAAGAGGTGACAGAGCTAGAGCGGTGTTTGTCAGACCATTTGACATACCGGAAATCAGTCTTCTCACAAAATCGTATGTTACGTCCGAACGGTTTGGCCTACAAACTATTATGACCCCTTTATGGAAAGATGACTCTCGCGAACACGTTCATGTTGGTTTTGCTCTAGAATGCCCACAGGCCTCACAAGACTCGTCTGAAGGTCCCACGGTACCATTCGAAAACATTTATGGAAGTATATATGGAGACTGTGTAGTGACAAAAATAAGGGGTTAAATACATGTCAATAAAAATAACAAATGTTTCCTGATCTTTCTTATATCTCTCAAATATAGGACAAACACTTCAGAACAAACTTCCTTTTGATTTTTTTTAGGACTATCTGTTGTTCCATGTAGTGAATCTGTTATTCAATGCGTTTGTATGGGCTAACAGCAGTAAAGCAAAACTTTTTTTTCATCAAATATATATATTTTTAGACTTCAAGGGGTCTTAAAATTCTAAATCAAATACCAAAATTATCCTTGGTATGACCTTCTTAAAACAATTGTATATAGCTTAGCAGTACCCCACCCCCCCATCTTACACTCTTAAGTCAAGTAGAAGGGTTCACACACACACACACACACACCAAGGAGTGATAAGAACAGAGGTGTGTGTACTGTACCTTCCCAGCTCTGCCACCTCAGTGTAGTGGGACTCAAAGTTGTCCTTCCAGCTCACCCTGACCCCGTCACTGGACACAGCTACACACAAAGGGGGAATAATACAGTCAAATACAGCCAAAGAGAGTGTGTTTGTTTTTGCCTGTGAACGGTGAAAATGTACAGTACTGTGTGAATGCATTTGTGCAGCTGTGTGTTAACACTAGAAGAGCCGAGTGAGTCATTTCGACTCAATATGAATTTAAAATTCAAATATCTCTCCCATTTTAAAAGTCATGCCCCCGTCTGTCCTTGACTTTTCCTAAATATGCAAGTCATTTACAGTTACATTAATTACTGTTTAATTACTGGCCTGTGCCAGCATGTATGTACGTGTGTGTGTGGTCTCACCTAGCACTCTGAGGCTGGCTGATGATGTCACTGAGCCCAGGTCGTTAGCAGCGACGCAGGTGTAAACACCGTTGTCCACCGAAGACACACCTACTATCCTCAGTGTCGCCTCGCCCGTCTCACTGTCACACACACACACACACACACACATATACACATTTTAACAGCCAATAACATTGTTTCACTGTCACACAAACAAGTGATACCTTTGTGTGTTTGTGTGTGTGTGTCTCTCTCTCTCTCTCTCTGTGTACCTGTAGGCGATGCTGTGGTGTCCATTATTGTTCAGGGTGGTCTGGTCAGGTCCCCTCCAAGTGACAGTAGCTCGGCCACACACCTTACACCTCAGAGTCACACTCTCCCCGTTGTCACACGTCATCTCACTCAGGGGGACCAGGAATTCTGGTTGAACTAAGGGCCAAAGGTAAAATGACATCATGACTGAGCAGCTGAGAGCGCCAGGGGTTGTGTCATAGTGAGAGCATATTATTTACATTCATTTGTTTGCCTTTTCAAGTTTAAATGTGTTTTTTTGTTCATTCTTTGGTTATTATTTGATATTTCACAATTAACTTTATTGTTCCTAAGTGGAAAATGGTCATGGACACACAAACAATATATGTAAATCTGTATATCAATTCTGTTATATTGAGGGGATCTTTATTGAGAATACACAATGAGACTTTTTTTTATTATTATTATTTTTTTTTTTCCTTGGGGGTAGATCAGCTTAATATTGCAGATAGATTGTAACTTATATATATATATATATATATATATATATATACATATACACACATATATATACACATACATACATTTACACATATATACATACATACATACATACATACATACATACATACATACATACATACATACATACATACATACATACATACATACATACATACATACATACATACATACATATATACATATATACATATATACATATATACATACATACATACATACATACATACATATATATATATAGTGGGGGAAAAAAGTATTTAGTCAGCCACCAATTGTGCAAGTTCTCCCACTTAAAAAGACGTCAACTATAGTGGGACTCAAAGTTGAGAAAAAAATGATAGTTTCTTTTCAAGAAAATCACATTGTAGGATTTTTTATGAATTTATTTGCAAATTATGGTGGAAAATAAGTATTTGGTCAATAACAAAAGTTTCTCAATACTTTGTTATATACCCTTTGTTGGCAATGACACAGGTCAAACGTTTTCTGTAAGTCTTCACAAGGTTTTCACACACTGTTGCTGGTATTTTGGCCCATTCCTCCATGCAGATCTCCTCTAGAGCAGTGATGTTTTGGGGCTGTCGCTGGGCAACACAGACTTTCAACTCCCTCCAAAGATTTTCTATGGGGTTGAGATCTGGAGACTGGCTAGGCCACTCCAGGACCTTGAAATGCTTCTTACGAAGCCACTCCTTCGTTGCCCGGGCGGTGTGTTTGGGATCATTGTCATGCTGAAAGACCCAGCCACGTTTCATCTTCAATGCCCTTGCTGATGGAAGGAGGTTTTCACTAAAAATCTCACGATACATGGCCCCATTCATTCTTTCCTTTACACGGATCAGTCGTCCTGGTCCCTTTGCAGAAAAACAGCCCCAAAGCATGATGTTTCCACCCCCATGATTCACAGTAGGTATGGTGTTCTTTGGATGCAACTCAGCATTCTTTGTCCTCCAAACACGACGAGTTGAGTTTTTACCAAAAAGTTCTATTTTGGTTTCATCTGACCATATGACATTCTCCCAATCCTCTTCTGGATCATCCAAATGTACTCTAGCAAACTTCAGACGGGCCTGGACATGTACTGGCTTAAGCAGGGGGACACGTCTGGCACTGCAGGATTTGAGTCCCTGGCGGCGTAGTGTGTTACTGATGGTAGGCTTTGTTACTTTGGTCCCAGCTCTCTGCAGGTCATTCACTAGGTCCCCCCGTGTGGTTCTGGGATTTTTGCTCACCGTTCTTGTGATCATTTTGACCCCACGGGGTGAGATCTTGCGTGGAGCCCCAGATCGAGGGAGATTATCAGTGGTCTTGTATGTCTTCCATTTCCTAATAATTGCTCCCACTGTTGATTTCTTCAAACCAAGCTGCTTACCTATTGCAGATTCAATCTTCCCAGCCTGGTGCAGGTCTACAATTTTGTTTCTGGTGTCCTTTGACAGCTCTTTGGTCTTGGCCATAGTGGAGTTTGGAGTGTGTACCTGTAGGCGATGCTGTGGTGTCCATTATTGTTCAGGGTGGTCTGGTCAGGTCCCCTCCAAGTGACAGTAGCTCGGCCACACACCTTACACCTCAGAGTCACACTCTCCCCGTTGTCACACGTCATCTCACTCAGGGGGACCAGGAATTCTGGTTGAACTAAGGGCCAAAGGTAAAATGACATCATGACTGAGCAGCTGAGAGCGCCAGGGGTTGTGTCATAGTGACTGTTTGAGGTTGTGGACAGGTGTCTTTTATACTGATAACAAGTTCAAACAGGTGCCATTAATACAGGTAACAAGTGGAGGACAGAGGAGCCTCTTAAATAAGAAGTTACAGGTCTGTGAGAGCCAGAAATCTTGCTTGTTTGTAGGTGACCAAATACTTATTTTCCACCATAATTTGCAAATAAATTCATAAAAAATCCTACAATGTGATTTTCTGGATTTTTTTCTCTCAATTTGTCTGTCATAGTTGACGTGTACCTATGATGAAAATTACAGACCTCTCTCATCTTTTTAAGTGGGAGAACTTGCACAATTGGTGGCTGACTAAACACTTTTTTTCCCCACTGTACACATATCCACTGCAATTAGCAAGACACCCCCAATAAAGAAGTGGTTCTGCAGGTGGTGACCACACACACACACACACACACACACACACACACACACACACACACACACACATACATACAGTGGGGAGAACAAGTATTTGATACACTGCCGATTTTGCAGGTTTTCCTACTTACAAAGCATGTAGAGGTCTGTAATTTTTATCATAGGTACACTTCAACTTTTAGAGACGGAATCTAAAACAAAAATCCAGAAAATCACATTGTATGATTTTTAAGTAATGAATTTGCATTTTATTGCATGACATAAGTATTTGATACATCAGAAAAGCAGAACATAATATTTGGTACAGAAACCTTTGTTTGCAATTACAGAGATCATATGTTTCCTGTAGGTCTTGACCAGGTTTGCACACACTGCAGCAGGGATTTTGGCCCACTCCTCCATACAGACCTTTTCCAGATCCTTCAGGTTTCGGGGCTGTCGCTGGGCAATACGGACTTTCAGCTCCCTCCAAAGATTTTCTATTGGGTTCAGGTCTGGAGACTGGCTAGGCCACTCCAGGACCTTGAGATGCTTCTTACGGAGCCACTCCTTAGTTGCCCTGGCTGTGTGTTTCGGGTCGTTGTCATGCTGGAAGACCCAGCCACGACCCATCTTCAATGCTCTTACTGAGGGAAGGAGGTTGTTGGCCAAGATCTCGCAATACATGGCCCCATCCATCCATCCCTCAATACGGTGCAGTCGTCCAGTCCCCTTTGCAGAAAAGCATCCTCAAAGAATGATGTTTCAACCTCCATGCTTCACGGTTGGTATGGTGTTCTTGGGGTTGTCCTCATCCTTCTTCTTCCTCCAAACACGGCGAGTGGAGTTTAGACCAAAAAGCTCTATTTTTGTCTCATCAGACCACATGACCTTCTCCCATTCCTCCTCTGGATCATCCAGATGGTCACTGGCAAACTTCAGACGGGCCTGGACATGCGCTGGCTTGAGCAGGGGGACCTTGCGTGCGCTGCAGGATTTTAATCCATGACGGCTTAGTGTGTTACTAATGGTTTTCTTTGAGGCTGTGGTCCCAGCTCTCTTCAGGTCATTGACCAGGTCCTGCCGTGTAGTTTTGGGCTGATCCCTCACCTTCCTCATGATCATTGATGCCCCACGAGGTGAGATCTTGCATGGAACCCCAGACCGAGGGTGATTGACCGTCATCTTGAACTTCTTCCATTTCCTAATAATTGCGCCAACAGTTGTTGCCTTCTTACCAAGCTGCTTGCCTATTGTCCCGTAGCCCATCCCAGCCTTGTGCAGGTCTACAATTTTATCCCTGATGTCCTTACAGAGCTCTCTGGTCTTGGCCATTGTGGAGAGGTTGGAGTCTGTTTGATTGAGTGTGTGGACAGGTGTCTTTTATACAGGTAACGAGTTCAAACAGGTGATTTTAATACAGGTAATGAGTAGAGAACAGGAGGGCTTCTTAAAGAAAAACTAACAGGTCTGTGAGAGCCGGAATTCTTACTGGTTGGTAGGTGATCAAATACTTATGTCATGCAATAAAATGCAAATTAATTACTTAAAAATCATACCAACGTGATTTTCTGGATTTTTGTTTTAGATTCCGTCTCTCACAGTTGAAGTATACCTATGATAAAAAATTACAGACCTCTACATGCTTTGTAAGTAGGAAAACCTGCAAAACCGGCAGTGTATCAAATACTTGTTCTCCCCACTGTATATATATATATATACACATATACATACATACACATATACATACATATCCTTTAAAAAAAATATATATATTCCCCTTTCTTACTTTCCAACCCTGCCACCCTTTCCCCACTTGGAGTAAACTAGTGAACAACAACGCCTAAGCCTCTACTTCCAGCCCATACCCCTATCTACATTTTATGGACACAGTCAATTTTACAGTAATTGCATTTTGTTTGTTCTTTCTCCTGAACTTCTTCTACTCTCAACCTCTCCGATCATTTTCATGATGTCCATCCAGTTTGCTTCTATATGCCATATCTTTCTAACTGTGCTCCTTCACAAAAGCTCTCAACCTACAACCCATACACTTATTATGGACACAGCGTGCCTACATTATTAGTTATCTTGTTATTGTTTGTTGTTAGTTGTTATTAGTCCCATCCTTCAATTCCATTCAACACCTCCCATCTATCTTTTAACACCATCCATATAGGATTTCTATTTGCCATATATATTTCAACTGTACTGTCTTCCAAAAGTTCTGAACCTTTCTATTCTCATTGTTTCTACAGATTGTGAATTGAAAATAAACATTTTTGCTAATAGTATTATTATGTTATTGATCGATTGACTATGACTTTTCAGATCACCCAGTAGTGCTATCTGCAGGGTTAGCTCCAGGTAAATATTGCAATCCTTTAGCCATTCCTGGACCTGTGTCCAAAAACAAGCTACAAATGGACAGTACCAAAACAAATGAGCTAATGATTCTGTCTCTTCGCAGCAAAATCTGCAGAGCTGGGAAGATTGTATCCCCCATATAAATAACATTCTATTGGTAGCAAGAATTTTATATAATAATTTAAATTGAAAGATTCTAAGTTTTGAATCCGGTGTCGTTTTGCGTATCAGTTCATAAACACTATGCCATGGGATCGGTACGTCAAAAATCTCTTCCCAACTATTTTGCAATCTATATGGGACGGCTGTCAATCCTTTGGTCCTTAAATGAAACTGATATACCTTTTTATTTATCACAGTTTTCCTTAACCAATTATGTTCTTTAATGCAAGGCCGACAGACAAGTTCCTTACTTTCTCCTCCTTCCACTTTCCTCTTCCATTTTTGCAGTAAGGCTGCAATTATTTGGTTGTAATTTTGGGTAGAGCATGTGCGACATAACTCCACCAGTCCTCCCAATGATATCATTTACAAAGATTATACATTTTTCAACATTTTGTCAAAAAAATAAGGTTTTGTCAATTAGTATATTTGAGTTTAACCACAATATTTGTTGCATTATTTGTTCTGTCGTTTCTGGAGGATTAAATTGAAATTGCAACCAACTTTCTATGGATTGTTTTATAAATAGTGATATCTGGGAGATTATTTCCTTTTCAAATAACTGAAAGTGAGTGGTTGTAATCTGAATAAATGGAAAAAGGCCATTCTTGAACATTGGGTGAGACAATCTTACTAATTTGCTAGAGAACCAGTTCGGATTTAAGTATAACTTTTGTATGACTGAAGCTTTTATTGATAGGTCTAATGCTTTAATATTTAATAATTTCTGTCCTCTGAATTCATATTCATTATATAAATAGGCCCGTTTAATTTTGTCTGGCTTGCCGTTCCAAATAAAATGGAATCTTTTTTTCTCATATAATTTAAAAAACTGTTCGCTAGGCGTAGGCAAGACCATAAGCAAATAGGTAAACTGGGATAATACTAAAGAGTTAAATCAGGGTGATTTTTCCACAAATTGACAGGCAAGATCTTATCTATTTTTGCTAACTTTCTATTATAATTTATTGAAGTGAGATCATTTATTTCCTTTGGGATATGTATTCCGAGTATATCCACATCACCATGAGACCATTTTACTGGTAAACTACATGGCAATGTAAAAATTGTATTTTTTATTGATCCAATATGTAATATAGTACATTTGTTATAATTTGGTTGTAATCCAGAGAGGTTAGAAAATGTATCTAGATCCTCTATGAGGCTGTGGAGTGATTCTAGTTGTGGATTTAAAAGAAAACATAAATCATCAGCGTACAATGACACCTTTGTTTTTAAGCCCTGGATTTCTAATCCCCTGATATTATTGTTGGATCTGATTTTAATAGCTAACATCTCGATGGCCACAATAAATAGATATGCCGATAGTGGACAACCTTGTTTCACTCCTCTTGACAGTTGAAAACTTTGAGAAATAGCCATTATTTACTATTTTACACCTAGGGTTACTATACATGATTTTGACCCATTTTATAAGAGATTCACCAAAATTGAAATGCTCCAGGCATTTATATATAAACCCCAGTCGTACTTTATCAAATGCCTTTTCGAAGTCTGCTATGAATAGCAGGCCTGGTTTCTCAGATTTTCCATAATGTTCTATTGTTTCCAATACTTGCCTCCAATGTATCTTCCTTGTAAAAACACCTGTCTGATTAGAATGAATAATATCCGACAATACCTTTTTAATTCTATGCGCTATACATTTTGCTAGAATTTTCGCATCACAACACTGAAGTGTAAGGGGCCTCCAATTTTTTTAAATGGACTGGATCTTTATATTTTCCACTTGTATCCTGTTTCAGTAAAAATGAGATCAGACCTTCTTCTTGAGTGTCAGATAATCTACCATTTACATAGGAGTGGTTAAAACATGCTAATAGCGGTCCTCTTAGTATATCAAAAAAGGTTTGGTTTGTTCGACTGGTATGCCATCCAACCCTGGAGTTTTCCCAGACTTAAAGTCTTTAATTGCATCCAGAAGTTCCTCCTCTGTAATTTCACCTTCACATGAGTCTTTCTGTTTGGCTGTTAATTTTACATTATCAATAAAAAAAAATCTCTACAATTAGCTTCAGTTAGAGGAGATGGAGGCGACTGAAACGAAAACATATGCTTAAAGTTTCCTCCTTCAAAATATAATTTGGTGAATCATGGGTTACTCCGTCAATTGTAACCAATTTCATTACATTCTTTTTGGTAGCATTCCTATGTTGAAGATTAAAAAATTATTTAGTGCATTTTTTCCCCCATATTCCATCCAGTTTGCTTTATTTTTATAATATATTACACTTGATCTTTCTTGAATTAGTTTCTCCATTTCTTTTTGATTTTCCTCTAATTTATTCTGAGCCTCTATGTTACAGTTTTTATTGCCATCTATCTGTTCTGTTAGACTTTCTATTTCCTTTGTTAGTATAAACTCTTTTGACCTAAATTGCTTTTGTTTTCGAGATGAGTACTGAATTGCATGGCCTCTAAAGGCGCATTTAAAGGTGTCCAATACAATAAGGGGATTTGCTGTACCTATGTTATGTCGGAAAAAGTCAGTTATAAATTCCTTTGTTCTAGTTAAAAATAAATTATCATCCAATAGGCTTTGATTACATTTCCAATATCCTCGCCCACGTGGAAATTCAGTAAGAGTAATGTATATGCCAATTATATGAAGGTCCGACCGCATTCTGTCCCCTATCAACACTTTTTAAACTTTTGGTGCCAACGAGAATGAGATAAGAAAGAAGTCAAGACGACTAGCTTGATTGAGTCTCCGCCATGTATATCTCACTAGATCAGGATATTTAAGCCTCCATATATCTACTAGTTCTAATGTATCCATGACATTCACGATTTCCTTAAGAGCATGTGGGTGATTGTTTGTGGTGTGATTTCCTTTATGGTCCATTGAGCTATTTAAAACAGTATTATAATCCCCCACCATAATAATATTGTCTTGAATTGCTTGCAGGGTTGATAATTTATTATATATATTGTCAAAGAAGTGTGGATCATCATTATTTGGTCCGTAAATGTTAATGAGCCATATCTGTTTATTGTCCAATAACATATTTAAAATAATACATCTACCTTGCGTATCTATTTGGACAATTTGCACATTCGGATCGAAATTACTATTAATTAATATCATCACCCCTTTTGAATTTCTTTGCCCATGGGAGAAGTATATTTAGCCCGCCCATTCCTTTTTCCACGCAACTTCATCTAGAATTGTTGAATGAGTTTCCTGTAAACAATAGATATTATATTCCTTCTCTTTGAGCCATGTAAATATTGTTCTTCTGTCCATATAGCTGTACCATGATATTTGCATTGCTACTAAGTATCCCTTCAATTGTTCTCCACTAATTCCCCCGCTAAAGCCCCTCCCCATCCCAAGTTGAGCCGTCATCCCAGTGATCAGCATCCCACCCACATCCCTCCGGATCCCTAGGGCCCCGAGAGGCCAGGACCCATCCATCGAAAACAGCTGTCACCTCTATATATAACTATAAAAAAATATATATCTATTCAAATATCTTGCATATCTTATTTTCCATCATTATCAATTAATATGCGTAATAATGTCGGCAGTTCATACGTAGGATTTTAACATATAACCCAGATTGCCATTGTATTACATTTCATTTATTGACAAGCAATTATTATCCTAGCAAATAATTACCGTGGTCCATCCCCCCCCCCCCCCCCCCCCACCCCCCCCCCCACCCCACAACAGATGCAGGACAAACACACACGCACATACTCACATACTCCAACACACTCATCCCCCCTCCTCCACAATCCACCATAAAATCTGATACTCAACAGTTGTTATATCCCAGAGCCGAACTCAAGAAAGGACCTGATTTACGAGTGCACATACAGTTACAGCTGATTGAGAAAGCATGCAAGATTGAGCAGAAATTGACAACAATGTGAGATTTGATTAATCTACTTAATCTATGTCAAGTCCTAGGTGATGGAGATCAGATCCACCCTCTTCACCTGAGACACAAACACTCTGGTCCCCCCCGTTGTAACCATTTTTCCCAAGCATTTCCGTGCAGTCAGACCTTTGATTATTTTGTGCAACCTGGGCCACAATGATAAACCCCCTCTCTGATTGTCCGAGTGTGACCCCCTCCCCATGGGTTACTGCAGCCAGTGTTGCCTGCACTGCCACTACCTGGGTGGGGGTACCCCACCGGAATCCCCACCGGCTAGGTAAAAGGTCGTCAAGGTTCTCATTAGCAGCTTTGAGAATTTCCTTGTATATAAATGCTCTCCCATCAGGGGGCTCTGGCTTTGTAGGACCAACCCTGCCAGGCAGGCTCAGAATCTTGAGGGGGCGGTGCTGCTCAAGTAGGTCTCTGACCGCATTTATATCTCTGTTTAGGCTGCATACTCACAGCAGGTCCATAAAAGAGATGGGAACTTCTCTTTGGTGTATGGGTCACTCAGGTGGGTGTCCTGGATATAGGGTTGGGGATCTTTCCATCATGATAGGTCAATAAAAAATTAAATTAGATGTATACTATATTTAAAAATGTATATCCCTCATCTAAACAAAATTGAAAGCTCTCCCTCACTACCCCTGCTCATAGACACCCGTCGGCTCTAGGATATGCAACCATTTCCCCTCTCACTCAATTAACACCGCACCTTTCCACAATGAGAGACTTACCATCATAGATATAGTTGGGATTTAGAAGCTGAAAAAACCAGACAGAAAACCAAACATCAGACATCACAGAAGTACGTTTTGTGTAGTTCTGATATTCTTGGTTGGTTACTAGCAATACATCAAAAATAGCGCCACCTAGCTCTCTGATAGGCTAGGATCAATTTCCACCATATTGCTTATACCTATCCAAGCCTCTCCGATCTACATAAGTAGGTCTGCCTAGGCATCACGGGTAGGGCTAGTGGTCAATAAGGATTGGACAAAAGGATTGATGATTAATTACCTTTACAGAAACCTTATTGGCTAGCCCATCTCTGGACTTCCTGTAACCGTTTTCCAGCTTGCCCTCTTTCTTTCCCTCCTCTTTCTTCTCAGACTTCTTGCGGATGCGCAGGGTGGTGTGCCAGGATGAGGACTTCCTGTTTACACAAATAGGGACAAAGTTGAAAGGTATATGATATGATATACTACTAATCAATAACATATCTAATTTTACCATACAATTCCTAGTTTTAGGCTAACAATATTTTGTGTGGTGTCACACTAAAATCCTTCCCACAGTCTCTTACTTGATGGTTCCGTCTGGGCAGTCGGGGATGATGGCGGAGGTGTGTCCTAGAATGTAGCCGGGGATCCAGCCCTCGGCGGCGGGGCCCTGTTCTGTAGCGGCCCGGAACACCAGGAACATGTTCTGTTGGTTAGAGGCCAGGATCTGAACCACCTCTCCCTGGGACACACTGATCTCATCCTCCTTTAGGGCCACGTAGTCCTGGGTCACCAACATGGTCGACATACTACTGCTGCTGCTGCTTTCACTCTGCAGATGGTGGGAGGGAGGTGGGTGGTGGTGGGGGGGGGGGGGGGGGTGTAAGTATATTGAATAACTTGCAAGAAACTCACTCACACACACTCCCCCACACATACGTAGATCAATCCCCTAAGATGCCATGCATCTTGTCAGTAACAGGCCAAACACACAGATTCTATCATGGCGCCCCAAACGACACACACACCTCACACTCACAATGCTGTTTAGGTAGAGAGGGAAGAGGACGGACAAAAAGCAGCAGAGAGAAGAGGAAAAGATCAATACTATTTGAGTAGAGCTTTAGATAATCGTCCAATCATGTGAGTGCTGTTGTTAGCCATCCATTCTCCAGTTTAACACACTGTCTCCAGTGGAAGAGTTAAAGTTATCAACATAACGTATACACCTCTGTAAGAGACAAAGAAATAAGAAAAAGGGCTGGGCACCACTCCTCACTCCTCCTTCGGAGAACGAGTGAATCAGATGGAGTGAAGCAGAAGCGAGAAGACGTACACACTCAGGTGGAGGTGTTAAAAGGAGGGATGAGTTTCAGTTTCAGTGGTCTTGCTCCGACACAAAGACGAGACGAGTTAGAGAGAGAAGTAATCAAGCTGGAAGAAGCTTTGTTAGAGTTAAATAGCAGAAATGAGAGTCGTTGTTAAAGATTGAAGAGTTATAAAAGCCTTGATAGCAACAACAACAAAAAGAGTAGAAAAAGTATTCAGTAGAGTTTAGTAGATTTGTCATTAGAGCTTAAAAAGCGGTGAAGCATTGTTAGAGACATAGCGACAAGAGACACGTAGTAGTAATAGTAGAGTACTTCTAAGTAGTACAGTTGTAGTGGATTACTACTTGGAGTGCAGGTAAAGCTTGGTTAGAGCGGTGCGTTGTAGAGTAGTTTAGTACAGTTGTCAATTCGTTAGACGCGTAGTAGTAGTAGTAGTAGTAGTATAAGAGTACTACTAGTAGTAGAGTAGTAGTAGAACATGTAGTAGCAGTTAAGTAGAGCCATCTCCAGTGGGATACAGCAGGACACAGGCAGACAGGACAGGTCTCCCGTGGGTGCTGGGTTAGTCAACCAGGAGCAGGAGCAGGACTAGGCCGCACAGAAGCCTGGGCAGCGGGTACATCTCTTACCCCGTTGCTCTGGGTGGACTGCTCACTGGTGGACGAGCACGTACTCATGCGGTCCGCCTCTTTGCTGTGGTTGGAGTGTCTGTGGGAGCCTGTCCCGGACTGAGAGGAGGTCTGGGACGTGTTTTGGTTCTGCCTCCCCATGGTCTCTCCTGTCTCCCCTGGGAAGGTGAAGGAGCCGGGCCTACTGGCTGGGGAACCAGGCATGGAGCTCCAGAAGGAGCCAGAGCCAGACTTCAGGCCAGGGCTGGGAGGGGGAGGCAGGAGGGCGTCTTTCCCAAAGGCGGGAGTGGCCAGGGGGGAGGCCATGGGGGAGACGGTGCCCGGGCGAGGCTTGGTGGGGGTGGAGAGAAGCACGGGCACAGGGAGGGGGGCCACACTGGCCCGGGGAATTGGGGGGACGGGAGGGGTCTGTTCGGCTGAAGCCGAGAAGGGGCGCTTGCCCTGGGGGCTGCCCCCCTGGACCCTCACCCCACGCTGGGCCTCCCTGGTGTCCCTCACCCCCCCTGCTGGAGCCTGCAACCCCGGGTTTGCTGAGACGGAGGGAGGGAGCGAGGGATGAGGGGGGAGACGAGGGGAGGAACCTGAATCACAAGTGAGCAAAACTGAGTGGAGGGAGGGAAACGTCTTAACCAGGGAAATTTCAACACACACACACCCTCTGTAATACTGGGAGATATCTACCTGACATCTTGTTGGGGCCGTCTGGGTCTGCGGCCCCAGGGTGGTGTGGGTGTCGTAGGGGCTGGGGCAGGCGTGAGGGCTGAGGGATCCTGGATGGCCTCATGGACGAAACAGCTCCGCCCTGGGGACCACCTCCAACGAGGGGACCAGTGAGAGGCGCACCCTGTAGACCACCAGCAGGGGCCACACTGGGCATGATGCTCCCCACTGACGGAGTGCTGCTGCTGGGTAGACATGGTCCGTCGCTAGCCCCTACATGGTTCCTCTGGTACTCTATAGGGGAGGTCAGAGCTGGAGAGAGAGAGATAGAGTGAGAAAGAAAGGGACAGAGATTGAACAAAATATTAACCTTTGCAGTATTTATTTTGGCTACATCACAAACCACAACATTCCAAAATGGACTATTTTGGAATGAGTTACGCAAAGGGTTCATGTGCGTGGGTGCGTGTACCGTTGAGGAAGTTGCGTTGGCTCTCCAGTATCTGGCTGATCTGAAGGGTCCAAACCTGACGCACTCCCAGGTGGGAGGAGTGGAGGACAAAGGATTCTATGCTGCTATTGGTCACCCGAGAGGTCAACACAAACTTACAGGGGTCACCGTCCACACTGTCCTCCAACCCCAGACAACCGATCTGGAGATGGAGACAGAGAGAGAGTTTCAACACACCTTTATCAAGAAATGAAGGGATGGATACAGCACTCACAGCTTGCATATATATAAAAATAAAGAAAAGGAGAGAAACTGTGTTGTTGTTTGGAATTAAATACACATTTCCATCATAGGATCTATAGACGATACCTTGATGCTGTTCTTGTATAGGAAGCCCGGCATGGAGAAGCCTCTCTTCTTGTCCAGTAGATCACTGAAGATGACCATCTGTTCAAATAGGAAGACCCTCCTCTCCCTCATCCTCCCACCTCCTCCCTCGGGGTCTGATACCATGAAGGTGTCCTGGAGCAGCAGACGACCCTGGGCCACAATCTTACCCTGAAGAAAAGAAAGAGAGAGAGAAGGAAGGAAACAAAAGTGAGGAGCAAAATTTAGAAAGAGAGGTGAAGAATGGAAACGATAAGGGAGGCAGAGGAAAGAGAAGGAGAGAAAACAAGATGATCTGACATTGGTGGGTTGACTGATCTGACAATCTATTCTTCAGTCTTTAAATGTTTGATATTCTGTTTTGTTGGATAACTATTTAATGTCAGGGTTATCTTACGTCAAATCCTTGGAGTCGCCCCACGTTCATCATATCGTTGCATCTCTTTGGTACGATGCACATGATCTCAACTCCTTTCTGTAGGGCACACACACATCGAATGGGTTAAAAACCCACGTTGTTTAGGAAATAAAATATAGTATAAAAATGTATAAAACACTAGAGGAAAGACAGTGTCCTCTCCTCCTCACCTCCAACTCTACTGAATCCAACCCTGCCTTTTTAGAGAATTTTAGGAAGTCCTACGAACAAAACAAGACAAAATTAATTTGATATTACAAAAAGGTGACTTGTGTGAAAGACAATGATTACCCAATTATAAGGCAACATGGTAAAAAATAAAAAATAAATGATACTGGGCCCCCAGCTAAGAAAACCCCTGCTGGACAACTAAGACCATGATCATGTACAGCACTTAGTTCCCTCACAAAACATTGACATCCATTTTAATCATTTAGCAGACGCTCTTATCCAGAGCGACTTACAATTAGAACACAAGACGATGATGAAAACAGACACAGACACACCCACTCTACCTACCTTGAGCAGTAGCTGGTACTTCATGATTCTCTGGACAGGTTTGATGAGGAGGTCAGTGATCTGGAGACGGTGACCTAGACGTTGTTTCAGGTCCTCAAAGTAGGTGTCGATGTACTCTGACACGATGTGTTCTGACTTGGGCTTGTTCTGACAGTACACTATGTACATGTGGAGCCTTCGCTCCTGGAGACAGAACACACAGAGGGTTAGGGTACTGTAGATATACACTACCGTTCAAATGTTTGGGGTCACTTAGAAATGTCCTTGTTTTCGAAAGAAAAGCAATTTTTTTGTCCATTAAAATAACATTAATTTGATCAGAAATACAGTGTAGACATTGTTAATGTTGTAAATGGCTATTGTAGCTGGAAAAATATGTTTTATGGAATATCTACATAGGCGTACAGAGGCCCATTATCAGCAACCATCAGTCATGTGTTCCAATGGCACGTTGTGTTTGCTAATCCAAGTTTATCATTTTAAAAGACTAATTGATCATTAGAAAACCCTTTTGCAATTATGTTAGCACAGCTGAAAACTGTTGTGCTGATTAAAGAAGCAATAAAACTGGCCTTCTTGAGACTAGTTTAGTATCTGGAGCATCAGCAATTGTGGGTTCGATTACAGGCTCAAAATGGCCAGAAACAAATAACTTTCTTCTGAAACTCATCAGTCTATTCTTGTTCTGAGAAATGAAGGCTATTCCATGCGAGAAATTGCCAAGAAACTGAATATCTCGTACAACGCTGTGTACTACTCCCTTTACAGAACAGCGCAAACGGTCTCTAACCAAAATAGAAAGAGGATTTGGCCTTGCTGAGCAAGAGGACAAATACATTAGTGTCTAGTTTGAGAAACAGACGCCTCACAGGTCCTCAACTGGCAGCTTCATTAAATAGTACCCGCAAAACACCAGTCTCAACGTCAACAGTGAAGAGGCGACTCCGGGATGCTGACCTTCTAGGCAGAGTTGCAAAGAAAAAGCCATATCTCAGACTGGCCAATAAAAAGAAAAGATTCAGATGGGCAGTTTGACATGGCTTTTTCTTTGCAACTCTGCCTAGAAGGTCAGCATCTCAGAGTCGCCGCTTCACTGTTGACGTTTCTCGCATGGAATAGCCTTCATTTCTCAGAACAAGAATAGACTGACGAGTTTCAGAAGAAAGTTATTTGTTTCTGGCCATTTTGATCCTGTAATCGAACCCACAATTGCTGATGCTCCAGATACTCAACTAGTCTCAAGAAGGCCAGTTTTATTGCTTCTTTAATCAGCACAACAGTTTTCAGCTGTGCTAACATAATTGCAAAAGGGTTTTCTAATGATCAATTAGCCTTTAAAATGATAAACTTGATTTAGCAAACACAACGTGCCATTGGAACACAGGACTGATGGTTTTCTTTCGAAAACAAGGACATTTCTAAGTGACCCCAAACTTTTGAACAGAAGTGTATACACACTCAAACACTCACTCACACACTCACTCACACAGCAACAGTCAGTCACTCACATGTTTGACAAACAGCGGTCCAAGTCGATCAGGGTCTTCAAGACACTTTTCTAACTCTCCCATGAAGAAACTACAGAGAGAAAGCGAGAGGGTCAGCAAGGCATATCCATACTATATTGTGTGTGTGTGTGTGTGTGTGTGTGTGTGTGTGTGTGTCATACTCTCTGTGCCAGTCGTAGATCTGGTGGATGTTTCCAAAGACTATCTTGTCTTTCCCCTTCATATCGTCTGGTACCCCTTCCTCCTTCATCCGAGTCATATAGCTCTGAAACACACACAGTCAGGGGTGCAAAATCACGTCGTCACACACACGTGAACATCAACTAACACTAGAGGAAGAGGAAGTGAGGTCAGAGGGAGGGAGGAAGTGATGTGTTTTGACTCACCTCCACCACCAGGCCCAGGTCTCTGACGTAGTCCCTCTCTGTCTCCACCAGCTCCAACAACACATAACTACACACAGAGAGAGAGGGTCAGTAACATGTCTTAAACAAGAGCGTCAAAGAATAAAACGAGTTTCAGTGTACAGTGTCCATATTAGGATAGCTACAGTCAAACGCTGCTGAGGCTGAGGTTGTCCTAATATGGACACTAACAGTGAGCATGAGAGAGTGAGTGAGTGACAGAAAAAGAGCTAGTGATCCATGTTGGAAACAAGTGGAATCGCTTTAACGCGTTATAGCCTGGGTTGTACTCCGTGCATCTTTTTTCCCCAATAAATCAATCAATCCAGTACGTACTGTCGTCTCTTGAGGAAGCCAGTCTTGCGCTCCTCCATCTCATCGATGGGAGAGGAGGATGAGAGGAGGGAGTTGTCGGAGGGGTTGAAGGAGGGAGAACTGCTATCCACCTGTTCTACTGAGAGAGAGCTAGGCCTGTCCTCTAGAGCCTGGAGAGAGAGAGAGGGAGGGAGAAAGAAAGAGGTAGATTGTAAACCAGACAACGCCTCCCTGTATGCGTGTGTGTAATAGAAATGTACATTTACATTTTAGTCATGTATATGTGTGTGTATGTGTGTGTGTGTCCTTACTAGGGCTGTTTCGGTGACCATATTTCCGCGACACCGGCAGTCATGATCCATGACCGCAGTAAAATTCCACATGACCGTTGAGTCACGGTAACCTCCTCTAATGCACTCTGGACATGCGTTGGTAGTATCAAATCCCTAACGATCATCAGGTCGCTAATGGCCTGGTACTCAGGGCTCTATTGTCCCTCTAACCACCCTGACATCAATGCAAATGCAATCGAAAATCACATCAAACACATCATCAAAACAGCATGTGCTTTTAAAACTCACCTCACTGTGATTGATCAATTTGAAGAAAGAAGTTCAACAATAGGTTGACACTGAGTGGAAAACATGGTCTTTATGGCTGTTGTTTCAAAGCCTGACACAATTAAATGGACAGCGCTTTCTAAGATGGACAGTGCTTTCTAAGTTGATTAATTAATTAATTCAAAACACCCATATGCATAGGTCTATTTTGATATATGAGCCCAAGCCCCCCCAAAAAAGTTGAATTAAAATAACGATTCTGCCGTTATACAATACTTAGCCTACTGCATACTACGCACAGCAGAGAATTTTGGTACATAATTGGTCTAGCCTATAGCTCAGTTGGTAGAGCATGGCGCTTGCAACGCCAGGGTTGTGGGTTCGATTCCCACGGGGGGCCAGTATAAAAAATAAAAAATAAAACATGTATGCACTCACTAACTGTAAGTTGTTTTGGATAAGAGCGTCTGCTAAATGACTAAAAATGTAAATGTAAATGGCCTTTGAGTGTGGACTGTATTATTATGCATACTGGATGGACTGGGTTACCTTATGCTACACTACAAACGTTCTATCCATGAGCCTGGGAGAGAACGTATAAGCCTAGGTGATGCTGTTCATTGAACAGCCTAATAATAGGGAATCTTTTATATTTTCATAATTAATGGGCTGGCACATTACCTTTAGCTACAGTATATCTCAGCACCATGCGTTTCCATCTCCGCCCCTCTCTCCTTCATTCCTTTCTCAAGCACGCAGAAAGAGGGGCTGTCAACAGTTTAATGAAATATCGATGTTCCCGAACAGATTTCACTTGGTTTCCCAGATTAAGCACTGGGTAGCTGCAGGAACAGGGTTGAGAGCCCATTGCATACAGAGTTTGGGCATAATTTCACCTGTTGCGCAGTGAATAGGCTGCATGCTCCTCAAACAGCGGTTGATGTGTGGAGTGAAATAACCGGAGTAGCCTACCCAGCATGAATGAGAAAAACAGACTGTCGGGAAAGATGACGTCTTTTTTCCCCTGCCCTTGTTCCTACCCATTTGATAACGGGCCATTCTAAATCTAAACTAATTTTACATATTAGTAAAGACAAGATTAAACTGAGAATAGTCTGATGGGTGAATATATGATCTCTTGATGAGAGAACAGCGTGCGCAGCTTGAGGCAAGGAACAGAGCGCAAGCCTTTTTTTGCAACTTTCTCAAATCATCAATAGGCTATAGTCGCACCATGCAGCCCATATATGTTTTGATTTCTAAGACATTCTAAGGTTTGTATCATTCACAACTAAAGTTGCCAAATAACTCTAAATAGGACCTGTTTCAAATGATCACTTTTATGCTCAACATAGCCACTTCATATGCGCCCACACTCACTCTAGAATGGGAAAAATATATTTTCTATTTTATTCAGCTAAGTTTGATTATATTCTTCTTACTATAAAATCATATAATATATAATAATGGCACGGGACTTATACACATGTCTTGTCTGCTAAATGAACAAGCCTACAGCCTATGGCATGGAGCATATCCAGATAACATACAGTAGGCCAACTCATATTCTGTTCTTCTGAAATACATTTTCTTCATTTCATATTGTTTCTTTAGACCTGTCTAAAATAAATAATGGATATATTGTGATTGTGTATATTAAATTGATTTATTAGACTTTTTAAAATATAGATGTTACAAAGGCGCATCCGCAGCTGGTATGCGGCTTGCAAGCGTGGAGGCCTGGAGATGCTAAATGTGCTTATGTTAATTATGGACAATTACCGTGAGACCGGCAGGCTTTTGCATGACATTAACCGGCCGACAAGATTTCATGACCACCACAGCCCTAGTCCTCACCATCTTGCTCTTGACCAGTTCCTCGATGGCGCTCACCAGCTCCGCAGCACTGGGTGTCTCAGAACTGGACGGTCGGACGGAGAGACGGGAGGAGCTCTGGACAGAGATGGGGGGGGGGGGGGGGGTTTAGAACATTCCCCTCAGCGTAGTCTTACTACATGATCTGGCTAAAGGCTACATTTAATACTGTTCCTGTTCAGTTATCCATCAAACAATCAATAAAACTTTAAAGTTGTCAATAAACAAATCTTTCAATCAACCAAGAAACCAAAATCTGGCAAGACTAACATTATTGATTCTTCCTAATTTGAACCCTCCCTTGTAGAACACCCTTTCAAGAGAGAAAATTAATACACTGCTCAAAAAAATAAAGGGAACACTTAAACAACACAATGTAACTCCAAGTCAATCACACTTCTGTGAAATCAAACTGTCCACTTAGGAAGCAACACTGATTGACAATACATTTCACATGCTGTTGTGCAAATGGAATAGACAACAGGTGGAAATTATAGGCAATTAGCAAGACACCCCCAATAAAGAAGTGGTTCTGCAGGTGGTGACCACAGACCACTTCTCAGTTCCTATGCTTCTTGGCTGATGTTTTGGTCACTTTTGAATGCTGGCGGTGCTTTCACTCTAGTAGTAGCATGAGACGGAGTCTACAACCCACACAAGTGGCCCAGGTAGAGCAGCTCATCCAGGATGGCACATCAATGCGAGTTGTGGCAAGAAGGTTTACTGTGTCTGTCAGCGTAGTGTCCAGAGCATGGAGGAGCTACCAGGACACAGGCCAGTACATTAGGAGACGTGGAGGAGGCCGTAGGAGGGCAACAACCCAGCAGCAGGACCGCTACCTCCACCTTTGTGCAAGGAGGAGCAGGAGGAGCACTGCCAGAGCCCTGCAAAATGACTTCCAGCAGGCCACAAATGTGCATGTGTCTGCTCAAACGGTCAGAAACAGACTCCATGAGGGTGGTATGAGGGCCCGACGTCCACAGGTGGGGGTTGTGCTTACAGTCCAACACCGTGCAGGACGTTTGGCATTTGCCAGAGAACACCAAGATTGGCAAATTCGCCACTGGCGCCCTGTGCTCTTCACAGATGAAAGCAGGTTCACACTGAGCACATGTGACAGACGTGACAGAGTCTGGAGACGCCGTGGAGAACGTTCTGCTGCCTGCAACATCCTCCAGCATGACCGGTTTGGCGGTGGGTCAGTCATGGTGTGGGGTGGCATTTCTTTGGGGGGCCGCACAGCCCTCCATGTGCTCGCCAGAGGTAGCCTGACTGCCATTAGGTACCGAGATGAGATCCTCAGACCCCTTGTGAGACCATATGCTGGTGCGGTTGGCCCTGGGTTCCTCCTAATGCGAGACAATGCTAGACCTCATGTGGCTGGAGTGTGTCAGCAGTTCCTGCAAGAGGAAGGCATTGATGCTATGGACTGGCCCGCCCGTTCCCCAGACCTGAATCCAATTGAGCACATCTGGGACATCATGTTTCGCTCCATCCACCAACGCCACGTTGCACCACAGACTGTCCAGGAGTTGGCGGATGCTTTAGTCCAGGTCTGGGAGGAGATCCCTCAGGAGACCATCCGCCACCTCATCAGGAGCATGCCCAGGCGTTGTAGGGAGGTCATACAGGCATGTGGAGGCCACACACACTACTGAGCCTCATTTTGACTTGTTTTAAGGACATTACATCAAAGTTGGATCAGCCTGTAGTGTGGTTTTCCACTTTTATTTTGAGGGTGACTCCAAATCCAGACCTCCATGGGTTGATAAATTTGATTTCCATTGATAATTGTTGTGTGATTTTGTTGTCAGCACATTCAACTATGTAAAGAAAAAAGTATTTAATAAGATTATTTCATTCATTCAGATCAAGGATGTGTTGTTTAAATGTTCCCTTTATTTTTTTGAGCAGTGTACATTTAATCTGGAGAGACAGACCCAAAACTACTGAAAAGAAAATGTAAAATAACTGTGTTTTTTTTCTGGATAGATCCCAAAATATTCCTGAGGCATACAGTACATTGAATGACGGGTAAAAATGCAGCCTGCAACCTGTATGTTGCTGATGTCTGTAAGTCGGATGTTGGTTTGTTTACAATGACGTCATCTTGCTTAGTCTACCTTCACAATGTTAGTGTTAGGGTTGCATTTTGATCCTCTGCTCTCAATGAATGATCCAATGTTGACCAGAAAAATAAAGAGTTCTAATATGAAGTTTAAGGAAAGAAGGGTAAAGTGAATCTATGATCGCTAAAACAAAGTGCTTCAAGTGATAAAAGGAAAACAGTCTGCAATGAGTCTCATAAGAATGAGGTAAAATCTATAACATTGAAAAGCAAGAGAAGGTAAGAGGTTACACAGGTGTGTAAGTGAGAAAGAAAATAAAAGCTTCACAAAAAGAAAGAGTAAAGAAAGTGTAGGAGATTGTAAATGAGAGCTTAATGTTACGAGTTGTAAAAAAGAGATAAAGTGTATGAGATATGAACTCTCAATAATAAGGGAATTGAAAAAGTGTATAAATTATAAATGAACTGGACATTTAAAAAGAAAAGAGATGTTAAGTGTATGATATCAGAGAATAAAAAATAAAGATGTAAGATGAGTTAAATATGAACTGTAAACTGCAACAGGACATTGAAAAAGAAAGGAGGTACAGTCAAGTGTATGGGAGAGTCTCACCCTTGCTGTGCTGTCTCCAGACTGTGCTGTGCCCCACTAAGGGTCTGTGTGTGGTGGGGTGGGGTGTTGGGGTGTACCCTCTGGCCGCGCCAGGGCTTACAGTAGGTGCCAATTAATCACATGGTGCAATGGGGTTAACGCACACAGGGGAGGGGTGAGGACGGGTGAGGAGGGGTGAGGAGGAGGGAGTGAGGGGGATCTGAGTCATCGGTTTGTCGCAAGTTGTTCCACTTAGGTACAGATCTAGGATCAATTTGCACCAATTCGATCCGGAATAGGGGACCTTCCATCAGCCTCTAGAGACTTCTAGCTACTCTGTTCTGCAAGTGCCTCCGAGTTATTCTGAGGGTGCAATCATGCAATGAACGGAGGTGTTACCAGGCAACGAGGCAGATAAATACTTTTAAAAAATGTAAAATGATTAATAAAACTTAGACTAGTTTGGTGAAAGCCATATATTGAAGGAACCAGGCTGATGATGAAAAATTGAAAATAATCAAAACTAAAAAGAAATATGGAGAGGGGGAGTAATTCTATAGTTGAATAAAGCACTGCAGACACTAAGAGGAGAGAGAGACCAATTTGGCTGTAGAAGAGAGACAGAGAGCAGAGAGTAAGGTAGGCAGAATAAAAGAGCTCTTGAGAGAGACGTTTGGAAGAGTGTCCTTTGCCTCAGAGAGAAACCTAGAAAGACAGGAATGGATGTAAAAATTCTACATCTGTTGTCCTTCAACTAACTTTCATAAGAAAAACTGAAAGAAAAACAGCAACTACGTCTATAGTACAGTTACCGATAGTGTGGGGGAGAGAGAGAGAGAGGGAGAGAGAGAGAGAGAGAGAGAGAGAGAGAGAGAGAGAGAGAGAGAGAACTGAAGTATCAAGGGAAGAGAAAAGGAGGGAAAGAGAGATGGAAGGATTGTTTCAGGAGATGGAGAGGTATGGAAACTGAGACAAAGCAAAGACTGGACATAAATCAAGATAATGCTACAGTATGGCAAACAGTAAACAGACAGCCAACCAACGATACAGTCGGAAACAAAACAAACAAAAGAGAAACACAAATTAGTGTCAGAGAAAAACGCTGCTGTGCCAAGAAAAGGTGAATCCATGACAGCTACAGTAACTGATGCATTTCTATTTGAATAGCAGCCTCAATGTTTCATAATGTATTGTCATCTAGGCCTGTATTCACAAAGTGTCTCAGAGTAGGATCTGCCTTTCATCATAATGAATAAGAGGCGGGACCCAATCCTAGATCAGTACTCTTACTCAGACGTTTTGTGAATTATGGGCCCTGCTAAGAAGGACTTGATAAGAAAACTAACTAAAATGTTTGTCTGTAGAATATAATAACAAAATAATCAAACTCATGACTAAATCATAGGAGAGAGAAACCGTAACAGAAAGGATGAGTTTGCTGTGTGGGGGATCTTAGATTTACATTTTAGTAATTTAGCAGACACTCTTATCCAGAGCGACTTACAGGAGCAATTAGGGTTAAGTGCCTTGCTCAAGGGCAAAAATATTACTGTTTCTATCAACAAAAAACATTTGATTAATAAAATATTATTATCAGTCTTCTTTCTCAAATGAGGGGTAGTTTAAATGGGGGTAGTTTATGACTGTTACTGGTTATAGGCCTATCTGTCATTTTTGATGCGTGTACCAGTTGGCCTCGGCTGTCTTTTCTTCCCCCCGCCCCCCCACCCCTCCCTCCTGAGAGTCAGGCTGACTGTAACCCTATTCTCCAACTCCCCTCTCCCCTAACCGTTACCTTGTCGTCCTGTGCGTCAGGCTGCAGTAGGCTGTGTTGCTGGATGGCCATGGGGGGTGGTAGGGGTACAGAGTCGGCCCCCTCCTCGCCCTCCTCCTCTCCACAGCTCTGCATCCCAGAGGACGAGGACTTGGACAGGGTCCCGCTAGAGAGACCCTCGTTACGCACTCTCTGTAGAGGAGAGAGAGAAGAGAGGAGAGGTTAGAGAGGGAGAGAGAGAGAGAGAGGAAGAGATAGATAGAATGAAAGAGACCGAGAGAGACAGAGAGACAGAAAGAGAGAGGAGAGGTTGGAGGAGAGGTTAGAGAGAAAGAGAAGACAGACACACAGAAGACACTGACTTTGAGGTCTCCCCCTTACCTCCTCCACAGTCTCGTCCTGGGGTGTAGCGGCGCTGTCGTCAGAGTCTTTCTGGGCGCTGCCCGTCATCTCACCACTCTTCCTCACCTTCTTGTGTTTGTGTGCCAGCTTCTTCACGTGCCCGTCTGCCTTGCCACTGCTCAGACGACGCACTGGGCTGGTCAGCCACTTCCGCAGGGTGTTACCTGGGACAAGGGGATGGAGAATGTTAACACTGACATCTAGGCACGCACAAACAAACACCTTCTCCTTTTCAACCACTTTGAATTTAGAACTGTTTGTTCAATCCCATTGCAAAAAGTTGGTGAGGTGTGTGTGTGTGTGTGTTTACCTGGCCGTTTAGGCCCGGGCGAGGTGTGTGAGCCCATGCTGTGATGCCCAGGCTGCAGTGTGGCAGAGGAGCCTGGCATGATGGAGTCATTACTACACACTGACAGAGTGTCTGGATGGGGAGAGAGGGAGGAGGGGGAGGACGGAGAGCAAAAGAGAGGTTATCAAAGACGCAAAAGGGCTTGAATACACCCATAACACATCGAAAGATAATCCATAATATAGCGCTTTTCTGAAACTCAAAGACGCTACCCCCTACTACAGATCTCCTAACCCACCTTTATGGTTGAATATCCCCTCCATCTCCATGGAGGAGCGTGAGTGGGCGATGCAGAGCATGGTGCAGGGTACCAGTCCCTCGTGGGCAGGGGAGCGGTCCGTGGTCCGCACCAGACACCAGTCAGGCTTGTCATGGCACCTCTCCAGGACCTCTACAGTCTGGCCCCTCCGGACGGTCAGCTCGTTGCTGTTACCAGCCATGAAGTCATGGATCACCACAGTCAGCTCACAGCCACCGGACAGCTGGAGGAGAGGAGATAGATGGTCAGGAGGAATGTAGAATCATTATTACATCCTTCCCCTAGGAGGTTAAAGCAGGCAAGAAAGTCCTCAGGTCCTTTTCAACTGAAGCCTTCTCTTCATGATAAAACGTAATTTTAGAAATACTGTGTGCTGTTCTCACCTGTCTATGTTCTGTGAGGCCAGAGAGTGTGTGCTCACCTTGTCACTGTCCAGTGTGTTCTGTGAGGTGCGTGAGGCGATAGAGATGGTGTCTGGTTGGCTGCTGCCGTCACCCTGGCTGTCCAAGTCCTCTCCATCCCTATCAAAGACCAAACACAATGTGTAAGTGTGTGTGTGTGTATACATGCATATGAGTGTGTGTGTGTGTAGGTGTGTATAATAATATAATAATAATATGCCATTTAGCAGACGCTTTTATCCAAAGCGACTTACAGTCATGTGTGCATACATTTTTACGTATGGGTGGTCCCGGGGATGGGTGGTCCCGGGGATCGAACTCTGTAGCTCAATTGGTAGAGCATGGCGCTTGTAACACCAGGGTAGTGGGTTCGATCCCCGTGACCACCCATATGTAAAAATGTATGCGCACATGACTAAGTCGCTTTGGATAAAAGCGTCTGCTAAATGGCATATTATATTATTATTATTATTATTATTACCCTGGCGTTACAAGTGCCATGCTCTACCAATTGAGCTACAGAGGACCACTTATGAACTTGTGTACCTGTACCTGCGGTGTCCCTTGTGATGCTTGGTGGAGGCAGACTTAGGGATGTGTATAGGTTCCTTCAGAGCTCCTCTCAGGTGGATGGTTCGTTCCTGAATCACCTCCCTGATGTGTTTGATCCAGTCCTGCTTGTTCTCAATGCTCGACGCCTGCCATTAGCCCAGGGAGGAGGGGTCTAAGGTTAATTCACCCAATCACCTTGCTCTCTGAAGTCTTATTTTTGTCTAAACAGTTTCATAGACCCCCACTGGAGAAGAAACGGTTATATTCCAATGCCCACAATAGCATACCACTTAGAATGCATATGTGTTACATGGCTTCATTCTAAGTAGTAAGCTAGTGTGGATATTGAAACACAGAAAAAGGAGAGGAGAGGAGACAGAGAGAAGGCCACAGTAGAGTATTGAGATGCAGCCGAGGGCTGTGTTAGGTGTTAGGCTAGTTAGTACAGTTTTACTCACCATTGATCCATGTTTGCATCCCTGACTTGGCTTTGGTTCAAATATAGAATAGAGAATTTCACTTGTTTGTTTTTAGTTAATTTATATTACATTTTCTATGAGGACAGAATGTCTCGAGATGATGGACGGAAAACAGTTACAGTATTTTGGTGGTGGCCAGTTAGTTAGGTGGTTAATATGGGCAGCACAGGTAGATGAGTAGAATAAAAACAGAGTCAATATATTGTGTCAGACAGAGTCATCGGGTTGGGAGTAGGGCAACATGCTTTTCCAACCACTGGCACAAACAAGAAGCTTCAATATTAAAACTAGCTTTGGAGGTGGGTGTTAAAAAAAGGAAGATGTTTGGTTTGGTAAGGAGAGAAAAAAAGAGAGAGATAGAGAGAGAAAGGAAGATGGAAGAAAGATAGGGAGAGAGAGAGAGAGAGAAGGAAAATGAGAGAAAGAGGGTCAACACGTGAGGTGCCAAATCATAAAACAAGAAGAGATCCATTTTTCTAGACGAGAAAAATGTATAGGCCTCTACTTCATACAGAGGATGTAGAATGTATTGGGAGCATGTGGGAGTTTGAAGAATAGTTGGAGTTTAGGGGTTAAAGTTCATGTCAGTGGTGTTGGCGTAAGCATGTTAGCCCACGGTTGGTTAGCGAACAAACAGTTATTATTCAGAGATACAAACATAAACAAAACAGCCCAAGACGCAGATGTACTGTACTAGACTAGACTGTATGATAGAACAGTCATTAGACAGAACAGAGAGATAAATAGACCCAAGTAACAGATGTAGAGAGAGAGAGAAATACAGAGCGAGAGAGAGAGAGAGAGAAATACAGAGAGAGAGATAAATACAGAGAGAGAGAGAGAGATAAATACACAGAGAGAGAGAGAGAGAGAAATACAGAGAGAGAGATAGAAATACAGAGAGAAACAAGAAACAGAGAAGCACATACGAAGGCTCATACGAAGCTTCACATCCATCAGGCAGCACCATAAAGTCATGCAATCAACCAGGGAAGAGAAAGAGGGAAAGGGGGGAGGAGAAGAGAAGGAAAAGAGAAGATGAGGAGAGGGAAGTTAAAGAAAGGAGGAGAGGGGGCAAGAGTAATACGGCAGAGGGGAGAGGAGAGAGAAAGGAGAGAGGGATGTGAGGTATTCTCCTATGTTCTTACCTTGAGTACGATCTTGTTGTCGGAGGTGGGGGTGCGTCCCACCCACAGAGCAAACTTACAGGGGTCTCCCTCAACGTGCTCTGTTACCCCCAACTCTGACGTCTGGAGAGAGGGAGAGGTATTACTGCCATTTTATATGAATTCCTTTGGCAATATGTAATACGTATCTGTATTTCTAGCCAATGACACACCAGAAACAGAGAGAGATAGAGACAACTAAAGAGAAAGAAAGACAAAGAGAGAGAGAGACACAGACAAGGAGAACAACTAAAACAGAAAAGAGAGAGAGACAAGAGAGAGTTGTACTCACGTAGAGTTTGCTCTTGTACATGTACTTGCTCCGTCCGTTGGAGTCTTTGACCTCCTTGCTGAAGATGAGGGACATCTCGAAGAGGAAGAGGTGACGCTCGCGTCCCTTACGGATCAGAGTTTTAGGATCCCACACCTGGAAGGACTCCTGCAGGATTAACTCTCCCTGAGACTCAATGTTCTCATCGAAACCTACAGGAGACGGGGAGGGAGGGAGAAGAAAAGAGTGTTAAAGAAAGAGTTCCTTCACCATGTGTATGTGCATAAGCATCGTTGACTTTGAGTGTGTGTGTGTCTCACCCTCCAGCATTGAGAGGTGCATGGCATCGTTGGCTCTCTTGGGGACACTGAGCATGACCTCCAGTCCATCCTTGATCTCTCCTTTCCCCTCCTCACAGCACGTCAGCAGCTCCTAAACACACCAGAGAGGTACCATCAACAAATACCCTTTGAAAGCAAATACGTCATATTTTGTGTGAATGATAATAAGCCCATTAGGGGGTCCTCAATTACCCATAACCTGGGATGTACTGGTGAACAAAAAGATGAACGCCGGTCGAGACTGCAAGTAACGTAAACGCTGATGCTAACTAGCGTGATGGGTGCATAAAAGCTACTCACCAAATAAAAAGGTATGTCCCTACATTCCTGCTTATCACAATGTAAACATAAGCAAATATAAACAAACATTTGTAGAGATTGTGTATGTGCTTTATAAAAGTGGGTTGCTATGGTTACCTTGAGCAGGAGCTGGTACTTGGTGATTCGCTGAACGGGCTTGATCAGGTAGGAGGAGATGGAGTTGGCCAATCGGTGCCTCTGCTGGATCTCCTGTACACGCCCACACAGAGAAACACAGAGCTGTGATTGGGTGCAGGGAGCTGTCAGTCACAGTATGGGCCAATAGGAGGGCAGGATACTCACGTCAAAGTAGGGTCCAGCGTGCTCTAGGATGAGCTGGGTGGAGTCTGGTTTGTTCTTACAGTAGTTGACGTACATCTGGAACTTATCAGCCTGGACACACAGATACACAACTAAGAGTCAAAACCAATATAGCTACTCCTTTTTGACCAATCACAATTTAGAAGTAGAGATATTAAAGACAATTCTTTATACCTGTTCTAAGAAATCATTATTTGTACCTATCCTAAGAAATCTTTCTCTCTCTATTTCACAGATGTCAAGGAACATCACAAACCTACATTCGGCCATTTTATGAACCAACTCACTTGTCTTGAGAAAGACCAGAACAGACACACACTCACTCACCCAGGTGACGAAGCAGTGGCCCACATCTTCTGGTAGCTGTTCATACTTCTCCAGCTCTTTGAGGAAGATACTGATGAAAAAGGAGAGGAGAGGGATGAGGGAGGGAGGAGAGAGGGAGGAAGAGAGAGAAAGGGAGGATGTGAGCAAACACCATTAAACCAGAGAATAACTCCTGTTTGTATACATAGCTTCAGCACTGGAAATTAACCAGGAAGTTAACTTAAGAAACAAATTGCTTTATTTTATAGTGGATATACAGTGGGGAGAACAGGTATTTGATACACTGCCGATTTTGCAGGTTTTCCTACTTACAAAGCATGTAGAGGTCTGTAATTTTTATCATAGGTACACTTCAACTGTGAGAGGCGGAATCTAAAACAAAAATCCAGAAAATCACATTGTATGATTTTTAAGTAATTAATTTGCATTTTATTGCATGACATACGTATTTGATCACCTACCAACCAGTAAGAATTCCGGCTCTCACAGACCTGTTAGTTTTTCTTTAAGAAGCCCTCCTGTTCTCCACTCATTACCTGTATTAACTGCACCTGTTTGAACTCGTTACCTGTATAAATGACACCTGTCCACACACTCAATCAAACAGACTCCAACCTCTCCACAATGGCCAAGACCAGAGAGCTGTGTAAGGACATCAGGGTTACAATTGTAGACCTGCACAAGGCTGGGATGTGCTACAGGACAATAGGCAAGCAGCTTGGTGAGAAGGCAACAACTGTTGGCACAATTATTAGAAAATTGAAGAAGTTCAAGATGACGGTCAATCACCCTCGGTCTGGGGCTCCATGCAAGATCTCACCTCGTGGGGCATCAATGATCATGAGGAAGGTGAGGGATCAGCCCAGAACTACACGGCAGGACCTGGTCAATGACCTGTAGAGAGCTGGGACCACAGTCTCAAAGAAAACCATTAGTAACACACTAAACCGTCATGGATTAAAATCCTGCAGCGCACGCAAGGTCCCCCTGCTCAAGCCAGCGCATGTCCAGGCCCGTCTGAAGTTTGCCAATGACCATCTGGATGATCCAGAGGAGGAATGGGAGAAGGTCATGTGGTCTGATGAGACAAAAATAGAGCTTTTTGGTCTAAACTCCACTCGCCGTGTTTGGAGGAAAAAGAAGGATGAGTACAACCCCAAGAACACCATCCCAACAGTGAAGCATGGAGGTGGAAACATCATTCTTTGGGGATGCTTTTCTGCAAAGGGGACAGGACGACTGCACCGTATTGAGGGGAGGATAGATGGGGCCATGTATCGCGAGATCTTGGCCAACAACCTCCTTCCCTCAGTAAGAGCACTGAAGATGGGTCGTGGCTGGATCTTCCAGCATGACAACGACCCGAAACACACAGCCAGGGCAACTAAGGAGTGGCTCCGTAAGAAGCATCTCAAGGTCCTGGAGTGGCCTAGCCAGTCTCCAGACCTGAACCCAATAGAAAATCTATGGAGGGAGCTGAAAGTCCGTATTGCCCAGCGACAGCCCCGAAACCTGAAGGATCTGGAGAAGGTCTGTATGGAGGAGTGGGCCAAAATCCCTGCTGCAGTGTGTGCAAACCTGGTCAAGACCTACAGGAAACGTATGATCACTGTAATTGCAAACAAAGGTTTCTGTACCAAATATTAAGTTCTGCTTTTCTGATGTATCAAATACTTATGTCATGCAATAAAATGCAAATTAATTACTTAAAAATCATACAATGTGATTTTCTGGATTTTTGTTTTAGATTCCGTCTCTCACAGTTGAAGTGTACAGTGGGGGAAAAAAAGTATTTAGTCAGACACCAATTGTGCAAGTTCTCCCACTTAAAAAGATGAGAGAGGCCTGTAATTTGCATCATAGGTACACATCAACTATGACAGACAAATTGAGGGGAAAAAATCCAGAAAATCACATTGTAGGATTTTTAATGAATTTATTTGCAAATTATGGTGGAAAATAAGTATTTGGTCACCTACAAACAAGCAAGATTTCTGGCTCTCACAGACCTGTAACTTCTTCTTTAAGAGGCTCCTCTGTCCTCCACTCGTTACCTGTATTAATGGCACCTGTTTGAACTTGTTATCAGTATAAAAGACACCTGTCCACAACCTCAAACAGTCACACTCCAAACTCCACTATGGCCAAGACCAAAGAGCTGTCAAAGGACACCAGAAACAAAATTGTAGACCTGCACCAGGCTGGGAAGACTGAATCTGCAATAGGTAAGCAGCTTGGTTTGAAGAAATCAACTGTGGGAGCAATTATTAGGAAATGGAAGACATACAAGACCACTGATAATCTCCCTCGATCTGGGGCTCCACGCGAGATCTCACCCCGTGGGGTCAAAATGATCACAAGAACGGTGAGCAAAGATCCCAGAATCACACGGGGGGACCTAGTGAATGACCTGCAGAGAGCTGGGACCAAAGTAACAAAGCTTACCATCAGTAACACACTACGCCGCCAGGGACTCAAATCCTGCAGTGCTAGACGTGTCCCCCTGCTTAAGCCAGTACATGTCCAGGCCCGTCTGAAGTTTGCTAGAGTGCATTTGGATGATCCAGAAGAGGATTGGGAGAATGTCATATGGTCAGATGAAACCAAAATAGAACTTTTTGGTAAAAACTCAACTGGTCGTGTTTGGAGGACAAAGAATGCTGAGTTGCATCCAAAGCACACCATACCTAATGTGAAGCATGGGGGTGGAAACATCATGCTTTGGGGCTGTTTTTCTGCAAAGGGACCAGGATGACTGATCCGTGTAAAGGAAAGAATGAATGGGGCCATGTATCGTGAGATTTTGAGTTAAAACCTCCTTCCATCAGCAAGGGCATTGAAGATGAAACGTGGCTAGGTCTTTCAGCATGACAATGATCCCAAACACACCGCCCGGGCAACGAAGGAGTGGCTTCGTAAGAAGCATTTCAAGGTCCTGGAGTGGCCTAGCCAGTCTCCAGATCTCAACCCCATCGAAAATCTTTGGAGGGAGTTGAAAGTCCGTGTTGCCCAGCGACAGCCCCAAAACATCACTGCTCTAGAGGAGATCTGCATGGAGGAATGGGCCAAAATACCAGCAGCAGTGTGTGAAAACCTTGTGAAAACTTACAGAAAATGTTTGACCTGTGTCATTGCCAACAAAGGGTATATAACAAAGTATTGAGAAACTTTTGTTATTGACCAAATACTTATTTTCCACCATAATTTGCAAATAAATTCATAAAAAATCCTACAATGTGATTTTCTGGATTTTTTTTCCTCATTTTGTCTGTCATAGTTGACGTGTACCTATGATGAAAATTACAGACCTCTACATGCTTTGTAAGTAGGAAAACCTGCAAAATCGGCAGTGTATCAAATACTTGTTCTCCCCACTGTATTTATATGTATATTTATTTAAATATGTATATATATGTGTATATATGTATATATATATATATATATATATATATATATATATATATATATATATATATATATATACACATACATATATACATACATACACATACACATACATACATATAAATACAGTGGGGAGAACAAGTATTTGATACACTGCCGATTTTAGAGGTTTTCCTACTTACAAAGCATGTAGAGGTCTGTAATTTTTATCATAGGTACACTTCAACTGTGAGAGACGGAATCTAAAAGACTCCAACCTCTCCACAATGGCCAAGACCAGAGAGCTGTGTAAGGACATCAGGGAAAAAATTGTAGACCTTCACAAGGCTGGGATGGGCTACAGGACAATAGGCAAGCAGCTTGGTGAGAAGGCAACAACTGTTGGCGCAATTATCAGAAAATGGAAGAAGTTCAAGATGACGGTCAATCATCCTCGGTCTGGGGCTCCATGCAAGATCTCACCTCGTGGGGCATCAATGATCATGAGGAAGGTGAGGGATCAGCCCAGAACTACACGGCAGGACCTGGTCAATGACCTGAAGAGAGCTGGGACCACAGTCTCAAAGAAAACCATTAGTAACACACTAAGTCATGGATTAAAATCCTGCAGCGCACGCAAGGTCCCCCTGCTCAAGCCAGCGCATTTCCAGGCCCATCTGAAGTTTGCCAATGACCATCTGGATGATCCAGAGGAGAAATGGGAGAAGGTCATGTGGTCTGATGAGACAAAAATTGAGCTTTTTGGTCTAAACTCCACTCGCCGTGTTTGGAGGAAGAAGAAGGCTGAGTACAACCCCAACCCATTCCAACCGTGAAGCATGGAGGTGGAAACATCATTCTTTGAGGATGCTTTTCTGCAAAGGGGACAGGACGACTGCACCGTATTGAGGGGAGGATGGATGGGGCCATGTATCGCGAGATCTTGGCCAACAACCTCCTTCCCTCAGTAAGAGCATTGACCCGAAACACACAGCCAGGGCAACTAAGGAGTGGCTCCGTAAGAAGCATCTCAAGGTCCTGGAGTGGCCTAGCCAGTCTCCAGACCTGAACCCTGACCTGAACATCTTTTTAAGTGGGAGAACTTGCACAATTGGTGGCTGACTAAATACTTTTTTCCCCACTGTACCTATGATAAAAATTACAGACCTCTACATGCTTTGTAAGTAAGAAAACCTGCAAAGTCGGCAGTGTATCAAATACTTGTTCTTCCCACTGTAGGTTGTTGTGGCTGTACAGGGAGAGTGACTCAGGGAGAGTGACTTACTTGTGATGGAACTCATAGAGGTCCACTATGTTCCCGAAGATGATGTGTTCCTTGTTGACGATGCCAGGAGGGATCTCCTCTACCCCACTGGTCATCTCCCACAGGTACGTCTGGAGGGAGGAGGATGGAGAAGGGGGGTTAGATCACACACATGGAGGGTCCAGATAAATCAGATTGATTAAGTCACAGCTGCTGCATTTAATGGAACTCTACACGGCAACACTACATTTCATATGTGCATGTGTTGTGTTATTGGTCTTCCATGTTGGTCAGATGTTGTTTTTCCACATGTGTTGTGTTAAAATTCCACAAGGTGGCGCCAGACATTGGCAGCAGAATGCCACTATAGATTAGGGGGTAGAGAAAGAGAGAGAGCAGGTTTCCTTACATCCGTACACTCCCTCAGGTCTCTGACATAGGTCTTCTCTGTCTGGATCAGCTCAGCCATGATGAACCTACACACACACACACGCGTGCACACACACAAACACACACGGTTAGCCTCTTTTGCTGATTTATATCATTATCAATAGAACCCTTTTAGCCCCTCTGCTCTGTCCATTTACACGGATGAATCGTGTCAGAGTCGTGTCTAGTTGTGGCTGTTTTGGGCGTGTGTGTACTGTAGTAGAAGTGCTGCTACAGTAGTTTTAGTTATGAGATGATGAATGGGGACAAGAGGTCAAGGCAGGATCGACTGGTTGATTGGATTTGGGATATGGTTAATTTTGAGTGTCACTGATCTAATACGGTGTCAGAAAGTTAAGTGATGACGTACTCCTTCCTGCGAGCGGACTTGCGTTTCTCCTCGTTGAGTTCGTGAGCCGCGTCTCTCAGCTTGACTTCTGACCCCTGAGGTGTGGCTGGAATTATGTCCAACTGGAGATCCTTACTCTGACAGAGAGAGAGGGATGGAGGAAGGGAGAAGGTTGGAGAGACATGATTTACCAAAAATACAGTACTTTTAAAGAGCGTTGTTATTTTATTATTATTAGGGAATGGACCATCATTCACCAATGTTTCTGCTAAAAGCCATCTTCAGTGTGCAGAGATGATTTTTCCATAATGCTTTCCAGCAACCATTATATGGACACCCCACCCCACCAACCCAACCCCCCGCACACACCGTCCCCACCCCCACCAACCCCCCTACACCCTCTTGACTTACAGCCTTGGAGTTAGAGTCAGATGAGATGCCCAGTGCTTTCTCCAGACTGGTCCGGTACTTGTCCATACGCAGTGAGAAGTCTCTGTAGCGTTTGTCCACCGCCGTCACCCACTTCTTTATCTCCACAGCGTGACTATGGCCTTTATCACAGAAGCCATCCGCTAGCTGGATCAGCAGCTTCACACGCTCTTTGGTTTGCTGGAGGGAGAGGGCGGAGAGACGGGGGAGGAGGAGAGAGGGGAGAGAGATAGGGGTTGATTTAAAATCTGTAATGTTTGGTCTAAAAAAAGTTATGACGTGAAGATGTGATCCTTTCTACCCTGGCTGTGATGTGGAAGTCTTCGTGCTCCTTCAGCAGCTCCTGTGTGTGGTGGATACTGGAGCCAGTGGAGGTGTGTGTTGACAGGTAGAACTCTCCGGTGTCATGGATCCACTCCAGAGCCTGAGGACACACACACAGATCATTGAGGTGGACATTGGGGTAGAGAGATAGACAGAGGATACAGATGAGGACAGAAACAGAGAATGGAGGAAGAGAGAACAGCCATTTTAACTGTTGTTAGAGCTTTGAGTAAGAAAGACAAAAAGAGAGATAGAGAGAGCTAGAGAGAGTGTGTGTAAATTGTGTGTGTACCTGTTTGGCGCTGCGTTCGAACACCACGTATTGCTGGCACTGGTCCAACCGTCGTTTCCTCATGGTCCAGAAGTGGAGAACACGGTTCTCTCTCTGCAACAACTCATTCAGGATGTCTGACCGCAACATGAACACAGAGATCACATTAGATTAGATATATAAATCTTTTGGGGTTGATTTAGGAATAGGTGAAAGGTAGAATTACCACACAGTGTGTGTACGTGTGTGTGATACTCACTCTTGACCTGTTGTTCCGGTGCTTTGACATGGCTGAGCATCCCAGGCATGTTAACACTGTTCCTGTGCATGTACTTCAGGAACACATCAGCATTACGTCTGGCCAGGGTGCATGCCTAGGGAAAGACACACATTTTAGAGACATGGGTAATAGTTGTATGTGTGTGTGTGTGTATGTGTGTGTGTGTGTGTGTGTGTGTGTGTGTGTGTGTGTGTGTGTGTGTACGTGTATGTTCTTACCTTGAGAAAGGCCTCTTTCTGTTCCAGGTGTTTGCTGATCATGGGGGTGACATGATCTGACTCACAGTTAGGACCCAGTTTGTCAGCCCCCCCACACCAGTCCTCTTCCCTCTTATACTCCTGCTCCAGGCTCTCCAACACACTGCACACCTACAGATCACAACACAGGGTTAAAACTACAGCTCCCATAACACACCACAGCTCCCATGATGCTCCAGGAGGCTTTCCAGCACACCTACAGGACACAGCACAGGCTCAGTCCGTCTCCTTAACTAAAGCTAAGCTACTAACGTAACTAGCTAGTTATCTCTACTAGAGCAAAACTAACTGGATACCAAGAGCAATAGTGCCCCCTACCTGTTCGGAGGTCTTGTAGAAGGCTACAGAGGTATTTATCTAATGGTGTTATTACAGAATTACAATACCTATTAGAGTACTAGCTCCCTACCTGTCATTACATAATAAACAATAACTATAATAGTCACAGCACCCCCTACCTGTTCGGAGGTCTTGTAGAAGGCTACAGAGGCGTTGACTAGTTTCAGCCTGTCCTCCATCTTCAACATGAGCTGCTGCCAGTGGGATGCTACGTTCTCAGCACAGTCTCTGATCAGGTCCATATCATAGTGGTTGGCCTGGAGTAACGCCTCAGCCTTCTGCTGCACCTGCAGAGCACTCTGGTGGGTTTTCTAGAAGGAGGAGAGGAGGGAGAGAGGGAGAGAGAGAGAGTTAGAATATCATAGCTTTGTGTTGCACCTTATTATAGAGTTTTATTATAGAATATCAGATATGTTTAAAGAAATGAGTGGGGGGGAAAAGAGAGGGAAAGCCAGAGGAATGGGGAGAGATTAAGTGAAACATGAGCTTGTGAGATCAGGCTGGTTAAACAAGGATAGAGCGATACAGAGCTACTGTAGAGATAAATAAATATAAAGAGAGAATATACAGTGAGGGAAAAAAGTATTTGATCCCCTGCTGATTTTGTACGTTTGCCCACTGACAAAGAAATGATCCGTCTATAATTTTAATGGTAGGTTTATTTCAACAGTGAGAGACAGAATAACAAAATAATTCATAAAAACGCATGTCAAAAATGTTATAAATTGATTTGCATTTTAATGAGGGAAATAAGTATTTGACCCCCTCTCAATCAGAAATATTTCTGGCTCCCAGGTGTGTTTTATACAGGTAACGAGCTGAGATTAGGAGCACACTCTTAAAGGGAGTGCTCCTAATCTCAGCTTGTTACCTGTATAAAAGACACCTGTCCACAGAAGCAATCAATCAATCAGATTCCAAACTCTCCACCATGGCCAAGACCAAAGAGCTCTCCAAGGATGTCAAGGACAAGATTGTAGACCTACACAAGGCTGGAATGGGCTACAAGACCATCGCCAAGCAGCTTGGTGAGAAGGTGACAACAGTTGGTGAATGGTGAGGAATCAGCCCAGAACTACATGGGAGGATCTTGTCAATGATCTCAAGTCAGCTGGGACCATAGTCACCAAGAAAACAATTGGTAACACACTACGCCGTGAAGGGCTGAAATCCTGCAGCGCCCGCAAGGTCCCCCTGCTCAAGAAAGCACATATACTGGCCCGTCTGAAGTTTGAATCATTCAGATGTTCATTGGCAGAGGAGAACTGGGTGAAAGTGTTGTGGTCAGATGAGACCAAAATTGAGCTCTTTGGCATCAACTCAACTCGCCGTGTTTGGAGGAGGAGGAATGCTGCCTATGACCCCAAGAACACCATCCCTACCGTCAAACATGGAGGTGGAAACATTATGCTAAGGGGGTGTTTTTCTGCTAAGGGGACAGGACAACTTCACCGCATCAAAGGGACGATGGACGGGGCCATGTACTGTCAAATCTTGGGTGAGAACCTCCTTCCCTCAGCCAGGGCATTGAAAATGGGTTGTGGATGGGTATTCCAGCATGACAATGACCCAAAACACACGGCCAAGGCAACAAAGGAGTGCCTCAAGAAGAAGCACATTAAGGTCCTGGAGTGGCCTAGCCAGTCTCCAGACCTTAATCCCATAGAAAATCTGTGGAGGGAGCTGAAGGTTTGAGTTGCCAAATGTCAGCCTCGAAACCTTAATGACTTGGAGAAGATCTGCAAAGAGGAGTGGAACAAAATCCCTCCTGAGATGTGTGCAAACCTGGTGGCCAACTACAAGAAACGTGTGACCTCTGTGATTGCCAACAAGGGTTTTGCCACCAAGTACTAAGTCATGTTTTGCAGAGGGGTCAAATACTTATTTCCCTCATTAAAATGCAAATCAATTTATAACAATTTTGACATGCGTTTTTCTGGATTTCTTTGTTGTTATTCTGTCTCTCACTGTTCAAATAAACCTACCATTAAAATTATAGACTGATCATGTCTTTGTCAGTGGGCAAACGTACAAAATCAGCAGGATTTCAAATACTTTTTTCCCTCACTGTATATGTGTACTTATTATTATCTATAAAAAGGATGTGTGTTGGTGTTTGCGTCGCGAAGTGATGAGCTCACCTCGATGGCATGCTGGAACTGTTCGTGTTCTCTCTGTAGCTGTTCTGCTTCCTGTAGAGAACTGGCTGTGATCAGACCAGCATTCAGCATAGACTCCCCATTACGGATCCAGCCCAGGACCTGCACAGACCAGGAACAAGGATATATGTTATAAAGATAGCATTTTAGTACTGTTTCCACTGGTACTTACCTAGTATTTACAATGGCATTATTTCTACTGGTATTTAATAGGAAATTATGTGTTATCAATGGATGGTTCCGGTGTCGTCACTGTATACATTGCTCTAAGTATGTGTGCGTGTGTGTGTGTGTGTGTGTGTGTGTGTGTGTGTATACCTGTTTGACTTCGGCCTGCAGGTGTCGTAGCTGTACACACTGCTCCAGGTGTCTCCTGTGTTGTTCGCCTGCTACGTCCAACTCCTGCTGCTTCTCATGGAGAAACTCCAGCAGGTCCTGAACACGAGTAGCCATGTCCACATCTCTGTCACAGAGCAACTCTACACCTGGAGGGAGAGATTTGATTTGATTTGATTTGAAAGGGAGAGACGGGAAAAGAGAGGGGGAAGAGAAGGAGTGAAAGAGGGGGAGAGAGAGGGGGAGTAAATGGGAGAGAGAGAGGGAGAAAGGCAAGGAGAGAGAGCCAAATTCATTCCACTCCTTCTGCAAAACAGGCTGTTGCAGTAGCTCATTTTCTGTGTGTGTGTGTCTGCATATGTGACTATGTAAGCTCTGTTGTCCACATGTGTGTACTGCTACTCACCAGAGGCCTGAACTTCATTGACGTACTGCAGTAGCTCCTGTCCCTGGTGGATGACGTCAAAGGTCAGGTTGTTCATGGTCAGGGCCTTGTCAGCGTGGTGCTGGAGTCTCTGTTCTGCCAGGGTCAGGTCCTCTGTATCAAACTCACTCATCTGAACACTCAACTCCTCGTTCCACGACTCCAGGTCTGAGATGATCTGGGTGGGAGAGAGAGAGATAGGTGAGATTTAAAACTCCAGGTCCGAGAAGATCTGAGAGAGAGAGACAGAGAGACAGGTGTGGATACACACAAGTACACACATAAGGAAAAGCATGCACACACACGTACACACTCAAGGTGAGGATACACACACCACACACACGTACACACTCAAGGTGAGGATACATACATCACACACACGTGTATGACATGAATCAGGTCATCTGAAGACTCAAGACTGTGTTAGCTCACTGAGCTAAAGCCTAGACAAGGGTACTTTACCAGAACCACCTCTGCCACAGAAACCCTTTCCACACACTCACGTCAATGGCGTCCCTCTCGAAGATGCGTAGCTGCAGGAAGAGTTCTAGTTTGATCTTCCTCTCCTGAAACAGCTCCTCCATCTGAGCCTGGGCCTCATCCAGCTGCAGCAACACACTCTCTATGTGGTTGATAGAGCTGTTGTGGGGAGTCTTGTTACTGGAGATAGCAGAGTCCCTACGACACGAGAGAACACACACACAATGCAGAAAACGTACACACACACACACAAAATTATTCGGTGCAGAGGTAATTTCACTGGCACTGCTTCAATCATTGTATAATAACACACACACACACGTGCACACACTCCTCTAATCTCTCACACACACAATGTTGTAGCAGAGTCCTGGGAGATGTTACACAATTAGCCACACTGTTATGAAACCAGCATTATGTAACAACACTCAGAGGAGAGAATACACCAGGGAGAGAGAGAAAGAGAGATCGCTTCAGTTTGTGTGTGTGTGTCTGTGAGGGCTAGGTTTCACCCCACACACTTGATATAAATACAACCAGAATCATGGTCAGAGCAGTCAAATACACGCAGCTCTCTAACTGTCAACCTCCTACTCCTTGTCATCTCTCCTTTCTATTCCCTTTCTCTCTCCCCTCTGCCAGTTCGCTATGGGAGGAGGCTGTTGTTCTCTCTCTCCTCTGCCAGTTCACTATGGGAGGAGGCTGTTGTTCTCTCTCCCCTCTGCCAGTTCGCTATGGGAGGAGGCTGTTGTTCTCTCTCTCTCCTCTGCCAGTTCGCTATGGGAGGAGGCTGTTGTTCTCTCTCTCCTCTGCCAGTTCACTATGGGAGGAGGCTGTTGTTCTCTCTCCCCTCTGCCAGTTCGCTATGGGAGGAGGCTGTTGTTCTCTCTCTCTCCTCTGCCAGTTCGCTATGGGAGGAGGCTGTTGTTCTCTCTCTCCTCTGCCAGTTCACTATGGGAGGAGGCTGTTGTTCTCTCTCCCCTCTGCCAGTTCGCTATGGGAGGAGGCTGTTGTTCTCTCTCTCTCCTCTGCCAGTTCGCTATGGGAGGAGGCTGTTGTTCTCTCTCTCCCCTCTGCCAGTTCGCTATGGGAGGAGGCTGTTGTTCTCTCTCTCCCCTCTGCCAGTTCGCTATGAGAGGAGGCTGCTGTTCTCTCTCTCCTCTGCCATTTCGCTATGGGAGGAGGCTGTTGTTCTCTCGCTTCCCTCTGCCAGTTCACTATGGGAGGAGGCTGTTGTTCTCTCTCTCCTCTGCCAGTTCACTATGGGAGGAGGCTGTTGTTCTCTCGCTCTCCTCTGCCAGTTCGCTATGGGAGGAGGCTGCTGTTCTCGCTCTCCTCTGCCAGTTCGCTATGGGAGGAGGCTGCTGTTCTCTCTCTCCTCTGCCAGTTCGCTATGGGAAGAGGCTGTTGTTCTCTCTCTCCCCTCTGCCAGTTCGCTATGGGAAGAGGCTGTTGTTCTCTCTCTCCCCTCTGCCAGTTCGCTATGGGAGGCTGTTGTTCTCTCTCTCCTCCTGTTGTCTCTTCCATCCTACTCACCTTCTGCCCACTCTCTGAAACTTTCATCTTTTGCTCAGTTACTTCCAATTTATTTTGTGTGTGTGCACGTCTGTCCCTGTGAGTGCGTGTGTGTGTGTGTGTGTGTGTGTTTGTCCCAGCCCGTGGGTGTGTGTTCTCTACCTGAGCTGCTGGATGAGGTCCTCTCCCTCCTTGATGACGTTGACAGTGGCCTGCAGGGTGGTCTGCTGCTGCTGGCTGAAGCGTTTGATCAGGTCCTGCACCGCCTCCACAGACTCAGCATACACATCATCTAATAACTCCTTCTGCAGCTCCTCCAACCACGTCCACAGCTAGGGACACAGAGAGGGTTAATACACACACACAAACACCTATCCATCATGTCGCACATACACACAATCCAGTATAATGTTGAGCTACTTGAGTATGCGCGCACACTCACACAACCCCCCCCCCCCCCCCCACACACACACACACTTTGTACCTCTTTGACGTGTGTGTGGAAGGCGACAGACATGTCGAGCAGGACTTTGCGTTGCTCCACCCTCCTAACAAAGTCCTGGATGCGGTCCTCTAGCTGGTGGGCTGCCTGGTAGATCTCCTCTGGATCACACTCTCCTGTCTGGGCCAGCTGCTCCGCTGCCTCCAGCAGCTTATCGGCATTAGTATAGGTGTTCTGGATGGGGGAGAGAACAATTACACAGAGAAAGAGAGAGGATGGGGAGAGACAGAGAGGGAGAGAAGGAAAGAGGGAGGACAGTTAACAAGAGAAAGGGAGGAGAGGAGGAGAGAAACTTCACTGGATATATTTAGTGAAAAGATAGAGATAGATGGAGTATGTGATAGAGAGAGAAAGGGTAAAAGCAGAGGGGTTCTATCCTACCTGGGCGACCTCCTCGAAGTCCTCATGTCGTTTCTGTAGTGCTCTGGCTCGATGGAGGGACTTCCCAACGCCTGTGTGTTTACTGAGGAAAGCCTCCCCATGGTTCTCTATCCAGTCCAGAACCTGCACAAACACAAGCATGCACAGTTAGCTAAGTGGCATAGAAGTTCAGGCTGTGGGCCACAGGAAAAATGGAGTGTCATGCTGCCAGTCCAACACTAGGGGAGCTCTAGGGTTGATAGACAGAACAGCACACTACTCCAGTCAGTAGGCATTTACATTTACATTTTAAGTTTTAGCCATTTAGCAGACGATCTTATCCAGAGCGACTTACATTATCTTTTTTAAACTGGCCCCCCGTGGGAATCGAACCCACAACCCTGGCGTTGCAAACGCCATGCTCTACCAACTGAGCTACATCCCTGGCAGAGGGAGATGAGAGAGGATGAGTTCCCTCCCATCTGGTCCTGTCTAGATGGGATACAGCTTTTGTAAAATTGATGTCAAAAGCATTTTTTTTGCATTTTAGCTAACCCTAACTGTTTTCCTAACCTGCTATGTTAATTCTCCTAACCTGCTGCTTAAGTTCTCCTAAACCTGCTACGAAAAATAAACAAAACCCTCCCGTCCGTCCCACCCTCCTTTCTTTCTCCCTCTTCACACCTTCCTTGTCCTGCTCTCTCCCTCCTCAGATCTTTCTGTATCCCTCTACCACTTGGCAGAATACCCCTCATCTGAATACTGGCCAGCAGTGTCACCATGGCAACAGTTACCTTGGCAACGACGGTGAGTGTGTCCATACATTTCTAGTATGTGTATCATGTACAGTGCCTTCAGAAAGTATTCACACCCCTTGACTTTATCCACATTTTGTTGTGTTACAGTCTGAATTTAAAATGGGTTAAATTCAGATGTTTTTATCACTGGCCTACAAACACAATACCCCGTAATGTCGAAGTGGAATTATGTTTTTTTTCGAAATGTAAATGAAAATGTCTTGAGTCATTAAGTATTCAAACCCTTTCTTATGGCAATCCTAAATCAATTCAGGAGTAAAAATGTGCTGAACAAGTCACATAATAAGTTGCATGGACTCACTCTGTGCGCAATAATAGTGTTTAACATGATTTTTGAATGACTACCTCATCTCTGTACCCCACACATACAATTATCTGTAAGGTCCCTCAGTTGAGCAGTGAATTTCAAACACAGATTCAACCACAAAGACCAGGGAGGTTTTCCAATGCCTCACAAAGAAGAGCACCTATTGGTAGATGGGTAAAGTAAAAAAAAGAACAGAAGATAACCCTATTTAGTAAAAGACCAAGTCCATATTATGGCAAGAACAGCTCAAATAAGCAAAGAGAAACGACAGTCCATCATTACTTTAAGACATGAAGGTCAGTCAATACGGAAAATGTCAAGAACTTTGAAAGTTTCTTCAAGTGCAGTCGCAAAAACCATCAAGCGCTATGATGAAACTGGCTCTCATGAGGACCGCCACAGGAATGGAAGACCCACAGTTACCTCTGCTGCAGAGGATAAGTTCATTACAGTTACCAGCCTCAGAAATTGCAGCCCAAATAAATGCTTCACAGAGTTCAAGTAACAGACACATCTCAACATCAACTGTTCAGAGGAGACTGTGTGAATCAGGCCTTCATGGTTGAATTGCTGCAAATAAACCACTACTAAAGGGCACCAATATGAAGAAGAGACTTGCTTGGCCAAGAAACACGAGCAATGGACATTTTTGTTTCAAATCGCTGTGTGTTTGAACGGAAGATCTCTGCATCTGTAGTTCCCACCGTAAAGCATGGAGGAGGAGGTGTTATGGTGTGGGGTTGCTTTGCTGGTGACACTGTCTGTGATTTATTTAGAATTCAAGGCACACTTAACCAGCATGGCTACCACAGCATTCTGCAGCGATACGCCATCCCATCTGGTTTGGGCTTTGTGGGACTATCATTTGTTTTTCAACAGGACAATGACCCAACACACCTCCAGGCTGTGTAAGGGCTATTTTACCAAGAAGGAGAGTGATGGAGTGCTGTATCAGATGACTTGGCTTCCACAATCCCCTGACCTCAACCCAATTGAGATGGTTTGGGATGAGTCAGACGGCAGAGTGAAGGAAAAGCAGCCAACAAGTGCTCAGCATATGTGGGAACTCCTTCAAGACTATTGGAAAAGCATTCCAGATGAAGCTGGTTGAGAGAATGCCAAGAGTGTGCAAAGCTGTCATCAAGGCAAAGGGTGGCTATTTGAAGAATCTCAAATATAAAATATATTTTGATTTGTTTAACACTTTTTTCGTTATTACATGATTCCATATGTGTTATTTCATAGTTTTGATGTCTTCACTATTTTTCTACAATGTAGAAAATAGTAAAAATAAAGAAAAACCTGTGAATGAGTAGGTGTGTCCAAACTTTTGACTGGTACTGTATATTTATCTTTGAGCATGGTGAAATTATTAATTAATAATAATAATAATAATAATAATAATATGCCATTTAGCAGACGCTTTTATCCAAAGCGACTTACAGTCATGTGTGCATACATTTTTACGTATGGGTGGTCCCGGGGATCGAACCCACTACCCTGGCGTTACAAGCGCCATGCTCTACCAATTGAGCTACAAAGATACAAGCGTCCTTCCTAACTCAGTTGCCGGAGAGGAAGGAAACCAGTATGAAAAATGTATGCACTGGATAAGAGCGTCTGCTAAATGACAAAATGACTAAAATGTAAATGTAAAAAAATGAAACCGCTCAGAGATTTCACCATGAGGCCAATGGTGACTTTAAAACAGTTACAGAGTTTAATGGCTGTGATAGGAGAAAACTGAGGATGGTTAGTTACTCCACAATACTAACCTAAATTACAGAGTGAAAAGAAGGAAGCCTGTACAGAATACAAATATTTCAAAACATGCATCCTGTTTGCAATAAGGCACTTTAGTGAAACTGCTAAAAATGTGGCAAAGAAATTAACTTTATGTCCTGAATACAAAGCGTTATGTTTGGGGCAAATCCAACAACACATCACTGAGTACCACTCTTCATATTTTCAAGCATGGTGGTGACTGCATCATGTTATGGTCATGCTTGTCATCAGCAAGGATTAGTGTGTTTTTTTAAGATAAAAAGAAACGGAATAGCACTAAGCACAGGCAAAGTCCTAGAAGAAAACCTGGTTCAGTCTCCTTTAAAACAGACACTGGGAGACAAATTCACCTTTCAGCAGGACAATAACCTAAAACACAAGGCCAAATATACATTAGAGTTGCTTACCAAGATGACATTGAATGTTCCTGAGTGTCTTAAAGACTTACCCAGAAAGACTCACAGCTGTAATCACTGCTAATGGTGCTTCTACAAAGTATTGACTCAGGGGTGTGAGTCATATGAGTGTATTTCATTTTCAATCAATTTGCAAAGTTTTCTAAAAACATGTTTTCACTTTGTCATTATGGGATATTGTGTGTATTTTGAATTTAGGCTGTAACACAACAAAATGTGGAATAAGTCAAGGGGTATGAAAACTTTCTAAAGGCTCTATATGTGATCCCTGCGGGTATTGAACCCACGACCTTGGCGTTGCTAGAGCCAGGCTCTTCTCAACTGAGCCACACAGGAACAGAACTAGTACACACCTGCTGTACGTCTTGCTGGAACACACACAGCTGGAGCCTCTGGTGCAGGCGGACTTTGCGGTGTTGCCAGATATTCTCCAGTTGTCTCTGGTGGTGCAGCACCTCGTGTATCACATCCAGCACGTGGTGCACCGCCTTACTGTAGTTGGCCGAGGCCGTCAGCGAATCAGCTCCCCCCGGGGTCAGAGGGCGCTGGAGCTTATCCAATAAGGCCTTACCGTCCTGGCTGACCTGGGGAGGGAGGAAGGCGTGAGCACATACATACAAACACACACGTACACACGTGTTGGTATAGAACTTGCTAGTGACACCTCACCCACACCCACACGCAGGTATGTTACCTCTGGGTATGCAGCAGTGCCGTTTACCTCTGAGTAGGCAGCAGTGATGTGTTCGTAGAGGCCCTGGTGGTGGTGGATAGCGTCTTCTAGGTCCTGGAGCTCCGAGGGTAGATCCACCTCTCCACACGCTTTACACCACGAGTCCACATTACTCATGTACTGTAGAGAGAGACGACACACATTATACATACGTCACAGGAGGCTGCTGAGAGGAGGGCGGCTCGAAATAATGGCTGGAATGGAGTGAATGGAATGGTATCAAACAAATGGAAACCATGTCTTTGATGTGTTTGATTACCATTCCATTAATTCCGTTCCAGCCATTACTATGAGCCCGTCCTCCCCAATTAAGGTGCCACCAACCTCCTGTGACATACATTATATAAACACACACACACACACGATTTATACACTGCAGACAACATAAAACACACACACTATAAAAGGTATATACTGTATATTGTTCTATTCTGTATTATTCTGAGATTCGCTGCATTATTCTACCATGATGACCTGGATTTCACATGGCTAGGTTAGATCTCTGTAAATTATTGGGACAATAGAGGGAAAACATAGCAAAGAATAAAATTAAAAAAGATGCCTCATGTGGGAATATTAAACATACCAAGACAGTAGGATTCTAATCAAAGGTTAATCTCACTGCACGCCCTCATCATACACTGATCACACACACAAGGGGATGTGTGTGTATGTGTGTATGAGCGTATGCATGTATTCTCCATGTGCCTGCCCTCGAGCAATCAGAATACACAAAGAGAGGCTTTGTGAACTAGTATCTATGGGAAATGGTTCAATTCCCTGGAAAATGCACATTTTTCTTTCTTTAACTGTGGAACATGAAAATAATCATATGGAATATTCCTATTGGGAAAGAGGACCGCCCAGATTCTGTATTTGGAATTAAACAAACTAATCAATTCTCTGTATGTGTGTGTGTGTGTGTGTGTGTGTGTGTGTGTGTGTGTGTGTGTGTGTGTGTGTTCCTGCATATGCGTATATGTTCACACCACCACCCACCTGGTCACATTTCTGGTGGAAGGCGGCAGACATCTCCAGCAGTGTGCTACGTTCGTCCAGGGCAGCTGCGAAGGCTTTCCACTCCGCTTCCAGCTGACCTGAGATCTGTTTAATCTGCACCGAGGCATAGTGACCCGACTCCAACAGCCTGTTACCCACTGACATTATCCTGTTGATGTTCACATACACATTCTGTAGAGGATGGAGGAGAGAGGGGGACGGGGTGAGGAAGGGGGGAGAGAGAGAGGGGGACGTGGTGGGGAAGGGGGGAGGGAGAGCGAGGAGGACGGGGTGAGGGAGAGAGAGGGGGAAGGGGTGATGGATATGAGAGGGTGAGGGAAAGAGTGGGGGACAGGGTAGGAAGGGTGGAGGGAGAGAGCGGGTGGACGGGGGTGAGGAGAGGGAGGGGGAGAGGGAGAGGAGGGGACGGGTGAGGAGGAGAGTGAGAGGGGGACTGAAGGGGGGAGGAGAGAGGAGGGGGGGGGGACGGGGTAAGGGAGCGGAGAGGGGGGAAGGGGTGAGGGAGAGGAGGTCGAGGAGGGGGGTGGAGAGGGAGGAGTGAGGGGGAGAGAGCGGGGGGGAGGGGAAGGGGGAGGAGAGAGAGGCGGAGGGAGAGAGTGGGGGACGGGGTGAGGGAGAGAGAGGGGGAGAGATAGGGGGAAGGGGGGAGGGAGAGAGAGGGGGACGGGGTGGGGAGAGAGAGAGAGAGGAAGAGATTGATTTGGTTTATTTTGCTATTCAGATAATAAACATACAGATATTTCACAACAAGACAAAAACAAAAGAATTGGAGTAAGCACTAAGTCCATACAAAAAAAGACTCACTAGTAAAGGACATAAAATCTATGTTAGTGGATCACACCGATTCTTCTGAAGGTAAAAAATAAATAAAAGGATTGAGTGATGCAAGGATGACAGCTTTGTAATCGCTACTTATGGAGTCACGACTGACCTAGCCTCAGAGCATCTGAACTATTCAGGGTATGTGTGCACACCAGAGAGAGAGAGAGACACAGAGAGACAGAGAGCGGTTGCATTGATTTTAGTGCAGAGCTAAATGTCAGTGAGTTTCCATCTGCAGAGTCATCATCTAGCTGAGGCAATACATTAGATTCATCTCCTGCTTTAAAGGGGCAATCCAGAGTTCAAACAATAACAAGGCATTCAGAAAACGTACAGTGCATTTGGAAAGTATTCAGACCCCTTGACTTTTTCCACATTTTGTTACGTTAAAGCCTTATTCTAAAATAGATTACATTCTTTTTTTTTGTCTATCTACACACAATACCACATAATGACAAAGCAAAAACAGGTTTGTATAATTATTTTCAAATGTATTAAATATAAAAAACTGAAATATCACATTTACATAAGTATTCAGACCCTTTACTCAGTACTTTGTTGAAGCACCGTTGGCAGCGATTACAGCCTTGAGTCTTGTTGGGTATGACGCTACAAGCTTGGTTACACCTGTATTTGGGGAGTTTTTCCCATTCCTCTCTGCAGATCCTCTCAAGCTCTGTCAGGTTGGATGGGGAGCGTTGCTGCACAGCTATTTTCAGGTCTCTCCAGAGATGTTCGATCGGGTTCAAGTGCGGGCTCTGGCTGGGCCACTCAAGGACATTCAGAGACTTGTCCCGAAGCCACTCCTGCGTTGTCTTGGCTGTGTGCTTAGGGTCGTTGTCCTGTTGGAAGATGAACCTTGGCCCAAGTCGGAGGACCTGAGCGCTCTGTACTTTGCTCCGTTCATCTTTCCCTCGATCCTGACTAGTCTCCCAGTCCCTGCAGCTGAAAAACATCCCCACAGCATGATACTGCCACCACCATGCTTCACCGTAGGGATAGTGCCAGGTTTCCTCCAGAGGTGACGGTTGGCATTAGGCCAAAAAGTTCAATCTTGGTTTCATCAGCAGAAAATCTTGTTTGAGAGTCTTTAGGTGCCTTTTGGCAAACTCCAAGCGGGCTGTCATGTGCCTTTTACTGAGGAGTGGCTTCCGTCTGGCCACTCTACCATAAAGGCCTGATTGGTGGAGTGCTGCAGAGACGGTTGTCCTTCTGGAAGGTTCTCCCATCTCCACAGAGGAACTCTGGAGCTCTGTCAGAGTGGCCATCGGGTTCTTGGTCACCTCCCTGACCAAGGCCCTTCTCCCCTGATTGCTCAGTTTGGCCAGGCAGCCAGCTCTAGAAAGAGTCTTGGTGGATCCAAACTTCTTCCTTTTAAGAATGATGGAGGCCACTGCATTTTTTGGGACCTTCAAATGCTGCAGCCATTTTTTGGTACGCTTTCCCAGATCTGTGCCTCAACACAATCCTGTCTCGGAGCTCTACGGACAATTCCTTCGACCTCATAGCTTGGTTTTTGCTCTGACATGCGCTGTCATCTGTGGGACCTTATATAGACAGGTGTGTGCCTTACCAAATAATGTCCAATCAATTGAATTTACCACAGGTGGACTCCAATCAAGTTGTAGAAACATCAAGGATTATCAATGGAAACGGGATGCACCTGAGCTCAATTTCGAGTCTCATAGCAAAGGGTCTGAATACTTATGTAAATAAGGTATTTCTGTGTTTTTATTTTTAATAAATTTGCAAACATATCTAAAAACCTGTTTTTGCTTTGTTATTATGAGGCAGTGTGTATATTGATGAGGATTTTTTTTAATTTAATCCATTTTAAAATAAGGCTGTAATGTAACAAAATGTGGAAAAAGAGAAGGGGTCTGAATACTTTCCCAATGCACTGTATGTACTGTAGCAACTGCAGATTGCCTCTTTAAAGTAATCAATTTCATAACCATTATGTAAGCCAGTATGGACACAGCTTCTAGTTATCTAATAGCCCGCTGCTCAGTGTGTGCGTGTGTGTGTGATTGCGTGTGTCGACTGTGGTCTGTGTGTTCTTACCATGCAGTTCATAGCGAAGTGGTTGTGTTGCGTCTGTAGCTCCATGGCGTGAGGGTGGTTGTTGCCGATCTCTGTGTAGCCGGCTAGGAACAGACCCTTGTTGTGCATAATCCAATCAAACATCTGTAGAAAAGTCACACACACACACACATTAGAGATGGGATATGACAGGCAGCCAACAGCTGCAGATGGTAGAGTGTGTTTGTGTATCTTTGTGTGTACTGTATGTGTTGAGTGTGTATGCTTGCACATGTGCATGTAGAAACATGAGTGCGCAAAAAAACTTGCTTGCACGTGTGTATGCACTCACTAACTGTAAGTCGCTCTGGATAAGAGTGTCTGCTAAATGACTACAATGTAAATGTAAATGTATGTGTGTGTGTGTGTAGATGTATCTGCACAAAGCACAGGGAGAAGAGCGATGGACTGAGTGTCATAAGAGAAAACCAACAGGCTTCAGAGCCAACTACTGTCTATGGTGTCCTAGCAACAAGCCCTTACCGCAGTCCAACACTGCAATCTGTCTACTTTACTGAAACGATCCATCTTGTATCCCCTATTTATCAGTCTATTACACTGGACCTATTCACCCCCACTTCACACACACAAAAAATCATACTAGTACTAGTAACTGTTGCACTTTTCTTTTCCTTTACCATCCATCCATCCATCCATCCATGATACCTTCTCAGCGTCCTGTTCGAAGAGGCGTAGCTGGAAGCACTGGTCCAGCTGGAGTTTCCTGATGTGCCAGGCCTGGTGGAGGTGTTGACGTGTGGTGTGTAGTTTGTCCAGCAGGGTGGCGACACGCGGCACCAGCCCCTGGGAGTCAGCGTTACACACACCGCTGGCGTTAGAGTTCCTGTACGACTCACTGCTCTGGATACGCTGCAGCAACCTGGGAGAGGACACACACAGACAGAGGGGACACAACGTGAAACAACATACAGACACATCATCAGCAGTGGAAAAGTAGCATCACTATCAGTCTGTTTGTGAGTGAGTGTGCGCCCGCATGTCTGTGTCAATGTGTGTGTGCCCGTGTACGTGTGGTGCATAGCCTACCTCTGTCCCTCCGTATCCAGTTCCTCTATAGGAGCTTTGATGACCTTCTTCTTCAGCGTGGCGTGTTCCTCTATCATGCGCCGCGCCCCGTCCAGGTCCGTGGGGAAGTCTTTCCTCGCCACCACCTCCTGCATCTCCTCCAGCCTCGACAACATGTGACCCGCGTGCCCCGTAAACTCCTCAAAAGCAATCCGCACCTGGAAAAGAACGCAGATATGGATGGATTGATTGACTTCTGGTTGTAGTACTGACTAAGACAGCTACAGTGTGTGTGTGTATATTTTAGGTTCTATCTATATCTCTTATCTAAAAAAATGTTTGCAAACCATTGATTTATTGATTGATTAATTGGCAGGTTGTACCTCGATCCACTCATCATGGTTGTATTCCAGACTTCCCTCGAAGTCAGCGGTCAGCTGGGAGGGGTCAACCACCTTAGATAGACCCTCCAACGATACCATGGTAGTCTAGAGAGAATAAGAGAGGGGAGACATGGGGGGAGGGAGAGAGAGAGATGAGGTGGAAAGATGAAGAGGGAAGGGAAAGAAACGGAAGAGAGGGAGGGATAGAGAAGGTTTTAATCAATTCCAAAATAATCATCACAGCTTTCTGGTTAACAATGGTAGACAGGACGAGGAGAAGTTCAATGCCCACTGTCAGTCACCCACACAACACTAATGGTGATTCAGACACTCAGACAGACACATTTGATTGGCTGTGACAAAAAGGGGAGGGGTCAGAAATAAATGATTCTGAGGTCTCATTCTCCCTCTCTCTTCATCTTGATAGAGTCTGATGAGTTCATATAATGTTTTTCGGGGACATTTAGAAAACTTTTATCTCAGAAAAGGTAAAGCCATGTCTATACAGATTGAGAAATATGGGAGAGATTGTATCCATTCTCAAGTGCTTTATGTTGCCAAGATAATACTAACCCACACAGCAAGGTTAACACCCACGCTCTGTGTCAGATTGAAGGATAGAGAGAGGAGCGAGCGATGAGGAGAAACCTGACAAAGCCTTCCGTGGGCAGGATTATAGTCAGAATGAGAGTGACAGAGAGTTAAAGATGAGAAGCCCTCTAAATCCAAAGAAAGGCAGAGAGAAGGAGAAAATCACAACAGTTATCTTCTATTGACAAGTCCAGGTTAGAATGCATCTCTCCATCTCTCTCTATTCCCTCCATCTCTTCTAGAGTAATGTTCCATCTGTTCCAGCTCCTAATGGAATGTTAATATTTCATGTTCACATTTTAAAAGCATAACCCAGCATTGGCCGGAAAAGTGATTTTACTGAGCAAAATGTGGTGCTGAAAAATACACACACATACACAGACGCATGCATGGCCTCACACACACACACACACACACACACACACACACACACAGCAGGGTAGAAAGAGCGGTGGTGTTTAATTGTGTGTGTGTGTTTTGCCCTGTGGTGACTGGCTGACAGTGACACATGGCTTCACACACCATCAACCAATCGAAACAATCCAATACACCAGCGTTACTGCTCTAACAGGGTGTGTGTGTGCATGCGTGTGTGTGTGCGACTGTGGGTGTTAACTTAATACAACAACAAAAAGTAGAGCGCCACACATCACATTAGACACAGCAAATAAAACTGTATAGAAATCAAACCAAATAGCATAGCGCTCCATTACATTATTGCATTGCTCTGCAGGATTTTCAACACTATTACATAGAAGTTTACATAGAAGTAGTCAAGCCTACAAGCCTATCAAAAACAATTGAAAACAGCAGCTTGTGTGTGTGTGTGTGTGTGTGTCAAAACAAGCAGCTCTAAACAATATCCCATTGTGATTCTAAATCAAAAATGTAATACAGCAGAGTATAATATAGCAGAAGACCTCAAACTGACAGTGAACACACACCATACAATATTGCTGTTGGGTTTGCTATGCTAAGTAAACACACACCATATTGCTGTTGGGTTTGCTATGCTAAGTCAACACACACCATACCATATTGCTGTTGGGTTTGCTATGCTAAGTCAACACACACCATACCATATTGCTATTGGGTTTGCTATGCTAAGTCAACATACACCATACCATATTGCTGTTGGGTTTGCTATGCTAAATCAACACACACCATACCATATTGCTGTTGGGTTTGCTATGCTAAGTCAACACACACCATACCATATTGCTATTGGGTTTGCTATGCTAAGTCAACATACACCATACCATATTGCTGTTGGGTTTGCTATGCTAAATCAACACACACCATACCATATTGCTGTTGGGTTTGCTATGCTAAGTCAACACACACCATATCATATTCGTGTTGGGTTTGCTATGCTAAGTCAACACACACCATACCCTATTGCTGTTGGGTTTGCTATGCTACGGCAAAGGCACTGGTATTAAAATGCATTGGAGGAACAAAAAAGGCCATAATAAAACAATTAGGGCTGTCAAAGACAACACATTAACACGTTAATAACGCGTTAACGCATGGCATTTTTTATGCAGATTTTTTTGAATGCTGCAAAATCGCATGTTCATTTCTTCAGCGCACGGACCCTTTCAAGCGCAACAAACACGCACACACCATTTTAAACGCATCAAACACGCACACACTCTTAATACCGTGTGCAATCGGTCTCATTAGCTGTTTGTCTCTATAGACGGGTTGGTTGTTTAGCAACAAAACCGACGCGAGTGCAATTTTTGCCCAAAACAGTTGGGGTTGGCATAGATTGTTGACAACATGCTGTATGCATCACCAAATGTTTATTGAAAACATAAATACATTTGCACAATGAGCACTTGTTGTCTCTCAAATACATTGTTACAGTTATTGGTTAGCTAACTAGTACATTTTTGTATGGACATGAAATAAAGCAAAACACATCAAAACAAGACATGGTTTCAAGAACAAGATATGGCTAGCTGAAAAGAGCCATCAATGATTCCCCACGTGGCAGCTTCTTGTAATATCTGACGGTTCAGAATCATAACAACAATGATGCGCGCGCATCATTTTCGTGACGTTGTCAGCCAACCCGTCTACTGTGGTACTTAAACATCCACTATGCGTGCTTCTTTGAGCAACCAGTTTGAAGCAAAACTTACAGAAAGTTCAACCACGAACACATTCCCAGGCGTTTCTTTAGATAACAGCAAAAACATAATTTGTACAGAAGTAGCTAGCTCGTTGTGCTAACGTTAGCTAGCTAGCTAACCAAAATAATGTTTACAATGCCATGGCTGAATGCCTCTTGATTCAACCAACTTCCCACAATTATTTTAAATCAGAACAGGACATACATTCCATTTAGCTAGGCTACTGTTTTTGTTTTTGTTCATAGGTGAAAAGATTTAAGCAAATGATCCCAACTGTAGTACTAGCAGCTTGTGACTAGTTCACGTTGAAGAACATGGATAAGTAGCCTAGGCTAGGTAATAGCTGTATGATATTGTACATGAACTCAGACCTGGCTGATCGGTTGTTATTGTCTTCTGTGTAATTCATAACATTGTTGGACAGGTTTAAAAGCTTTTTGTTCTTTGTATCCATAGAGCCAGTTATTATTTCCTAGAGTCAACCTTCCAATCAGAAATTGGAACACTCATTTAGAATTCCTGAACATTGGGAGCATTAGGCCTAATAGCTATCTGTATGTTAGTGGCTTTTGTGTTGTGTATGGTGAAAATGCCATTAAAACATTCTGATACAGATTATTTTGTGTTAATTCCCTTCCAATCAAAATATAGTATGGCTATAACTCAATGCACTGCTTTTTATTTGGGCCAAATTTGAGCAAATTTTAAAATTGTGATTAATTTTGATTAACTAATGCCATTACCTGCAATTCATTAGTTTAATTGCTTGACAGCCCTAAAAACAATATGAACCATTGATTTAGTGTTTACCTCAAAATCGAGTTTGAAGCACACCAAATTTCTGCGATTTAATAAAGTAAAAACAGTAATCTTACCTCAAATTCGAACTTGGAGCTTCCAAAGTTGGTGCGTTGTTTCTGCCAGAAGTTGTCTGGTTTGATGATGAGCGCTACGTGTATACAGCAGGGGAACGACTCCTGGAGGATCTTCAGTAGAGGTTTGATACTGTCCCATTTACTGCCTCGCATGTCCACTATGACTGTGAAGCCATGCTTGACTACCTCCTCACTGGACCAGGGAAGGGGAAGCAGGAAGGATTGAGGGAGGGGGTGGGAGGAGGGAAGGTGGTAGCGAAAGAGTGAGAGTGGGTGGTAGGGAGGTGGGAGAGAGAGAGAAGGTAGGAGGGGGAGAGGTGGCAGTGAAAGAGTGAGAGTGGGAAAGGGGAGGGGCAGAGATAAGTGGTAGAGAAAGAGGGAGGAGGTTGAGTGGGAGGTAGAGAAATAGAGAGAAGGGATGAGGTAGGGAGAGAGTCAAACCAAACCATGAGATGGTGATGACACATTTTCGGTACTGTGAAAAGCACATATAGCACACACTACGGTGCACGCACGGACGCGCACACAAACACACACAACTACAGTGATTTCCAGCCAGATAAGGAAAATGTGCAACCTAACACTCAGTAGAATGACCAAAACAAAGCAGAAGAGACTGAATCCATCATCAGCATCATGACCGTAGTTAAACTAACCTCACACTGCATCATACATCCCCTGCATGGCTAGTAATAAACAGCATCTACTCAACCCACCCTCTCTTTTTCTTTATTCCCGCTCTCTGCTGACTACAACACTCAGCCCCAGAGAGTTCTCTCTCTCTCTCAGGAGAATACACACAATCCCTCTCTGCTGACTACAACACTCAGCCCCAGAGAGTTCTCTCTCTCAGGAGAATACACACAATCCCTCTCTCTGTCACTCACTCTCTTTTAGGATCTATCCTTCATCTCTCTTTATCCTTTACGCCTCTCTCAATCCCTTATTCCCTCCTTTTCGTTTTGGACTCTCTATCCTCTATATTTCTGGATTCCTTCTCTTTCTATCAATCCTTCCGTCCTCTCTAACATCTGCCTGTCTGTCTGTCAGCTAAAGACAGTCTTCAGATGTTTTCCAGGTAAACTAAAAATAAAACAGAACTCTGACTCCCAACACACTGAGCAGAGAGAGGGAGAGATAGAGAGGGAGAGATATAGGAAGAAAGAGAGAACACACAAACACAGAAATACATTATACAGAGGATAGAGAGAAAAAGCTGAGAGAGATCTACATATCATTTACATAGAGAGCGAGAGAGGAGAAGAACCGTTAAGAGATTTGTAATGAGGAGAGAGAGAAAGACGTACCTAGAAGGAGAGAGCAGCAGCGTACAGACCTACTCAAACTTAGCTATCATCACAACAACTACTACTGAGCAGATATAGCAACCGTACCGCCTCTGCGAGCGACACTGTTGTTCACACACCTCTCTCTCTCTCTCTCTCTCTCTCTCTCTCTCTCTCTCTCTCTCTCTCTCTCTCTCTCAACACTCAGCCCCATCCAAGAGACTAAACCAACCATACAAATATACACACAATATGTACGCATGCAGGTACCGAAGACACAAACACACATACTTGGGGATGCCCGCGAGGTACGCTATGAGTCTTCTGAGGTCATCGGCTCGTATTCTGTCGTGGTTACTGCGTGACGGAAACGTTAACACTGGACCTCCGCGTCTGTCTCTGCCCCCTGGAACACACATAATAAAACAGTCAACGGTCAGCTTAGCGCACAGTGGAGCGTACACACACCTCTGCCTCCTGGTGGACATAGACTGAAACAGAGAGTTATATTCCCATGAGTATGATCAGCATCATCTCAGTAACAGGTACTCAGAGGTAGGGGAAACATGATTTTATCAGGAAAACTATATAGCAATATACAGAAATATATAACTATTTCTATAGAAACCCTATAGTCATTTGTTTGACTATGTTAATGTATGTTACGTAGGCCTAATTGTATCTGGATATACGATCTATACCTCCCTCCACCCCCACATTTCTTTATTTCCTACAACACCCTCTCTCTCTCTCCCTCCCTCCCTCCCTCCCTCTCCTTCAACCGCTCCTCTCCTTTCAAAGCCAATTACTTTCCAAAATGCATTGACGGGAAATGGTTATGACAGACAGTAACTCAACGCTATAGCAACCACACTCTCTGAACCTCCTCTCTCTTCCTCTCATTATTTCTCTCTCTGAGTCATACTTCTGTTCATTATGGTCTGTCAGTGACCTTGGCTACACACAGAATGAGAATGGAGTCAGACAAAAGAGGAAGAGGAATGACACACAGACACAAACAGTAAAAAACAAACACACACACAAGCACACACACATTTGTTCCTCCTGCTTCGGCTCGATGAGAAATATTTTCAACACTAAAATAGTCGAGAACTGGCAGGAAGAACAGACGAGGGGACAAAGGTCAAGTGTCTGGGGTCTGACCTCTCAGTAGCCACGGGTCACAGCTATAATTACACACACTCAGAGTGTGTGTGTGTGTGTAGTTCCATGCCTGGGAGCTGTAAGTGTGTAAATGTGTCATGTTCTATTAGCTTCGTTTATGAAGAAAGAAACAAGTAGGATTCTCTCGCTCTCTCACACACACACACACACACACACACACACACACCTGATAGGAAGGCAACTTTTTCCTTTAGAATAGGCAACACCTCCATCGCTCTCATGTCTTCATTTCTGCGAAAACCTGGAGAGAGAAGAAGAGAGGGAAAATGAGAAGGAAAGACAGAAGGATTAGGATCAAACATCACATAGAAAGATGACAGAGCAAAAGGTGATTTTTTAAAACCAAAACTCCCAATGTTCAAATCCTATCTTCTTCCATCAAAAGGTTTCAGGAAGAATAGGCATAGTTTTATCCAACTTGTTGTACAATTCAAATGTCTGAGTTTGTATTTCTTTCTTGAGTATAGGGAATAGGAGGTTCATTTTGTCAGCATTACAGTCAAAGAAAGAAAACGTTTTCAGAATGGGAAACATGACATTGATTTTGTCTGACTGGAGTAACTGTTGAAGAGTATAAGGCAAGAACACACACACACACACACGCACACAGAGGAAGCATTGAGGCTGTAGAAGTAGAAACTCACACTTTAACAAAGACCTGTTTTAGAGTTAGAAAGGGAGGTTTATTTCCTGGTCATGTGTTGACAGAATGAGACCACTACCTGTCCTTCACTAAACCGTCAAATATAGCTTCATCATATCCCGCAGGAGTTGGGCTAGGACTATATGATGTACTATTATGCCACCAGAGCCCTTCTCCCCTCTCTATTTCTCTCACTCTCTCTTTCCCTCTCCCTGCAAACTCATACTTCTGTGTCCTTAGAGTTATCCAGGACAACGCACCCACTACACAGAGAAAGAGAGAGAGAGACAGAGAGACAGAGAGAGAGAGAGATGACGTCATTACTCTCTTTTGCAATGTTACAGCGCCTCACAGAGGAGTAAGTGAGCACACACACACACGCCGACCAAGACACAAACACTATGTACACCCAGACACAAACACTATGTACACCCAGACACAAACACTATGTACACCCAGACACAAACACTATGTACACCCAGACACAAACACTATGTACACCCAGACACAAAAACACTATGTACACCCAGACACAAACACTATGTACACCCAGACACAAACACTATGTACACCCAGACACAAACACTATGTACACCCAGACACAAACACTATGTACACCCAGACACAAACACTATGTACACCCAGACACAAACACTATGTACACCCAGACACAAACACTATGTACACCCAGACACAAACACTATGTACACCCAGACACAAACATTATGTACACCCAGACACAAACACTATGTACACTCAGACACAAACACTATGTACACTCAGACACAAACACTATGTACACTCAGATACAAACACTATGTACACCCAGATCCAAACACTATGTACACCCAGACACAAACACTATGTACACCCAGACACAAACACTATGTACACCCAGACAAACACTATGTACACCCAGACACAAACACTATGTACACCCAGACACAAACACTATGTACACCCAGACACAAACACTATGTACACCCAGACACAAACACTATGTACACCCAGACACAAACACTATGTACACCCAGACACAAACACTATGTACACCCAGACACAAACACTATGTACACCCAGACACAAACAACTGTTACAAAACAGCTCAACAACTGCCCAATAGCCTATTCACAACCAATAGTAATCATATTTCACCTCATTTTAAAAGTAAAATGTTATGTGCACAGTTGATTTCTGTCAATTGCTCTGTGACAGCACTGGGGGAACCTCTCACTAAACTGGTGGCCTGGGAATCAATGTGACTGCAAACATTGTTCACATGTTCAGCATTTTAGGGCATGTAGCTATCCTATGAAATTATTTTGCAAAAAGTTGCAACAGTTTGACACAATAACACATTTTGGATAATTTACAGATGTCCTACGATAGGGTGATAAAGGCCTGTAGCCTACACTCATCACTGAAATGTGCCGATCATGCCAGCTGTCTTATCAACAGGAGGTTGGTGGCACCTAAATTGGGGAGGACGGGCTCGTGGTAATGGCTGGAGCGTTCCAGCCATTATTATGAGCCGTCCTCCCCTCAGCAGCCTCCACTGATCTTATCATAATAATAGCACAGTAATTTTGTAATGGAAAATATGAGATTTAGGGATGGATCAATCAGGAGATGTTCATTCAACAAACACACCGCTATCTGTCCAACTCAATGCCTATCTTTACGGTGTGTGTGTGTGTGTGTGTGTGTGTGTGTGTGTGTGTAGTAGGTAGTGGAGATGAGAAAGTTTTACAGTGAAAGCCTTGTAGTTCTCTGTGAATTCACTCAACTGATACTGTATAGCTCCTCAGAGCTCTAGCCCTCCAGTACTCAATTATAAACACACACACACATCAGATGGGAGAATAGCGACCAGACTCAGACAGGCTCCTAGTAGTCTGCCTGTAGGAAGCAGGAGTGTGTGTGTATATATATATATATGTGTGTGTGTGTGTGTGTGTGTCTGTCTGTGTGTGTGTGTGTGTATGTATGTATGTGTCGCTCTGCTCCAGACCTTCTTTCCATCGGTGTGTGTGTGTGTTCCTTGGCCCTGCTCTGTATTCCATAATAATTCCAGTGTTACTTCTAGTGTGTTATGACCTGAGCTCCTCTATATTTAGCTGCCCCTGTGGTGAGCTTCTGGAGCACTTTCTACCCTCCCACAACCATACTCCGTCAGGGGGAGGGAGAGGTGTGGGGGTGTGTGTAGGTCATTCGGTCGATCCCACTGTGCATTTTGAGGATTAGGAAATAAAACAGCTATTTGCTTTATAAATACAGCACGCACACACACACACACACAGTAGGATGCGTTCTCACACAGATCTTTACACAACTTATGTGACCAGCTGGACACTGGCCAGAATCCATAGGATCGCCGTGACAACTGTACACACACACAGACAATATCTGATACACGGGGCCACAAAGACAGAGATAGAAAGAGACATATACAGCTCTGGAAAAAATTAAGAGACCACTGCAAAATTATCCGTTTCTCTGGTTTTACTATTTATAGGTACAGTGAGGGAAACAAGTATTTGATCCCCTGTTGATTTTGTACGTTTGCCCACTGACAAAGACATGATCAGTCTATAATTTTAATGGTAGGTTTATTTGAACAGTGAGAGACAGAATAACAACAAAGAAATCCAGAAAAACGCATGTCAAAATTGTTATAAATTGATTTTCATTTTAATGAGGGAAATAAGTATTTGACCCCTCTGCAAAACATGACTTAGTACTTGGTGGCAAAACCCTTGTTGGCAATCACAGAGGTCAGACGTTTCTTGTAGTTTTGCACACATCTCAGGAGGGATTTTGTTCCACTCCTCTTTGCAGATCTTCTCCAAGTCATTAAGGTTTCGAGGCTGACATTTGGCAACTAAAACCTTCAGCTCCCTCCACAGATTTTCTATGGGATTAAGGTCTGGAGACTGGCTAGGCCACTACAGGACCTTAATATGCTTCTTCTTGAGCCACTCCTTTGTTGCCTTGGCCGTGTGTTTTGGGTCATTGTCATGCTGGAATACCCATCCACAACCCATTTTCAATGCCCTGGCTGAGGGAAGGAGGTTTTCACCCAAGATTTGACGGTACATGGCCCCGTCCATCGTCTCTTTGATGCAGTGAAGTTGTCCTGTCCCCTTAGCAGAAAAACACCCCCAAAGCATAATGTTTCCACATCCATGTTTGACGTGGGGATGGTGTTCTTGGGGTCATAGACAGCATTCCTTCTCCTCCAAACACGGCGAGTTGAGTTGATGCCAAAGAGCTCGATTTTGGTCTCATCTGACCACAACACTTTCACCCAGTTCTCCTCTGAATCATTCAGATGTTCATTGGCAAACTTCAGACGGCCCTGTATATGTGCTTTCTTGAGCAGGGGGACCTTGCGGGCGCTGCAGGATTTCAGTCCTTCACGGCGTAGTGTGTTACCAATTGTTTTCTTGGTGACTATGGTCCCAGCTGCCTTGAGATCATTGACAAGATCCTCCCGTGTAGTTCTGGGCTGATTCCTCACCGTTCTCATGATCATTGCAACTGGAACAAATTGCAAAAATCTCTGAAGCTGGAGACACTTATCTCCCTCACTAACTTTAAGCATCAGTTGTCAGAGCACCTTACCGATCACTGCACCTGTACACAGCCCATCTGAAATTAGCCCGCCCAACTACCTCATCCCTATATTGTTATTTATTTTGCTCATCTGTACCCCAGTATCTCTATTTGCACATCATCTCTTGCACATCATTCCAGTGTTAATACTAAATTGTAATTATTTTGCACTATAGCCTATTTTATTGCCTTACCTCCATAACTTGCTAAATTTGCACACTGTATATTAATTGTATTTCTGTTGTGTATATATATATTTTTTTTTTTTTGATTTTTGTTTTGTTTTACCCCATATGTAACTCTGTGTTGTTGTTTTTATCGCACTGCTTTGCTTTATCTTGGCCAGGTCGCAGTTGTAAATGAGAACTTGTTCTCAACTGGTTTACCTGGTTAAATAAAGGTGAAATAAAAAAAATAAAAAAAAAAAAAAAAACTCCACGAGGTGAGATCTTGCATGGAGCCCCAGGCCGAGGGAGATTGACAGTTATTTTGTGTTTCTTCCATTTGCGAATAATCGCACCAACTGTTGTCACCTTCTCACCAAGCTGCTTGGCGATGGTCTTGTAGCCCATTCCAGCCTTGTGTAGGTCTACAATCTTGTCCCTGACATCCTTGGAGAGCTCTTTGGTCTTGGCCATGGTGGGAGTTTGGAATCTGATTGACTGATTGCTTCTGTGGACAGGTGTCTTTTATACAGGTAACAAGCTGAGATTAGGTGCTCCTAATCTCAGCTCGTTACCTGTATAAAAGACACCTGGGAGCCAGAAATCTTTCTGATTGAGAGGGGGTCAAATACTTATTTCTCTCATTAAAATGCAAATCAATTTATAACATTTTTGACATGTGTTTTTCTGGATTTTGTTGTTGTTATTCTGTCTCTCACTGTTCAAATAAACCTACCATTAAAATTATAGACTGATCATGTCTTTGTCAGTGGGCAAACGTACAAAATCAGCAGGGAATCAAATACTTTTTTCCCTCACTGTATGTGTTTGGGTAAGAATAACATTTTTGTTTTATTCTATAAAACTACTGACAACATTTCTCCCAAATTCCAAAGAAAAATAGTGTAATTTAGAGCATTTATTGGTCAAACTGGTCAAAATAAAAAAAAAGATGCAGTGTTGTCAGACCTCGAATAATGCAAAGAAAATAAGTTAATGTTCATTTTTAAACAACACAATACTAATATTCTAACTTAGGAAGAGTTCAGAAATCAATATTTGGTGGAATAACCCTGATTTTCAATCACAGCTTTCATGCGTCTTGGCATGCTCTCCACCAGTCTTTCACATTGATGTTGGGTGACTTTATGCCACTCCTGGCGCAAAAATTCAAGCAGCTCGGCTTTGTTTGATGGCTTGTGACCATCCATCTTCCTCTTGATCACATTCCAGAAGTTTTCAATGGGGTTCAGGTCTGGAGATTGGGCTGGCCATGACAGGGTCTTGATCTGGTGGTCCTCCATCCACACCTTGATTGACCTGGCTGTGTGGCATGGTGCATTGTCCTGCTGGAAAAAAACCAATCCTCAGAGTTGGGGAACAATGTCAGAGCAAAAGGAAGCAAGTTTTCTTCCAGGACAACCTTGTGCGTGGATTGATACATGCGTCCTTCACAAAGACAAATCTGCCCGATTCCAGCCTTGCTGAAGCACCCCCAGATCATCACCAATCTTCCACCAAATTTCACAGTGGGTGCGAGACACTGTGGCTTGTAGGCCTCTCCAGGTCTCCGTCTAACCATTAGACGACCAGGTGTTGGGCAAAGCTGAAAATTGGACTCATCAGAAAAGATGACCTTACTCCAATCCTCTATGGTCCAATCCTTAAGGTCTTTTGCAAACCTCAGCCTGGCTCTTCTTTGCTTCACATTGATGAAGGGCTTTTTTCTAGGTTTGCACGACTTCAGCCCTGCCCCTAGGAGCCTGTTTCGAACCGTCCTCGCCGTGCACTTCACCCCAGCTGCCGTTTGCCATTATTTTTGTAGGTCACTTGATGTCATCCTACGGTTGTTGAGTGACATTCGAATGAGTTGGTGGTCATCCCGGTCAGTAGAGAGTTGTTTTCGCCCTCTGCTGGTCTGTAGCTTTGTTGTCCCCATTGTCTGCTGCTTGACCTTGTTCTTATAAACCGCGTCTTTGAAATTTTAAGGATGGAAGCAACCTGACGCTCACTGTATCCCTCTGCCAGTAAAGCCAGAATTGAACCCTTCTTTTCCTCACTGAAAACTTTCCTTTTCAACTCTTTTGGTACGGTCAATAGTTATTTTTTGCTTAATATTCCTTTTGAGGTACTATTAGCACTCTTTTTGCCATCCAGCTGGTCCTATTGCAAGAGGATAGTGATGACCACAGCAGTGGTTTTTATACTTTCCTCGTTAAATAAGATATGGTTCAGGTGATCACCTAATCAGTACCTAATTCAGTAGAATGAGGTGTGCCTGTGTTGGAATTCAACAGACACTGGAATGGAATGGCTGTCATACATGTAGAGATGCTGATTTAAGAAAAATTTGCAGTGGTCTCTTAATTTTTTCCAGAGCTGTATATATAGAGAGAAAAACAGAAAGAGAGAGAGTTGAGGATTTATGAAAGCAGCTGAGAAGTGACAGCCAGGATGTACGAGCAAATAAAATGAGTGAACAAGAAAAGAGAGAATGAATGGAAAGTAAAAACCCTGCAATGAACCCCGCTGCAGACGATGATGTCACCCTGACTCAACCACAGCAGACGGACAAGGACGGAGGGATGGTCACTTTATTTTTTCCTCTCTGTCCTCTCTCTCTCTTTCCCTACCTTACTCACTCTTTTGTTTAGAAAAAGTGGCCATCTTTAACCTTTACTTTACCATTCAAAACCAAAGAGGTTAGAGTTGAATAGCGCATCACAATACTCTAAAGAGACTTCCTCTCCACATACACACGTATACTCATTGGGTATCCATTTTTTAATCCATTTTATTTCTCTCTGCATTGTTGGGAAGGGCCCGTAAGAAAGTATTTCACTATTAGTCCACACCTGTTGTTTACAAAGCATGTGACAAATAACATTGTATAATATTTCAAAGGAACCTGTTGCCATTTCAGATGGGTAGGTGCTAAGGAGGATCCTTGGGACGTCCCCACCCTAAACCCTAACCCTTACCTAAACCTAACCTTAACTGTTTTCAATTTCAACTTCAATGGGGTGATGTCAGAGTTGGATGTCCCAAGGAGTTTGGCACCAATCGGCATCAAGCAGCATACCTGTCAGCTGGATGAGGGCGGAGCCTGTCTGAGCATACTGCCACATGTGATTGGTCACCAGTGATGATGTTATCCTCCTCCAGTACCAACACGTCTGCATGGTACTGTATATTCCCAGTATTCCAAAGTCTGTTACTCCAACCGGCCATGGAACATGAGGAACTACCTCCTCTGCTAACACAATTCCCAGCTAAGCTACAATACAATGCTAAGCTACAACAAAAAAGATAGTCATTGCATTGTGAAAAACTAGCATTAGACCCACAATGCTACGCTAGCTAAAATTAGGCTCATCAAGGCTAAGAGACACTTTCTTGGGATAAAACAAAAAAAGTGTATTGCTTTTAAGGAGTGGTGCTAAGCTAGGCTAATGTATGCTAAGCTAAGTAGCTAGCAGCCCCTTCTGTGTGAACTGCTGCCCTGTGTGGGTTTAGGAGAGGAACAGGCTTCTACCCAGTCTGTTCTTAATCTCACGTCTTAACTCCCTGTGTGTGTGTGTGTGTGTGTGTGTGTGTGTGTGTGTGTGTGTGTGTGTGTGTGTGTGTGTATGTGTGTGTGTGTGTGTGTGTGTGTGTGTGTCTGTGTGTGTGTGTGTGTGTGTGTGTGTGTGTGTGTGTGTGTGTCAGTGAGAGGGATAAGAGAGTGGGGGGAATATGAGGGCATCCTGACAGTGGTCAGACATGTGGACACACACACACACACACCCCCCTACCTTGAATGTGGACCCCTAAATGTGCCATTGCTGCCCTCTCTGTGTGTGTGTGTGTGCATGCGTGTTGGGATTAGAGAGAAGCTGCTTAAAAAGTGTGAGGAGTGGTTCAAAGACCCCATGAAACATTCCATGGTGAGACAGACAGACATACAGACAGAAGGTCTTTATCACTAAGTTGGTGTAATACCTCAGATGGACATACACCCATAATAGATACAGTACCATATGGTGATACCACAGCTCAACCATTGACTTACAATACACAATGTGTGTTACTACCACATCTGTGTGTTCACTATTAGCATCCCTATAAAAGACCCTGTCTTACCAGCATTGGTCCTGTCCTGGGTCATATAGCTGTCTCTAGTAAACATCCCATCCAGAACATGGAAGATAATGTTTAGTCCTGCCATGACCCCAACACAGCGGTCAGACAATGGTCAGAGACAGACCAACAGAACCACAACCACCCCCAGCAGCGAAGGAGAGAGAAGGAGAGATAGGAAGGACAGAGCGAGTATGAGGGGGTTATTGGGGTGAGGAGTTACTCAGAGGCCAGCAAGTCACATGATAGAGTAGCTGTAGCTATGGATCCCTTCAATCTATGTCTGGCATCTACAGAAACTGTCATACCTATGCGAGCAGGTGACAAAGGGTCTGTTTTACAGTATGTGTGTGAGTGTGTGTCCTTGTTACTGAACTTGAGCATTCCGTACGTCGTTCATCCTGAGAATGAGGATCATGGCATCGTGTTCACGGTCAACATCAGAACAAGGCCTGTGTGTGTGTGTGTGTGTGTGTGTGTGTGTGTGTGTGTCAAGGCCAAATCAATCTCTGCTGTGAGTGAAAGCCTACGTAATCTGTCTCTCTCTATGTAGGACTAACACTTGACACACACAGACACACATTAAAGGCTGTATACTAAGGAAGGCTCCAATAGGTCAAGTGAGCATTAGTTCCTTGCAGCCGCAGAGCAATTTACACAACACACAGACGAGAAATGTGTGTCAGTCAGTATGTGCCACATGCCAGGACCGAGACAGATGGAAAGAGAAAACAGAGGAAGGACAGAAGTTGCCTTCATACCAGTACACACACAAACAAACTAACCCTAGAGCACACGTTGATATGATATGATATGCTGATCCAGAGCCTGTTAAAGTGCTAATCACATAATGGTTATGGTCAGGATTAAACTCATGAAAACTGCTCTGAAACCAACTGTTAAAGGGGCCAGACAGAGAGAATGGGTCAGGCCGGTTTGGGTAATGGTAGGTTTGGGATACCATAGGGGGCGTGCCCACATACATTGCATCACTGGCATTCTCCAACTGGGGTTAGTGTTCGAGGGCAGTGTTGGAATTCCTAGGATTCCCAAATGCTGATTCCCATATAAACATGACATTCTCTAATTTAACGCACACTACACATTACTAACAGACAGTTCGTGAGAAAGAAGTCAGAGAAAGAGGGGGGTGGGGTGGGAGTCTGGGATGTGAATCTGTCTGTGTTTCAGGTTAACGTGTGTGTGATAGATGCATGTCCTGACAGAGACAGAGAGGATTGTCACTAGAGACGCCATCAGTGTCACACGGTGTCGTTTATCTCCCCCTTTGTCTCTCGCTCTCTCCAATTCCCTCTCTCTATATCTATCTCTCTCCACTGAGCTCGTTCTGGCTTTCTGTCTCTCCTTCCCTCTTTTTCCCCTTTCTTTACTTATCGGTTAGTGGTGCGCGGGTCAGCTGTTTGTTCACCCGCACCCGCCCGTAAATGCTAATAACCCATCCGCAACCGCACAACTGTATGTGATAACCCATCCTGCACCCGACCCTAACCCGCTAATATACACTGAATAAAAATATAAAAGCAACGGGTAACGTGCTGGTCCCATGTTTCATGAGGTGAAATAAAATATTTCAGAAATGTTCCATACGCACAAAAAGCTTATTTCTATCAAATGTTGTGCACAAATTTGTTCACATCCTTATTATTGAGCATTTTATCCTTTGTCAAGATAATACATTCACCTGACAGGTGTGGCACATCAATAAGCTGATTAAACAGCATGATCATTACACAAGTGCACCTTGTGCTGGGGACAATAAAAGGCCACTCTAAAATTTGCAGTTTTGTCACACAACACAATGCCACAGATGTCTCAAGTTTTGAAGGAGCGTGTAATTGGCATGCTGACTGCAGGAATGTGCGTTACAGCCTTATTGTACAATAGGTTAAATAAATAAAAATCCTCATCAATCTACACACAGTACCTAATCATGACAGAGCGAAATGTTTGCTAATGTATAAAAAATAAATACAATTAAAAACGTATTTACAGAAGTATTCACACCCTTTGCTATGAGACTCGAAATTAAGTTCAGGTGCATCCTGTTTCCATTGGTCATCCTTGAGATGTTTCCACAACTTGATTGGAGTCCACCTGTGGTAAATTCAATTGATTGGACATGATTTGGAAAGGCACACACCTGTCTATATAAGGTCCCACAGTTGACAGTGCATGTAGAGCTCCGAGGCAGGATTGTGTCGAGGCACAGATCTGGGGAAGGTGACCAAAACTGTTTTACAGCATTGAAGGTTCCCAAGAACACAGTTTGGAACCACCAAGACTCTTCCTAGAGCTGGCCGCCCGGCCAAACTGAGCAATCGGGGGAAAAGGGCCTTGGTCAAAGAGGTGACCAAGAACCCGATGGTCACTCTGACCGAGCTCCAGAGTTCCTCTGTGGAGATGGGAGAATCTTCCAGAAGGACAACCATCTCTGCAGCACTCCACCAATCAGGCCTTTATGGTAGAGTGGCCAGACAGAAGCCACTCCTCAGTAAAAGGCACATGACAGCCCACTTGGAGTTTGCCAAAAGGCACCTAAAGACTCTAATGCCCCCCATCCCTACGGTGAAGCATGGTGGTGGCAGCATCATGCTGTGGGGATGTTTTTCAGCGGCAGGGACTGGGAGACTAGTCAGGATTGAGGGAGAGATGAACGGAGCAAAGTGCAGAGAGATCCTTGATGACAACCAGCTCCAGAGCGCTCAGGACCTCCGACTGGGGCGAAGGTTCACCTTCCAACAGGACAATGACCCTAAGCACACAGCCAAGACAACGCAGGAATGGCTTTGGGACAAGTCTCAATGTCCTTGAGTGGCCCAGCCAGAGCCTGGACTTGAACCCGATCTAATATCTCTGGAGAGACCTGAAAATAGCTGTGCAGCGACGTTCCCCATTCAACCTGACAGAGCTCGAGAGGATCTGCAGAGAGGAATGGCAGAAACTCCCCAAATTTTTTATTTTAATTTTTAATTTCACCTTTATTTAACCAGGTAAGCCAGTTGAGAACAAGTTCTCATTTACAACTGCGACCTGGCCAAGATAAAGCAAAGCAGTGCGATAAAAACAACACAGTTACATATGGAATAAACAAAACGTACAGTCAATACCACAATAGAAAATCTGTATACAGTGTGTGCAAATGTAGTAAGTTATGGAAGATAGTGAGGGAGATAAGTGTCTCCAGCTTCAGAGATTTTTGCAGTTCGTTCCAGTCATTTTCAGCAGAGAACTGGAAGGAACGGCAGCCAAAGGAGGTGTTGGCTTTGGGGATGACCAGTGAGATATACCTGCTGGAGCGCATACTACGGGTGGGTGTTGCTATGGTGACCAGTGAGCTAAGATAAGACAGGGATTTGCCTAGCAGTGATTTATAGATGACCTGGAGCCAGTGGGTTTGGCGACAAATATGTAGTGAGGGCCAGCCAACGAGAGCGTACAGGTCACAATGGTGGGTAGTATATGGGGCTTTGGTGACAAAAACGGATGGCACTGTGATAGACTACATCCAATTTGCTGAGTAGAGTGTTGGAAGCTATTTTGTAAATAACATCGCCGAAGTCAAGGATCGGTAGGATAGTCAGTTTTACGAGGGCATGTTTAGCAAAATAGGAAGCCGATTCTAGATTTAACTTTGGATTGGAGATGCTTAATGTGAGTCTGGAAGGAGAGTTTACGGTCTAACCAGACACCTAGGTATTTGTAGTTCTAGTCGGGCGGGCGGGTGCAAGCAGCGTTCGATTGAAGAGCATGCATTTAGTTTTACTAGCGTTTAAGAGCAGTTGGAGGCCACGGAAGGAGTGTTGTATGGCATTGAAGCTCATTTGGAGGTTTGTTAACACAGTGTCCAATGAAGGGCCAGATGTATACAAAATGGTGTCGTCTGCGTAGAGGTGGATCTGAGAGTCACCAGCAGCAAGAGCGACATCATTGATATACACAGAGAATAGAGTCGGCCCGAGAATTGAACCCTGTGGCACCCCCATAGAGACTGCCAGAGGTCCAGACAACAGGCCCTCCGATTTGACACATTGAACTCTATCTGAAAAGTAGTTGGTGAACCAGGCGAGGCAGTCAGTTGAGAAACCAAAGCTATTTAGTCTGCCAATAAGAATGAAGTGATTGACAGAGTCAAAAGCCTTGGCCAGGTCGATGAAGACGGCTGCACAGTACTGTCTTTTATCAATTGTGGTTATTATATCGTTTAGGACCTTGAGTGTGGCTGAGGAAACCAGCTTCTCTTCTGTCACTATATGTTGCCCTAGAACAGGGTTTCCCAAACTCGGTCCTGGGGCCCTCCCTGGGTTCGATAGAATGAATGCTTCAATCTAGTTGACATCGGTAGAGTTCTCTATGTCATCTCTGCTTCTTTCGCTGAGCAAAGATGTTTAGGGACCGGGGAGAAAATGCAATAACTGTAAAAAACTATAGGAAAGATTTTTTGAGCTAAATTTCCAAATGACATACGTTTGACCGGTTGTAAGGAAATAGAAAGCTGTGAAAATGACCCAACATGTTTCTGATTAGATTTCAGTTCAGCTTGGATGCATATTTTGTGGTTGAAATACTAATCAGCTTTTATGATGCTGACAAAGATAGCACCTCTACAGATGGTATCTAATTGCATTCGCATTCTCTCAAGATGCTGAAAGAAATCATATTTCTCCACTCCTGTTCCCTAGTCAAAATTTTACCTACATTTGGTGTATAATTTTACTGCAAGAAATGCTTAATTCTGCAGGAGTTAATATTAAGGCTATGTGAAAGATTATAGACCTACAGTCAGTGTCCAGATTTCAGTTTCCATTTAACCCATCTGAACAGTAGGCTACAGTTCCCTTGATGTGTCATAGGCCTATTTGAAGTCCCCGTCTTGTGACTGTCGTATTTGTATAGCGCCTCACAATCATGACACATAACACACTGCCATAATCCTCTTTTACCACTTCATCAAATCTTTCCCAAACGTTAATTTCTGGCCCTCCCTTCTCTTTATTTTCAACTCTCCATTTCGCAATTTCTCTCTTATTGAATTAAACTCCGACATTGTCCTTTTTGCCTCTGTGGATCGACGTAAACTTTTTCAGCCCATTCCAGACCCGGCGGCAGAACGAATCAGTTGGACGGGCATTTGATTTCCATAGGGGGGCACGTTTTTTCACGGGACCTCCTGTGTGTGCACACGCTTGCTCATTCACAATTTTTTTAAATGGCTGTAATAGTAAAGACCATAGAGTACCACAGTATGAGTCATAATACCCATAAAACCTAGTGGTCAAACAGGGAAATGGTTCCAATCGTTTTTCCACCATAGATTTTTCCCATAGGGGATTTTAGAAATTTACCTTTATTTAACTAGGCAAGTCAGTTAAGAACAAATTCTTATTTACAATGACGGCCTACACCGGCCAAACCCGGACGACGCTGGGCCAATTGTGCGCCGCCCTATGGGACTCCCAATCACGTCCGGTTGTGATACAGCCTGGAATCGAACCAGTGGGTCTGTAGTGACGCCTCAAGCACTGAGATGCAGTGCCTTAGACCGCTGCGCCACTCGGGAGCCCTTAAAATAAGGGCTGTGTTTTATGTACGCTTACCCTGGTGTGACGTTTTGATTACCGTGTAAATCTCTCTAGGACATCAATATATTCGCCTGTATTTACCCCCCCAAAATAAAATGCTAAATAGCTGCTAATGTGGCTATCATGAAGAACTACAAATGCCATGATGATCGGGACGAGACTGCCGAATTCGAGGCAAAGGTAAGAATCTCTGGATTAATTATCTAATGGTAGCTAAATGTAGTAATTAATACATTGGCTACATTTCTTAAAATTGACAATTCTGTGAACAGTCTTGTGCAAGTTTTAAATTGACACAATACCTGTTAGCAAAGGTGTCAGCTAGAGATGACGTTCTTGAGCTTGCAGGGATTTGTGGTTTTGCATTAGTCTACTTTAATGCTAATTGAAATGTTAGATTCTGCGAGTAAAGAGCAGAATATATTGATAAAAGTTACCTTGCCCAAGAGAGAGATATACATGGTTATGAAAACGTCACGCCAGGGAAAGCCTACACGAAACACAGCCCTTATTTTAACTGTTTCTAAAATCCCCTATGAAAAAAATGAATGGTGGAAAAATGATTGGAACCATTTCCCTGTTTGACCACTAGGTTTTATGGGTATTATGACTCATACTGTGGTACTCTATGGTCTTTACTATTACAGCCATTTAAAAAATGGTGAATGAGCAAGCGTGTGCACACACAGGAGGTCCCGTGAAAAAACGTGCCCCCCTATGGAAATCAAAGGCCTGTCCAACTGATTCGTTCTGCCGCCGGGTCTGGAATGGGCTGAAAAAGTAGACCATGTATCTGATGCTGTCTGGACAGAAATAGTATGACATGCCATACTATTTTGGTCCCTACAGCATCAGATACATGGTCTACACATTCTGAGACAGAGGGGTGCTGTTTTGCTTGCTCGGATGCTTTACCTGAAATGTATGCATCTCTCTGTTGGCGGGCAAGGAGGTACGGTAGGGCGGGCAAGGCCCCCTAAGGCCCGCCCATAACGCCAGCCCTGATTTGGTGATTGGCCTGTAGGCTATTGGCACCCATACCATTAGGCCCTAAAGTTTAGGCTTACGCACTAATCCCAGAAAGCCTAAAATATACATATATATATATTTTTACATTTAAGTCATTTAGCAGACGCTCTTATCCAGAGCGACTTACAAATTGGTGCATTCAACTTAGGATAATGAAAGAAAAACCTAAATTTAGCCTATAGATATAAAATGACAAGAATGATCCAATGATGGATTTTTTAAGGTATTGTTCTCTTTATTAAACTAGCCCTTCATCCACACAATATTTAATGACCCTAAACCCTCCCGCCCCGCAGCTATAACCCCGTTATGAGTCAACCCTCGCATCACTACTGTCTGTCTCACTATTGTCCTTCCCCCTCTCCCTCGTGGTCTCTTTCTCCCTCTTAATGTTCCGTTTCCTCAGGGCATAAGAACTCATTTCTCCCTCCCTCCACCGTTCATCAACCAGATTGTTGCTAGTAATTATTTACTAGACACAATGCACTCTCACACTCCCTTTATTTCTCTCTCTCCCTATCTCCGTTTTGTTGCCCTACAGAGATTTGATTGGTCGCTAAAACAGACGGGGTGATCCTATTGGCTCCGGAGACTGAGTGGGCGATCTTATTGGCTGATCAGCCACAGCTATGGCACTCTAACAATGCCCTCACTGTGGGTACAGCTGGCACACACACACACACTTTCAAAAATAGCCCTGTAGCTAGTGACCAGCATTGATAATAGATTTATGTAGCTAGTGATCAGTATTGATAATAGATTTCTGTAGCTAGTGACCAGCATTGATAATAGATTTCAAATCTGTCTTTCCACCTCTCTGTATCTTTTCTCTGCTAGTCCCTCGCTCTCTCCTTTGCCTATTTACTTATTCTAACTCTTTTCTCCCCTATTCCTTCTCTTTCCCTCTGATCATCCTGTTTTCCCCAGAAATGTCTGTGTGCCAGCTGAATATCACAATGTCGTTCTCTCCATCCACCCAGACCTCTAATAACAGGGTAGAGTAACTGACTGAGACACAGGCCAGGGTTACCCTCAATGACCTGGAGGGAGAGCGAGAGCAGGATTTTGATAAACTCCCATATCTATTGGGTGAAAAACCACAGAGGGCAATCACAGCAGCAAGATTTGTGACCTGTGGCCACAAGAATAGGGCAACCAGTGAAGAACAAACACCATTGTAAATACAACCCATATTTATGTTTATTTATTTTCCCTTTTGAACTTTAACTCTTTTCACATCGTTACAACACTGTATATAGACATAATATGACATTTGAAATGTCTATTATTTTGGAACTTTTGTGAGTGTAATATTTACTGTTCATTTATTGTTTAATTCACTTTTGTTGATCCATTTCACTTGCTTTGGCAATGTAAACATATGTTTCCCATGCCGATAAAGCCCCTTGAAATGAGAGCGAGAGAGAGAGAGAGAGAGAGAGAGAGTAAGCCATCCCTAACAACCTCTTCCTAAACAAACATCTGTCAGGGACCAAAAATATTACATTTACATTTTAAATGTTTGTCATTTAGCAGACGCTCTTATCCAGAGCAACTTCCATTAGTGACTGAATACACTGCATACTTTTTTCCTAGTACTGGTCCCCCGTGGGAATCGAACCCACAACCCTGGCGTTGCAAGCGCCATGCTCTACCAACTGAGCCATATGGGACCAGGGTCCCCCTTCCTCCATCACTCTCCACCCTCTGTCCTTCCATCCCTCCCTCTCACCATCTCCCAGTGTGACTAGTGGGAGAGAGAGCAGGCCACCAGATGGACTGGTTTTAACTCTCATATCTTAGATGACATCACACATTTTAACACTTTACAGGGCAGAGCAGTGACATCACTGGTGAATGATACAGAACAATAGGCCCAACCTATAACCCTGCCTACAAACAAGGAAGTAAAACAAATACATTTTAGACAGGACTGGTGAGATGAGGGGGAGGGGGACACTTCAGGGGAGACACTCCCAGTCAAAACACACTAAACCCACACACATCGCTGTGAAAGACAGACATCAATGGAACAGTGTGCCAGACGGAACAGTGAAACAAAACGAGAGAAAAGGGAAGGGAGGGTAGATCACAGGAACACAGAACGCTGGTGTGTGTGTGTCATCCTACCTGGTAGCTGACTTGACAAGTCCCCTTTGGGTTCTTTTTGGAGGGAACCGTCTGGGGAAAGAAAGATCACTATCAGGTATACAGTAGGTAATCAGTTCTGTGTCTTTACCAAGCTAATAAACTCCAGGCCTGGACAAGATACAGTATTTCAGGGACTGGTTCAGACCTGGAACACCAGCAGTGTATTCATTAGGAACAACATAAACTCAAGTTTTTGTTTTAAAACGTTTTCTATTGCTAAATGTTTAGCAACATGTTGCACTGCTGAATAGGCTTCACCCCAGGTGAGTGAACACCTGGCCTAACATGAATCAATCCATTAACTAGTGCCAGTAAGAGCCCTTCTGACCTGTGGAAGATAGCTAACATGCTAATGTGCTAGCTAGCTAACCAAGACGCCACTAAACACACGTGCTGTGAACATCAACAACCCTCTGGGCTGACGAATCACTAGCACATCATTCCCTGTGTGTGTGTGTGTGTGTCTGAACACATGCTCTCTCTGACACACACTTCCTGTGGACGCTGTGTCCTCACCGCTGAGTGTTGGGTGATGGGATACATGAAGGGAGCAGTGAATCGCAGTGTGTTAACACACACACATTTTTATTTCTTTCCCCAGACTCCATTCATGGAATTTCTCCCTACGACAGACAGACGCTATAATGAAAAGACTAAACCTTAACATACAGTACATCCTTGGAGTACCAGCTAGAGTCACAGTTATCTAACTGCATAACACCACAGTTCTAATAGTATGAAGATAAAAACAACAGATAGCCCACACAAACATGCACTGACGCACACACAAACAAACGCACACACGTGGTGTGGAGGTGTCTCAGGTCCCAGAGAGAGAAACCAAGAGGTTTGTCAGGATCAGAAGTGGGCTAATCTATTGAGATACACACTCTCCCCAAACACACACTTGAAGTGAAGTGAAGAGCGCGAGGCCAACCTAGTGCTACGTCATCCATTTACTGACAGCCTAACATAGACATAGGCCTACACACACACAGGAACAGGAACAGTCATAAAGGAAATGACAAAGCAGAACTAAGAGCACAGTCAGAAGTCAGAACGGTAGCCCACTCCCCTCTAAAACACCCTAGAACTCGCTCTACCTCTGACCTTCTAAACAGTCGGTATGATTCAGGATGGTGTCACCGTCCGTCTGGTACACACAGCTTTTCTCTGTTACTCACTCTCTCTTTACTGGGGCTATAGACAGCACATTACGGACGAGCGAACCTGCAAACGAACACACACGTTTTATAGGCCTCGTTCCCCCTCGACTTCTCTGCAGGGCTACTCATCACTGCGACTCACCCACATACACCAGTCACATACACACAGTCACATACACACAGTCACACACACTGAACCCCTCTCAATTCAGCATACCAATGCTATTGATCACGATAGATAGAAGGATAAAGAACAGAGAGAAAGAGAGTGAGACAGCACTTTAAATCTCACCAGTGGCCTAGAGACAAAGAAAGAGCATAATGGTCCATGAAGACTTGTCCTACTTTACCTCTCTCTTGTTCTGGTGTCACTTTAAAATAGGAGCAGTCTCCATGCAATAGTTCTCTCTGTCTCCATGCAACCAACCAATCAATCTGGAGTCTTTCGCTATTCAATTAAAAACATTTCAATCAAGCTTCATTAGCATGACTGAGTCTGACAAATACAATGTTTGGTGAAGCAAGACACAATTCTAGACAAAACTTAGTGTATGGAACAATCAGAGGGGTGTTTTTTAAGCTAGTGTGTTGAATGAATTGAATCCAGTATAAACAGGAAACCTGCATACAATGTGGATTAAGAGATGACGCCTGAGTTCAGACAGTGGAGTGCTGTGGCCAGCACACACCATGTGTGTGTATGGGGCGAGGTTTGGGGTAAATCGATCTGACACTCAGACATGTGTTAGCACAGGGGAGTTCACCCCAAAGTCACTGCTCCTCTACACACACACACACAGCTCTGGAAAGAGAAAGTCTGATAGAGAGGGAGAGGAAAGAGATGAACATGGAGAAGAGAGAGAGCACTAGTGTATGTACTGTGTACCGGACTGTCCTGACTAACAGCATTAGAGTGTGATTTAGAGTGTGTGTGTTCTGAGTTTAGGTGAAAGTGTTAGGTGAGTTTAGGTGAAAGTGTTAGGTGAGTTTAGGTGAAAGTGTTAGGTGAGTTTAGGTGAAAGTGTTAGGTGAGTTTAGGTGAAAGTGTTAGGTGAGTTTAGGTGAAAGTGAATTATATTATACACCGACCTATCCTCTAATCTAACCATTCCCTGGGATTACAGCCTTTAGTTGCACACGGTTATATTTAACACTTACATTTTAGTATTTTAGTAGACACTCTTATCCAGACTTACAGGAGCAATTATGGTTAAGTGCCTTGCTCAAGGACAAATCAACAGATTTTTTACCTAGTCAGCTTGGGGATTCGAACCAGCAACCTTTTGTTTACTGGCCCAATGCTCTTAACCGCTAGGCTACCTGCCGCCTTTAACAGACACACACAAACACTTAAATCACACTAATGCTCGCAAGCAAGCACACACACTAAGAGGGATGTTTGATATTGGTTGTCAGCCCTACCCTCTGAGGCAGCGAGAGAGGGAGAGAAAAAGGAGAGAGTGAAAGGAGAGCGAGAGAGAAAATGTCAAAGTAATAAAGAGAGATGTTTCCTGTGTTTATCACAATGTTGATATCAAAGAACACACACACAGCCTACACTTTCACAGAACAAGGACTGTGTGTGTGTGTGGCGCTAGTCTGTTCCCATGGTATAACTGATGTCTGCCTCATACCTGCACTGCACATTCCTGTGTGGCCCACTGCAGCTGTACTGACCTCCCTTACAGACATTAACACACACACGCTATTGCGTCACCACCCATGAACAAGATAAGGAAGCAGGTCAGCTGATAAAGTGTGATATTGGGTGTGTACAGTCTGATTAAGCAGAGAGAAACAGAAGCAGATTTAGATCCTCAGGCTATTACCATGCCAGCAGGTGTCAATGTATTTAAATTCCTCTGTTCATTAATCTATATCAATCATTTAAGCAACCAATCAATAAATTCCATTTTGTGTAGCATCATTCAAGTTTTTCGTTTGTGGTAGTTAGTGTGAATTCTGCAGTCTTCTAAATTGGCATCGCACACACACGACACACACAGACCTTCTTTCTCTCACCAAAAGGAGGTCGTCCCACTTTCTTTCACTAACTTCTCTGGTGTGATTGTTCATTATTGTGGGCTTGGGGAGAATTTGAGCTCTGGTTCAGTCTCTCATGCTGGGAGAAGAGAGAGAGCGAGATGCAGTTCCTTATAGTTATGTTGTTATGCTATCATCATGTTAGTATAATGTTATTACCATGTTATAGTTGTGTTATAGGCTAAATACGGTAAAGGTGAATTATATGTCACTTTTGATAATCATATTATAGTCACCCTGTCATGTTATAATCATATTATAGTCACCCTGTCATGTTATAATCATATTATAGTCACCCTGTCATGTTATAATCATGTTATAGTCACCCTGTCATGTTATAATCATAATATAGTCACCCTGTCATGTTATAATCATGTTATAGTCACCCTGTCATGTTATAATCATATTATATAGTCATAGCCATGGGTAGGGTTAGCTATGTAGTGAGAGACAACTCATAGTCCTGGTTGTAGTTTTGCTCCTATAGCTCAGTGTAAAGGTAAGTGGGTGTGCTGAGCTCACAACGTCTGAAACAAGAGAGAGAGAGATAATGACAGAGTGACAGAGATAGAGAGAGTGAGACAGAGTCAGAAATGAGCGAGAGAAGAAGAATGAGACAGGATGAGACAAACAGAGAGAAGACATGACAGACCGAGAGGGGGAGAGTAAGGATAAAAACATACCCGATGGCTAGGCACTACTAAGCAGGCAGGTGCTGAACCTGTACATGTTGGAACATAGCTAGGAGGTGTTCTACAGGGAGGAAGTGAGAGGGAAAACAAAGGGGAGGGGCCTAACAATGTAACACTCCAACTAACACATCACAAACTACAGCCTTGGTCTATTTAGTCTGCAGCAGGGATGTCCATCTCTAGACCTGTAGTGAGAAGGCTTAAGTAGGCCTACTGTACACTGAGTATACAAAACATTAAGAACAACTGCTCTTTCCATTACATAGACTGACCAGGTGAATTCCTGGTTTAAAAAAAATATGATTCCTTATTGATGTCACTTGTTAAATCCACTTCAAATCAGTGTAGATGAAGGGGAGGAGAAAAAAAGTATTTAGTCAGCCACCAATTGTGCAAGTTCTCCCACTTAAAAAGATGAGAGAGGCCTGTAATTTTCATCATAGGTACACGTCAACTATGACAGACAAAATGAGAGAAAAAATTCCAGAAAATCACATTGTAGGATTTTTAATGAATTTATTTGCAAATTATGGTGGAAAATATGTATTTGGTCAATAACAAAAGTTTCTCAATGCTTTGTTATATACCCTTTGTTGGCAATGGCACAGGTCAAACGTTTTCTGTAAGTCTTCACAAGGTTTTCACACACTGTTGCTGGTATTTTGGCCCATTCCTCCATGCAGATCTCCTCTAGAGCAGTGATGTTTTGGGGCTGTCGCTGGGCAACACGGACTTTCAACTCCCTCCAAAGATTTTCTATGGGGTTGAGATCTGGAGACTGGCTAGGCCACTCCAGGACCTTGAAATGCTTCTTACGAAGCCACTCCTTTGTTGCCCGGGTGGTGTGTTTGGGATCATTGTCATGCTGAAAGACCCAGCCACATTTCATCTTCAATGCCCTTGCTGATGGAAGGAGGTTTTCACTCAAAATCTCACGATACATGGCCCCATTCATTCTTTCCTTTACACGGATCAGTCGTCCTGGTCCCTTTGCAGAAAAACAGCCCCAAAGCATGATGTTTCCACCCCATGCTTCACAGTAGGTATGGTGTTCTTTGGATGCAACTCAGCATTCTTTGTCCTCCAAACACGACCAGTTGAGTTTTTACCAAAAAGTTCTATTTTGGTTTCATCTGACCATATGACATTCTCCCAATCCTCTTCTGGATCATCCAAATGCACTCTAGCAAACTTCAGATGGGCCTGGACATGTACTGGCTTAAGCAGGGGGACACGTCTGGCACTGCAGGATTTGAGTCCCTGGCGGCGTAGTGTGTTACTGATGGTAGGCTTTGTTAATTTGGTCCCAGCTCTCTGCAGGTCATTCACTAGGTCCCCCCGTGTGGTTCTGGGATTTTTGTTCACCATTCTTGTGATCATTTTGACCCCACGGGGTGAGATCTTGCGTGTCTTCCATTTCCTAATAATTGCTCCCACAGATGATTTATTCAAACCAAGCTGCTTACCTATTGCAGATTCAGTCTTCCCAGCCTGGTGCAGGTCTACAATTTGGTTTCTGGTGTCCTTTGACAGCTCTTTGGTCTTGGCCATAGTGGAGTTTGGAGTGTGACTGTTTGAGGTTGTGGACAGGTGTCTTTTATACTGATAACAAGTTCAAACAGGTGCCATTAATACAGGTAACGAGTGGAGGACAGAGGAGCCTCTTAAAGAAGAAGTTACAGGTCTGTGAGAGCCAGAAATCTTGCTTGTTTGTAGGTGACCAAATACTTATTTTCCACCATCATTTGCAAATAAATTCATTAAAAATCCTACAATGTGATTTTCTGGATTTTTTTTTCTCAATTTGTCTGTCATAGTTGACATGTACCTATGATGAAAATTACAGGCCTCTCTCATCTTTTTAAGTGGGAGAACTTGCACAATTGGTGGCTGACTAAATACTTTTTTTCCCCACTGTAGGTTAAATATGCATTTTTATGCCTTGAGACAATTGAGACATGGATTGTGTATGTGTGCCTATCAGAGGGTGAATGGGCAACACAAAATATTTAATTGCCTTTGAACGGGGTATGGTAGTAGGTGCCATGCGCACCAGTTTGTGTCAAGAACTGCAACGCACATTCAGCCAACTTGACAGAACTGTGGGAAGCATTGGAGTCAACATGGGACAGCATCCCTGTGGAACGCTTTCGACACCTTGTAGAGTACATTCCCTGACGGGAGTGCAACTCAATATTAGGAATGTGTTCCTAATGTTTTGTATACTCAGAGTATATTATGAACTCAGGTGAGGACTTCGAAATTGTACACACAGTTCCTTGTTTCACTTCGCTTGAAGTAGTCTATCTCTGTTCCCGTAGTGTTGATGCTAGTATCGCTGCGTATTACAGAGATGATTGCAGTGCTGACTGTAGAGTGAGAGGGCTTGAGTCTTCTCCAGCTCCAATGTGCATGCATCCACACACACACAGACGCACACACAAAGACACACACACACACGACTCAACCTGAGCTCAGCTGTCAATCAGAGCTTGGTTGCCTGCAGTGATAACAGGGCACAGCTCTGCTGGTTTCCAAGCACTCTTAGTTGGGGGGTCAAAACACTGCAATGACACCCCATAATAATAACCCATAATAATCCAGCCACAAAGGATGACACTAGACACTGATCTAATGTCAGCTTTGAGTTGGGGAAAGCTTTAGGGAAGGTAAGCTGATCCTAGATCTGTGCCTACGTGCAACTTCTACTAGAGAGAGCCAAAACACCTAGGACAGACAAACAGCTGAAGGAAGCAAAAATTAACATTTTAATCAATCTCACCAGGAAGTTTCTACAACTCAAAAGAAATAGGGGGTAGGGTGTGGGAAAGGTTAGGTTTTGGGTAGACAAGTGGTTTAGGTTACGGGGAAGTGTTTGGGTAAAGGTTTGGTTAATGGATTAAGGTTAGGGTTTAGCCTAGTGCAGGGGTATTCAACTCTTACCCTATGAGGTCCGGAGCCTGCTGGTTTTCTGTTCTACCTGATAATTAATTTCACCCACCTGGTGGTGTCCCATGTCTAAATCAGTCCCTGATTAGAGGGGAACAATGAAAAAATGCAGTGGAACTGGCTTCGAGGTCCAGAGTTGAGTTTGAGGGGCCTAGTGGTTAAAATTGGATGTGGTTGTAGACTGTAGAGTGGGACTGTCTATCATGTCTCCCTCAGAGCAGGAAGACTGGATCCATCTGCACAGAGGAACTAACTGCAGTCATAATGAGGATACAGCACTTCCCATGTGAGCTAACAGCGCCGGAGAAGATGGCTGCCGTTTTACAGCCCTCTAACCAATTGTACTATTATGTGTGTTTTTCCGCGTTATTTGTAATTTATTTTGTACATAATGTTTCTGCCATCGTCTCTTATAACCAAAAAGAGCTTCTGGATATCAGGACAGCGATTACTCACCTCGTATTGGACGAAGATTTTTTTCTTCAACGAGGTGGCCGCGAAGGATATCATACAGACACCCGACAAGGCCCAAATCCCCGTCATTCGCGTGAGGAAGAGACGGAGATATCGTGGACGTAGATCGGGGTGCCTTGTAAGGATCCGACGGCGAGCGAGTAAACTGCCTCTTCCATCAATCCTATTAGCCAACGTTCAATCATTTGAAAATAAATTGGATGATTTAAGACTACGGTTATCCTACCAACGGGACATTAAAAACTGTAATATCTTATGTTTCACCGAGTCGTGGCTGAACGACGACATTGATAACATACAGCTAGCGGGCTATACGCTACATCGGCAGGATAGAACGGCTGACTCCGGTAAGACAAGGGGTGGCGGTCTGTGTATATTTGTAAACAACAGCTGGTGCACAAAATCAAATACTAAGGAAATCTCGAGGTTTTGCTCGCCTGAGGTAGAGTATCTTATGATAAGCTGTAGACCACACTATTTACCAAGAGAGTTTTCATCTATATTTTTCATAGCTGTCTATTTACCACCACAAACCAATGCTGGCATTAAGATTGCACTGAATGAGTTGTACAAGGCCATAAATCAACAGGAAAACGCTCATCCAGATGCAGCGCTCCTAGTGGCCGGGGACTTTAATGCAGGGAAACTTAAATCCGTTCTACCTAATTTCTACCAGCATGTTAAATGTGCAACCAGAGGGAAAAAAACTCTAGACCACCTTTACTCCACACACAGAGACGCATACAAAGCTCTCCCTCGCCCTCCATTTGGCAAATCTGACCATAACTCTATCCTCCTGATTCCTGCTTATAAGCAAAAACTAAAGCAGGAAGCACCAGTGACTCGGTTAATAAAAAAGGGGTCAGATGACGCAGATGCTAAGCTACAGGACTGTTTTGCTAGCACAGACTGGAACATGTTCCGGGATTCTTCAGACAGCATTGAGGAGTACACCACATCAGTCACTGGCTTCATCAATAAGTGCATCGATGATGTCGTCCCCACAGTGACCGTACGTACATACCCCAACCAGAAGCCATGGATTACAGTAAACATCCGCACTGAGCTAAAGGGTAGAGCTGCCGCTTTCAAGGAACGGGACTCTAACCCGGACGCTTATAAGAAATCCCGCTATGCCCTCCGACGAACCATCAAACAGGCAAAGAGTCAATACAGGACTAAGATTGAATCGTACTACACTGGCTCTGACGCTCGTCGGATGTGGCAGGGCTTGAAAACTATTACAGACTACAAAGGGAAGCACAGCCGTGAGCTGCCCAGTGACACAAGCCTACCAGACGAGCTAAACCACTTCTATGCTCGCTTCGAGGCAAGCAACACTGAAGCATGCATGAGAGCACCAGCTGTTCCGGATGACTATGTGATCACGCTCTCCGTAGCCGATGTGAGTAAGACTTTTAAGCAGGTCAACATTCACAAGGCCGCAGGGCCAGACGGATTACCAGGACGTGTACTCCGAGCATGTGCTGACCAACTGGCAAGTGTCTTCACTGACATTTTCAACATGTCCCCTGACTGAGTCTGTAATACCAACATGTTTCAAGCAGACCACCATAGTCCCCGTGCCCAAGGACTCTAAGATAACCTGCCTAAATGACTACCGACCCGTAGCACTGACATCTGTAGCCATGAAGTGCTTTGAAAGGCTGGTCATGGCTCACATCAACAGCATTATCCCAGAAACCCTAGACCCACTCCAATTTGCATACCGCCCCAACAGATCCACAGATGATGCAATCTCTATTGCACTCCACACTGCCCTTTCCCACCTGGACAAGAGGAACACCTACGTGAGAATGCTATTCATTGACTACAGCCCAGCATTCAACACCATAGTGCCCTCTAAGCTCATCACTAAGCTAAGGATCCTGGGACTAAACACCTCCCTCTGCAACTGGATCCTGGACTTCCTGATGGGCCGCACCCAGGTGGTAAGGGTAGGTAACAACACATCTGCCACACTGATCCTCAACATGGGGGCCCCTCAGGGGTGCGTGCTCAGTCCCCTCCTGTACTCTCTGTTCACCCATGACTGCATGGCCAGGCACGACTCCAACACCATCATTAAGTTTGCCGACGACACAACAGTGGTAGGCCTGATCACCGACAACGATGAGACAGCCTATAGGGACGAGGTCAGAGACCTGGCCGTGTGGTGCCAGGACAACAACCTCTCCCTCAACGTGACCAAGACAAAGGAGATGATTGTGGGCTACAGGAAAAAAAAGAGGACTGAGCACGCCCCCATTCTCATCGATGGGGCTGTAGTGGAACAGGTTGAGAGCTTCAAGTTCCTTGGTGTCCACATCACCAACGAACTATCATGGTCCAAACACACCAAGACAGTCGTGAAGAGGGCACGACAAAGCCTATTCCCCCTCAGGAGACTGAAAAGATTTGGCATGGGTCCTCAGATCCTCAAAAAATTCTACAGCTGCACCATCGAGAGCATCCTGACTGGTTGTATCACCGCCTGGTATGGCAACTGCTTGGCCTCCGACCGCAAGGCACTACAGAGGGTAGTGCGTACGGCCCAGTACATCACTGGGGCCAAGCTTCCTGCCATCCAGGACCTCTATACCAGGCGGTGTCAGAGGAAGGCCCTCAAAATTGTAAAAGACTCCAGCCACCCTAGTCATAGACTGTTCTCTCTGCTACCGCACGGCAAGCGGTACCGGAGTGCCAAGTCTAGGTCCAAAAGACTTCTCAACAGCTTCTACCCCCAAGCCATAAGACTCCTGAACAGCTAATCATGGCTACCCGGACTATTTGCACTGCCCCCCCACCCCATCCTTTTTACGCTGCTGCTACTCTGTTAATTATTTATGCATAGTCACTTTAACTCTACCCACATGTACATATTACCTCAACTAGCCGGTGCCCCCGCACATTGACTCTGCAACGGTACCCCCCTGTATATATAGCCTCCTTACTGTTATTTTATTTTACTTCTGCTCTTTTTTTTCTCAACACTTTTTTTGTTGTTGTTTTATTTTTACTTTTTTGTTAAAAATAAATGCACTGTTGGTTAAGGGCTGTAAGTAAGCATTTCACTGTGATGTCTGCACCGGTTGTATTCGGCGCATGTGACCAATAAAATTTGATTTGATTTGCTCTATAGACACACTGAGTGGAGTAAAAGGCTGTGTCTCAATAGTCTACAGTTGCTTCCTCTCCTCGTCTCCTTCTCCTCGCAATGAGGTTTAGACTGAGCAGTGAAGCCATTGAAACAAACACACACAGGGTTAATGTCACTCTCCCATCAACCCAATTGCCAATCTAATTAATAGATGTTTTACAATGGGGGTTTAGTGCAATACAGTAGCCATTGTAGGCCTATAATGCACCACCAATACATAGAACCCATCTATGATATCATAAAGCGATAATGATAAGTACTATGTCCCATTTGATTTTCAGCATATGGTTGTTATATCTTAATCATACTACTATGAGGAATTGCTACATTTTAAATTTTAGTAGATGTTCTTATCCAGAGTGACCTATAGTTAGTGCATTCATATTAAGATAGCTAGGTGGGACAACCACATATCACAGTCACAGTAAGTACATTTTTCCTCAACGTAGCTATCAGCAAAGTCAGAGCATGTAAGAGAGAAAAAAGTCAGGAGCAAGTGTTAGTTCACAAAAGGCTTGGTGTGTATTCATTACGAAAACAGTTTACCGTTTAAGAACCAAACAGAAGCAAACAGAACAAAACAGGAGTTTTTATTGGACAAATTCAGGTACATCCCTCATCATTTCGTCCGTCTGCTTGTTTAAGAAACGTTTTGCAACCGAATCGGCTGAATGAATATACCCCTGGGGTGTATTCATTAGTCGGATACCGTTGCACAACATTTGGTCTGTTAAAAAACGTTTTGCAACGGAAACCGTTTACTCCAAACAGAAAACGTTTTGCAACAGAGAACAGTTTCTATTGGACGAATTCAGGTAGGTCCCTCTCCGTTTCGTTCAGTTTGCGCTGTTTTTTTCCCGTTTGGTTCCTACAGTAAACGGTTTCCATTGCAAAACGTTTTGTCACAGACCAAACGCTTTGCAACGGAATCTGACTAAAAAATACACCCCAGATAATAAACACGACCCAAAATGAGCTCATTATTCAAGCCACAGAAATCCTCCTTAAGTCTAGAATCCAGAAATTGAATAATGGAATGGAAATTGAAGAATGTCAGATATCCACGGGCGAGCTGTTATCCATCTACTGATCAGGATAGGCCCAGAAATGATGATTGCACATCGCTCACTCAGCTAGCTAGCATGACTAACGTTAGCCGAGAAAATGGCTATGATCATATTTAATCTACCATGCAATCACACATTGTGCAGTCACTACTACTCATTTAGCAAATCATATGTTATCTACTAAATTGCATAAAATGCATGCATCATATGCCTTATTGGGCCATAGGGTAACCTTATAACTAGCTAGCTAACCTAGCCACAGTCCAGACAGAGCAATGTATGCCACGCCACGGTATTGTTTACATAGCACGCTCGATTGTTTCCTATTTTGACAGCACTGAAACGATTAGCACGTTACACATGTTTTAGTTAACAATCAACTTTTTCAGCTGTTTCCATGAAATCTGTCTCTAACTTTATAGCTAGCAATCTGACAGTGAGCTGTTTGTGATTTCCCAGTCCCTTGGTTACCTAGTTAGCTGGCTGGTTAGCAACTACCTAACTAGCGGTTAGTTTGATAGCTCGCGCACCTAATGTCGTTGTTATTTAGCTATTTTTATAAACGTCAATGGTAGTAACTAAGTCTATTAGCTAGCTATCTAATGTAGCCATTTTCTTTGTATATACCAAACGTAAGCGCGATAGCTAGCTAGCTAATTTCGGGGTGAGTCGGTTATAAAGCTAACCAAGCTAACGTTAGTTAGCATGAGTCTGTAGACTGAGTTGGGCTGCTCTCATACGCGAGCTCTCATACCTGGATGACATGGTTAGTTATATTTTAATCACTGTAACAAATGCACGACAGCTCTCACCATTATTTCTGCATAACAGCCACCCATTTATGATCCATTGTCGCTTCTACAAATGAGTAAGGACCCCTGGGCGAATGTTTAGTTGAAAACATCCCCCACCCCACCAATGTGCCGAAACCGAAAACACAGTGCTCAATCGGGAACAATGTCCCCCCCATGTCGCCTTGATGGGACGGCTCTTACCATCCGACCTCCCCTGTTCGTTTACGAACTTACCAGATTTAAAGAACGCCGCTACATCGGCTGCGTCCTTTGACGTCTCTTCAGCTCCTTCCCCAGAGCTCATGATGGTGGCCACCAACAACCGCAATCCCAACTAAATTCCCAATGTGGTGGAAGACAAAAATCTGTTCGTTCCTCGGAAAAGCGTCGGCAAGAGACACATGGACAGACAGAATCGTTCCTAGATGCTAGTGCCATAAGCAAACCTCCATCTTGGGAAATGCACAGCCGGGCGGCCGCCGGGTTACTGCTCCGAGTCGAGCCGAAAAGAGAGTCGTTGTAGACGTGAGGAGGGGGGCAGAGGGGCATGGGATTCGGGAGGGGCTGGGTCTCTGTTCCGTGACTCTCCGGAAGCGTTCGGAAACGGGCAGACAGAGGACGAGCAAGCTCGGGTTGACCGGCAACGACTGTCTAGGAGTCATTCATGAGCATGACAGTGATTTGTGCCTTTTTAAAATGCAGCATCATACTGTCTGTATTTCTGTATTTTGAAAGTTATATCAAAGATTTTTATAACTAACCCAAGATAGACCACAGTCTTTCGTTTCCAATGGGAACAAATTAGTCATAGTGGGCAGAAGCAAGGAGCCAAGCACAAGCTAGCAAGATCCTATTGGCCATTCTAGCAAATAGTTGCATATTTCCGTTAGGGAACGCCTACTCTGCGAAGTGCACGTATGCAGTAACTCAATTCGCCTTTGCACTCCTAAACAATGGAATTTTTTAAAACTTTGGCAAAGGGTAAAGTCTACTAAACTTAGTCCACTCTGTTCATAACATATTCTAGTTTTGGGAACAGAAAACTGTATTGAGATCAAATGCAATTGATGAGAATGCAGAATGTCGACCAAAATCCATCTTGTTCCATCTTCTCCCACTGCCTGCCACTAGGCTTCCTCTCACTAGTGGAAACGCCAAGGGGATGCTTCACATTTACACATCCTGTGAAATATCTGTCTCATTGTTTTATCTGTGGATATATCTTGAAAACTTGATTGCTGACATGCACAACATTTTGGGACTATATCAACAACAGACTATTGAAACAAATACCAAAATATAGTTTTGGGATGGAATTTTCCTTTAAAATCAGTGTGCACTGAGCAGATAGGCATATACACAGTGTTGTTGTTATCATGTTAGGACATGAATTGATGCATATGTTGGTTGTTGATCAGATTCTCTAGTTGGTTGCAGCTTCACCTGCTTCATCTGAAGCCTCTTCTTTTAGAGTGCTGCTATAGGCCACCAAGTGCAAACTGTCAATATCTGGACAATATGTGTGTGATGTTAGATAAGGTCTCTGATGCTAACAGAGAAATGTATTTTCTTGGTGACCTGAACATTGACTGGCTATCATCTAGTTGTCCTCTCAAGAAGAAGCTTCTTACTGTGACTAATGCCTGTAACATGACCCAGGTTATCGCTCAACCAACTAGAGTGTTTACCAATAGTGTTGAATCTGTGACATTCACTAATGCTGCAGAGCTTTGCTCCAAAGCAATATCAATTCCCATTGGCTGTAGTGACCATAACATTGTGGCAATAACAAGGAAAGCCAAAGTACCAAAGGCAGGGACTAAAGTTATTTATAAGCGAGTTTTACACATTTTTTCCTCAGGACTCTTTTGTTGAAGATGTAAAAAATGTATGTTGGTCTAATGTGGATAAGGAGGAGAATCCAGATGCAGCACTTGGAGTATTTGTAACATTATTCTTGGAAATTGTTGACAAGCATGCACCTGTTAAGAAACTAATTGTGAGAACTGTTAGAGCCCCCTGGATCGATGATGATTTGAAAAATTGTATGGTTCAAATAAATGGTGCAAACAAGTCAGGCTGCTCAGCTGATTGGTTGACATACTGTAAATTGAGACATTTTGTGACTAAACTTAACAAAAAAAAGAAATTATATTACCCAAACAAGATAAATGACATAAAAAACTATGCAAAACATTATACTTAATATTAATCTTCTCCAGCACCACCCCAACATAAACATATGTGAAAATGGCACGTTTCTATGTTTTGTAGAAAAAAAGATAGAGAAAGATAAGTGTTTCCAATGACTTCATCAACCAATTAGTAGGCAATCCCTACTCACAATTGGTCACACACACACACACAAACTACAACAAATCACATATCAAACAACTAAACTCAGGCCAGTTTGCAGGGAGTGTGTTGAACAGATTTCACCCAAAACTACAGGAAATAAAAAACAATATTTTATTAATTTGTTTGATTTATCCATCACTTTAACAGCCACTCGTAAACCGAAGTTAAAATGCTAATTTGACCTTTAGCTTAATAGATTAATTAAGATGGTTTGATTAAGTTTCTTTATGATATCAGGCCCACCGTCTTCTCTACAAGGGGTGGAACTACCATTAGGGCACAAAATGGATGCGTTTTAAATCGTTTTGCAACAGGAAATGAAAATTAATGTTTCTTATTGGACAAGTCCCAGGTAGTCCCTCCCTGTTTCAGTCCATTTTCGTCCATTTGGTGCCTAATGAAAATGAAGCAGTATCTTTTCTTTAACAGCATTTATTATTCCCTACAGAATATACCCTAGTGTTTTATTGGAATGGCCCCTCTCCTTTACGACTTAATTAATGTTTTAGGGAATGCATTAGCAATGAGAGACCTTATTCGTTGCACAGTGATAAATTATAGGAATACATACAGTACCAGTCAAAAGTTTGGACACACCTACTCATTCAAAGGTTGTTCTTTATTTTTACTATTTTCTAAATTGTAGAATAATAGTGAAGACATCAAAACTATTAAATAACCCATATGGAATCATGTAGTAACCAAAAAAGTGTTAAACAAATCAAAATATATTTTATATTTGAGATTCTTCAAATAGCCACCCTTTGCCTTGATGACAGCTTTGCAATTATCTCATTAGAATACTAAAATCACATTCCTATCTTCACCAAAATACTCTCATACTTAATCATATATTTTATACAACATTTAGATGTAATGTTGACAAATAGAATGTGTACACTTCCAAGTTACAGTTATTTATTGATACCATCCTTAATGACCTCACAAAATAATAAACAATGTGACATGATTATTCTTTAGGTCCCCACTGACCATTCTTAACATTCGGATGATATAAATAAATGTTCCAATGTTCACTTTTTAGGGAAAAAGGTTTTGGCAGCAAAACTCTCTCTCTAGACAAAGGCATTCTTTTCTCAATACTAGAAAGCCAGGGCGAGTTCTCTCCTGCTTAAATTTACGACCCAGTGTTAAGGTGTCAAGACCGGCACAGACCACCCTCCCGTCTTCTGTGGGTGAGAGGGTCTGTTTGTTGTCAGCCATTTGCCTAGCTGATCTGAGTCCTTTGATCCACTGTCAGGAGAGTCATGACAGCAGTTGGAACCCAAAATCTCAAATTTGGACTCATCAGACCAAAGGACAGATTTCCACCACTCTAATGTCCATTGCTCATGTTTCTTGGCCCAAGCAGGTCTCTTCTTCTTATTGGTGTCCTTCAGTAGTGGTTTCTTTGCAGTAATTCGACCATTAAGGCCTGATTCATGCTGTCTCCTCTAAACAGTTGATGTTGAGATGTGTCTGTTAATTGAACTCTGTAAAGCATTTATTTGGGCTGCAATTTCTGAGGCTGGTAACTCTAATGAACTTTGTCCTCTACAGCAGAAGTAACTTTGGGTCTTCCTTTCCTGTGGCGGTCCTCATGAGGGCCAGTTTCATTATAGTGCTTGATGGTTTTTGCGACTGCACTTGAAGAAACTTTCAAAGTTCTTGAAATGTTCAGTATTGACTGACGTTCATGTCTTAAAGTAATGATGGACTGTCATTTCTCTTTGCTTATTTGAGCTGTTCTTGCCATAATATGGACTTGGTCTTTTACCAAATAGGGCTATCTTCTGTATACCATCCCTACCTTGTCACAACACAACTGATTGGCTGAAACGCATTAAGAAGGAAAGAAATTCCACAAATTAACTTTTAAGAAGGCACACCTGTTAATTGAAATGCATTCCAGGTGACTACCTCATGAAGCTGGTTGAGAGAATGCAAAGAGTGTGCAAA